CAAGGGCCATTGAAGTTTTGATGAGTTTCTCTCTTATTTCAACATCTCTCTTTACATAAAATTTAAGTAAAGCAAATTGTTCCACGCACATGACAGTTGTAGACAGTGCCAAAAATACCCTCCAACTTAGACTTCTGCAAAATGACTGGAAAACTTCAACAATTATTTGAGTTTTTAGAAAGAGACCAAACCGTAAAATGAAAAAAGCTTCCCTTCAGGAGACATTTTTTTCATCATAAGTTATACCTTGGGGGACAAGGTAGATTAAGTAGACATTTCAATGTCTCCCTAATGTCACAACTCCTATTTAGAGGCAAAATTGTAGTGTTGCAAATAGGCAAGATCAATTGCTTGTGGTCCAAGACATAAATGTACCAACATTTGTGGGGGTTGGATAAGGCAAAATGGGGGTTAGGGGTCGTAAAAGTTTGAAAATATTTGTGCACAACCCTATGAAATGTCTCTCTAAGGTACCATTTTTTGTGATGATAATTACTCTTTTATTTCTTTTACTTGTATTATAGTTAAATTAAATTATGTTACTATACCATGACATAAAGATGTTAGTTCCATAAAATGATGGTTCTAATAAAAAATCAACACAGATACCGGTATACATAATATGGACATTTTATGTTCTTCGGACAGTGTCCTTCCAAAAGAAATTCTTTCTGTCATTAATATTCAGTGTTTACAAAATGATGCATGTAGATGGTAAATGTGAAAGAAATCTTGGATTACAAACACAGGCATTTTAAAGCTATTTTTTGGACACTCGATCCCAAAATGGGATTTGGGCATCGTATTTCAGCATCAAGCTGACTCAGAATGTCCGACTCTCCATTTAGGCTCCTCATCAATCATGTCTGTGCTCTCATGGATGTCCGCAAACCAACGAGACTTTGAACACAAGCGAGTAAAAGCCGGAGGACAAAAAAAAAAAAAATGGAGAGGGGGAGCGAACGAGAACGAAAATATGCGAAAGACAAAAAAAAAAGGGGGGGGGGAAGCACATGCAAACACAGTCTCCTATCTCCGGGAATGTTGGCAACTCCAGGCCCGTTAATGAGTAACCCAAAAAGCATTTAGTGTTGGGCATTAACGAGCACTTAACAAAACTAACTGTTGGACTATAATCTGGGCCATCTAAAAGTGGAAGGAAGAAGGGGGGGGGGGACGTTGTTGGTTGGTTGGTTGGAACTATCGAAACAGCAGAGACGGGGACAGAGCTAGAAAAGGGAGCGAGGCAGTCAATATTGAAACATGTTCAATTAAAAACTTGAGGGTGAGTTAATCAGTAACTCCGGTGGGTGCTGCCTGCTCGCCACTTAGGGACAAACGAGCAAGGGAAAGCACTCAGGCCAATCTAGGACCAAAAAAAAAAAAAAGGAAAACAGCCACCAGCGCTAAGAGCAAGAGATTGAAGTAAACATTATCCAATTGAAATGAAGGGTCTATGTACACAGTTTCTAATTAATAATTGACCGAGTGTTTTTTCCTCTCTTAATGGACTTTTTCCCCCCCTTTTCTTCTTGTTTTTGTTTTATTCAATGTACAGCTAGCCGGGGCGACGGCTACTTTTTTTTGGCTGGTGTCTGCTCTGTGTGTGTGTGTGTGCACAAACCGTCTACCCCAAACAAATAGCATTTAACCAAAGTTGCTGGAGTGGAGGGTTGTGTCCACACAGCCGCGACCGGTTTGTTATCTGAGTAGTTTTTGAGTGCAGGGGAAAACAAGTTTACAACGTTATTACAGCTTGCGTTTCCATTCTCCCTGTCATCCCAGAAATGGGGGGACGCTGAGGGAAAACCAAGAAAGATTCAATCTAGAGGGGAAAAACAGACTGGTGAACAGTGAGTAACTGGATCTAGGGCATATCTTCCTTGATTTTTTGTGAACTTTTTTTCCTTGCATTTTCATTACCTACTTGCAAGTTTTTATCTGTAACATAAAATTACAAAAGCTAAATTACATGCACAACAGCAAATCCATACTGTTGTATGAGAAACATGTGGTATTTTTTTGGTGGAGAAAAACACATTGAATACTCCCAAAAACCTCAAGCAATTCAACATTCTGCTTATTGGGCTATATAAAAGAAACCGGAACATTTTTTTTTTCAGGCATAAATTATTCTTTATCCATCTCCCTTTTGCCACTCTAAATAATATTTTCTTTAAGTGTAATTAAACATAAAGATTTGACTTAGTCTCATTTAAATTAAAAGCTTTTTCAAAGTTGAACAAAATTTTTTTGACTGGAGTGGGGTTAGAACCCACGGCCTCCGGATTGCCGTTCCAGTGCTATCCAGCCCAATGTTGGCGGTTCCCCGATTTGTCTATGTTCTTGTTCAAGGGGCGCTAGTCAGAAGCCATAAACCCGTGTATCCATGTACCTAGGGATCACACCCAAAGTCATGATGCTATAGCAACATTAGCAATGCTGCAAACCTGGGTAATAGCAAACGGGCATCACTCCGACAGGATACGGCTGTTTATTACAAATGTTCAAATAAACCACAAAGAGGAGCTGACGAGGTGCGTTATAATAATTTTTTTAAAGTTGAACAAAGAAAATTGACTGGAGCGGGGTTAAAGATTTTGTACTTCTTTGCCAAGGATTGTTGTGGTTCCACATATCAAAGATGAGTTAAGCAAAATGTAAATTTTTCACAAACTTGAGAGCTTTGGAACATCAATGTGGTCATGAACACAAACGATGCTCATGAAATAAATGGCCACAGACAAGTTGGCAACCTCCCACAAGTTGTAGGATAGGTTTTAGGGGGACTCACAACATTGTAGAGACACTCCAAAGTCCCCACTACTCATTCAAAATTCTGTGAAAAAAATACGAACGTTTCCCTTAATGACGGGATATTCAAGACAAGGTAGGCTCACATGTGTACTGGTATTAGAGTTCAAGTCAATCATGATCATCCCCCAGTTATTCTCCTGCAGGCTTTTCTTACATTCCACGCTGAATGCTGAGAAATCCTGGAACTTTCCAACTGCTATCACCTGGCATTCCACAATGCACAGAGAAGAGAGCTAAGAGAAGAGACCCAGCGTTGCATCAGCTGGCTCTGACGGGACAGAATACTCAAACTGCCAAGGGAAAAGACGGCTAAATGGCAACCACATGTAGGGAACCCTGACCATTTCAGGTCTATATATCACATTACACCTGCGACTGCAGCAGACGAAACAAATGCACCTGATGCTTTAATGGCCAGGTGGATGTGAGAGTTATTTGAAGACAGATATTGGAACTCCTGACATGTCTAAATAAAAAAAAAGAGTTCAGAATGAGGTATTTATGCAATATTTCAGGTGCAAACTCTATGATTTTTTTTTTACATTGGGGTTTGACCTTTGTGCTGCCCAAGACCTTGCAAGATAAAAAAAATCACAATCTTTTCAGGTTGGACTCGAACCCACAACCTCCTAAATACTCTAGGCATATCTTATTTTATATACTATTTACAAGTGGTCCAATGGTGTTAGACTCACGTGCCGTGGTACGTGGGTTCAAACCCTGACGGGGACATGGTGCTTGAGTTCTTTGGCTAGACACTTTACACAAATGTACTACAATTGCCTCTCTCCACCCACGAGTATAGATGGGTACCTGTGAGGGTAGAGACCAGAATGCGCTGATCTTGAGCTGCTGTAAATACTGGTCTCATGGCATGATGAACAGGAGTAATAAGTTTGAAGCGCTTTGAGACATTTGGTACAAAGCGCTATAAAAGTACATTATTATTATTATTTGAAGCAGGTAATGCAATTTATTACTGATGATAGCATTAATTTTTCTTTTTGCATTAATTTAGGGAAATGTAGATTTTACCATTGAGTTTTGCCATCCACTGACACAATTGCCCTTCACCGACATTTGTCGATGATCGTTTGTGATTTGCGGTAGTTTCAGGTAGCCAAATGATTTTCTTGATTTGAATGTGAGAATTTATGGAAATTAATATTTTTTACCAAGATGAAAACTTAAAGCAAACTTAAACACTGAGTTTAGTTAGCATGCAAAAACAAATGAAGGAACCTTATTCAGAATTAGACATTTCTGGCTGTAACTTAATTAATTAACGTTAACAAAAAACCAAGAACACATGTAAATATACAACTCATGAAAGACACAATCATGCAACTGATTCAATTGAGCATTTTAATTCATATAATTTACAGAATCAAACAAAGAACATTTGTTGACTGTAATTAAATAACTTTGCAAAGAAAATTCAAACACAATTTAACATATTAATTTGTCGTAATGATACTTATAAACAAATGAAGCGTTAAAAAAGCTATCAAAACTGACAAACTGTGAAAAAAAAACATGCATGTTAGATGGCTCAGTTAGCTTTGAAGTGGCAAATAAGGAGGATTATAGATGTAAATTGCCTTCAAGTGTACAGCAAGTAGCACTTACCATAGAGCATGGAACTTACCAAGATGGTATTGTGTATTTAACTGTGAACCGGTCCCCGATTGTTTTGGGTGTTGTACCAGCGCTACACTGAACATGCGCAGTGATATTTTGGGGAATTTGTGAATTTTTTACAGTGAGGAATCTGCAGTTCATTGTCCTTGTGACTACATATACAGGAGACGGAGATCAGACCTATTGCAATTTCGGACATTATTTTCCTTTTCAAAAAAAAAAATCCTCCAGAGGCACGAATCAGAAAAAGAAGATGAAGTATTCTGCAATTAAATGTAGGATTTGATTTAAAACAAAAAAGGAAGAAAACTCTTACATTAGGGAGAATGAAACAAGCGCGATCAGAAATATGTTGGAAGCTGCGTTGACCCCAGTTTGGTCATGTGGCATGTTGGGGCTGGGCTACTGGTACTTTTGACAAACTTTGGTTGAAATTGGCCAAAAATATGTAGATGAGCAATGACAATGTCAAAGTTTGTTACTAACTAATGGACTAACGGAGAGACATGATGACTTGTTGAGCTGCTATCGTGCAGCTAATATTTTTTTTTTTTACGCCATGCATGGCTGCATCTTGAACTCGGGTCACTGGGCCGTCGGTCCATCAACGCCTTATCCATCAAGCCATGCGTTCACTCGGGTTGGGATGGTAATTTGTTATTTTATATTGCGTACTTGTATAGGCACGTGCGTGTGCTGAGGAAGTGTTGGCACAACAGCACAAAAAAATGCGTGACCAGTTCACGGTAACATAAACACTTCGTACCTTGAAAAAAAAATCATCTTTTTTTCTCTTTCAGTTTCAAGCCGGTTTTATTTGGCAACATTGCTGCCCAACAGCATGCACTGTAACGATCCATTTGGTTATTTAAGCAGAAGTGAATGTCTTTGGTCACTTTTTTTCAATTCAAATAATTATTACAAAACTGTACAAATTACTAAAAGTATCTTGACTAAGCGGCAAATGATTTGCTTCACTGTTTACATCAATGTGTTTTTCACTGAAAACCGCCCTCTACTGGTCCATTCCAGAAATATGGACCGATGAAAATTTTCCTTTCTCTCACTTTCAGAGTTGAATGCTTTATATCACTAGAGGGCGCTCAACCTATTTCACATGCATGTTTAGAGCACTGAACTGCATTCAGCAGTACAGTCAATAAATCAGTGTAAGACCAATAACAACCTTTTTGGATGAATGGACTTGTCTAGCTCTATCTTCAGAGAAAGATAGATGTGGCAAAATATCAAATTGTATCTTAAGAAGGTGGTACACAATTTATGACTGACAGTGAAGCAAAACAGTTGAACAAATGGAAATATGAATAGAAAAATGCAATATGAAAGTTCGTTCAATAAATAAATATTCATGTGAAACCACAATTGTTAGAAATATATTTTTCAAATGAAGTATTTTGGGTGAAATTAAAAGGTCATGTCAAATAAATTACAAGTATGAAATCAATTAATATACCCAGGGTAGGTCCATGATTTTTGTGGAAGATTTTCTTTTTTTACAATTTTTTACAATTTTATCCTGTTTTAAGGTATGTATTCCTTTTCAATTTTTTTTTTCTGTACAATTCTCAATGCTATGATCTTTTTCTTATATCATGGACACATGCCTGGAAATAAACAATTGTAAAACTGCAATAACTGTTTGTAAAACAAGTATGCAACTGTCTACCACAAAAAAACTGGGAAGCTTGAAATTTTGCATTAGCGATTGTTTCATCTTTGAAAACCACTTGTCAATAGTCACTATCTTTCAAAAGTAATCAACCCTTTCATTTGATTCTAAGAAAAAAACCTACTGGCTATTTCTTAGGTTCTACTTCATTATACTAAAAGTATTGCATCAAGAAACTAACAATTGTATAACTTCATAGCCCTCTTTATGTGGTAGACAATCACACAGTGAATTCATGCATGCAAATGGAAAAGGTTAGTTATGGACAAAATGTTTAAAACAAACTATATGTTAAACAAGTTGTATAAATGTATTCTGTAATCTGTCAGTAAATGTTCAGTGGAATATTGACAATTTTGGAGACATACACTGTATTGGATTGTTAAAGAATGCTACTTTAAAGTCTAGCAATGACAGTAAGGATGAGAATGCCATAAATACAGTTTCCACTTAATTTGTTACATACATGCGCACAGTTTTCCATTTTGAAAAGAAAGGCAGCACAAGACTGGTCCAAAATGGGACATGGTGCTTTGTCCAATGCTGGACAGACAAATTTTCGAACTCGCACCAAAAGACTCCCAAACGTCACAATTATAAACAAATGTAAAAACCACCAAAGTTCATTGCATTGGCATATTTTTGACAAGACAAATTTTCGAACTCGCACCAAAAGACCCCCAAACAACGTCACAATTATAACAAATGTAAAACCACCAAAGTTCATTGCATTGGCATATTTAGTCACGAGTAAGTAACAAAAAAAGCCTTCCAAAAAAGGAGTAGTAGGGTAAACTCTGCGCTTATGAAGACAAAATATCACACACTCACTGACGCTTGATGGCATAGTGAAATGTATAGTTTCAACTTTGGAAAATCATAAGCCCAAATTAGCTAATTTTCAACAAAGCATTCTGATGCCAAAATCCTGACTTGCCAAAATCCTTGGACATAAAACTATATTATTTACAGCGAAAAATACACGAGAAAGTCTTTACATGTATATTTTTCTGTAGGAAGGGGACTTGGTGGCCATGTTCATCCCTCACTTCTGAGTCACATCTGAACTGAACACCCTTTTGCTCAAATTTTCATCATGCCATCTAATATATATATATATATGTATTAGGGGCAGGGGTATTTTAACTGGCAAGTTAACTGACACCACAAGTGCTGCCACAAGATGATAATTTTCCGTGTAAAACACTCTTCATGGAAAATTCTTCAATGAAATGTTTCCTCAAAATGATCTCTACAAATTAGGTTGTAGTTTATTTCAGCAGCCTTTTCATGGCTTCTCCCACTGACAACTCAATTGTGTAAGCAGCACCATAGCTCACTGAAATCTAGACTTCAAACAGGATCGCTTTCATTTCCAGATATTCCTTAAGCCATCACAAAATTCTGATTCAAAAGGATATAAAACAGCCAAATATGTCAGGCCCTGACCAGCAAATAAGCGCTAACTTTTGGTAAAACAAGCTGAAGCTTTGGAGTTGGAGTGTTGAGCCTCTGTTTTGCTTTTAAATAATTAATCTCACTTGGTATAATAACCAAGGCCTGGACCTGCATAAGTTCTGCAGGTGATGATGACATCCATTTCTTTGGTCTTGGCTAAAGACAGTTCCAATGCACCTAACCCTATTAACTGATCTTGCCAGTATTAAAAGTAGAAAAAGCTGTGTAAGACCAGTCTTTGCAACGCAATCAAAGAGAACAAGACCACCCTCAGACAGCAATCTTCGCTTCCAGATCAGCCAGGTCATTGTATGATGCAAGGAGAAAAGGAAGACACACTTGTTCAAAAGTCTTCTGCATAGCTATATTTTATGTTTACCTTGTTTTACTGATTACTTGGAGGGAGACTGTGTATTTTGTGAGGAGCTTGCATCTCCTGCGGCACCTTGGATGAGTCTCCTTGGGTCCCCGAGGGCATCCTGCAATGATCTCTTGGCTATTATTATGGACAAAATCCGGAAAAAAACCCAGAAAGGTGATGCAGGAAACTGTGTGGGTATCAAAATGTATAAATGAAAACGTCAATATTATGTGACCTGCTCCCACAAAGTGAGAGTTTCTGTTTGGAATTTTCGGAGTCCAAGTGACAAAATGATCAAGACTGGACTTGAGACATCTTGTTGTTATTGCCCTCTACTGCCACAGTGGCTTTGCCGGGGATCGGAAAGGGCCACATTACAAGGGGAACAAAAACTCCATTCAGGAATTGGATCCAGACTACTGTGATGGCAAACAACGCGGCTTAACTTACCCAGTATCTTGGTCTGCTGGCCCAAGTAGGCCTCGGCATAGCGGGCAAACTGCATCATCTGCAGGCTGCCCTTGTGGACGCGCCCAGCCTGCAGCTGCAGCTTGTCCGACGTCTGCCGGGCCCAGCCGCTCATCCGTCGCAGGTCCGGTAGTCCGGAAAGCAGCTTTCTCTGCTCATTGGTCAGACCCTCCGGGGCCTTCAGGATGGGCCCTTCTGTTTGCTGATTGGCCAGAGCTCTAGGAGAAGAGAAAATACGAAAAGCGTACCTAGTAAATTTGACGAGACACGTTAGTTGATGGTTTTATTGATTTTGTGCACGATTTGGTGAAGCAATTAGTGAGACTGTCATGTCCAAACACACACCACAGCACTAAGCTTGACTCGAACCCGCAACCTGCAGAACTACCCGACAGATCTTGTGTTTGATGCTCCAGACCACAAGACCACAACATTCCACATCTCGACATCTGCCATTGACTCCATTCGAGTGGGTGAACAAGATAACGTGACCATCTCTCCCATACCATGGATGTGACACGTATCATAAGCGAATATAGTTCTTAAATTTTTGCTTATTAAACATTTACTGCATTAAAATGAGAATCCCATCTTTATTCCACTCTTTTTTCAGATGGTAGTAAACTAAATATTTCCATTTCCATACCTCTCAGTGGATTCTGCCTCCTCTGTGTGTGTCTGTAGTAGCTCCTCCCACTTGTCGCTCTCTGCAGTCAGCCTCTCAGCATGCTGGTTGATCTCTGCTATGGTCTGCTGCAGGGCTTCATTCTCAGGATTTGGCAGGTAACTGTGTTTGTTTGATGCACAAAAAAAACACATTTTCACACAAAATACACCAGTTGCTTTACATCTTCAGTTGCCTAATATCTTCAAAATTTAAATTTCAGAAACAGGTTACCAACTCTGAATAAAATCAGCTAAATCTGAAGGAGTGTTGTAGTTCTAGTCCATCACAAGTCATCACAAGTCATCACAAGTCCATCACAAGTCCATCACATGTCATCACAAGTCCATCACAAATCCATCACAAGTCATCACAAGTCCATCACAAGTCATCACAAGTCCATCAAAAGTCATCACAAGTCCATCACAAGTCCATCACGAGTCATCACAAGTCCATCAAAAGTCATCACAAGTCATCACAAGTCCATCACAAGTCCATTACAAGTCCTCACAAATCCTCCAGTCTCAAGCCAAGTCACAAGATGTACAAATAAGCATTGACAATGGTATTTATTTGTCATTGTTCATCCCCTGTTAATTGTGACTGGACATTGTACTGGACTCGACTACAAACACTGATCTAAAGTATTTTAAGTGACACAAAAGAAAATGAATTCAATCAAGTGCATCGAAATTGGAAAATCCCTCGGGTTAGAAATTTCATTTGTGAGTGAAGAAACATTCCGGGAATGGTTGTAGTACACTTGATAATTACAATAGCTTTAATATTCTCTTGACAGAAGAATGCGAAATTAAAACGGGCGCTCTCTCGAGGTTTACCTCAAGGTTTTATGGGATACCCCCGCCCAGCAAACAGAACGCTGGGAACCGCCGATGAATTTAAGCTCTGATTGGATAGATTTTGCGTGATCTGTGACCTGCAAGTCATCACAGCCATTACCCTGCAAGGTTTTAAATGGCCGTTAAAGGGAATATACAACATTTGCAAACATCGAAAAATAAAACTACCAAGTTTTTGCGAAATACCTTAATAGGATGTTGGTAAATGACAGTCTAAAGCATCCTGTAAAATTATGGCACCTGGTATATTGTCATTTTCAAGAAAAGTGTTATTTTTGTATCAATTTCCAACGCTGATCGGCCGATCAGCGTTGGAAACAACTGGCTTTTTTTTTCAAATACTGGCCCCAATTGACCATCGCACTTGTTTACAATCGATTACAAACCTATGAACGGGTACGAGCCAGCTAGACTGGTTCCCTAACCTTACAATTCCCCAATGTATGTAAACTGCTCTGTTTCTTCTTATATGGAGTCAGGGAACCAGACTACAGGAAAATGATCGTTTTTCTTGGTTTTTATAGCATTTTCGAACCCAAAACCTCCAAAAAGTCAGTGTAACTATATTTGCTTTATATTTCCAACCCCCCAATTCCAACCATTTCTGAAAATTACAGCAAAAGCAAATGATGTATATTCCCTTTAAGACCGAGTCACTACTCTTTTATTTCCTTGGGGTTCGACCTTCATAAACCAACCAGTAGACAGAGCATTTTGAAATTTGAGCAATACACAGAATATCTTACTGACCTGTTTTTCCGGCTGCACACTCGATCTAAGACACCTTCACTTTCGAGATTGTCGAGTGTGTTTTTGAAGGCATCAGTGGCTGTAGCAAAAAAACAAAAACAAGAACAAAGTACGATGGGCAACTTCAGCTTGTAAAAAGGCACGACTTCTGCATGAATTAGAATAATTCTTGGCACACATTATGACAAAGACCAATCCTATCGCTGTACACTCGCGAAGGCCCCCTTGGTGAAAGCACTGAGCCTGCTAATGTTCAGACAATCCATCATAGTGCGGTTGCTTCGTACAATAGCTAGCACAATGCCTCCGCCATTGAGGGGGGCCTCAGTGAATTTCCATCGATAGCATGCATGGAATTAACCTATCGGGGTGGAATCGCGTGAACGCAGCTTGTGAAATATTGTCCAATTACATGATATACTAATGGACGCGGAACGAGCAAAATCTGAGACAAACAAAACTTAACGTACAAAATGCCATAGGGTTGTCTAACCCTAACTGCCCTGAATCCTTCAAAATCCTCTTTGCCAAACTGGAGGAATTTGGAGGATTGAGGTTACATGGCAAAAGTGCGTTACTGATTTCGTAGGATGCACTTTGTCAAGGTCTTGGGCCGAACCTTGTGTTGTTTTTGCTCAGCCATGCATAAATATAGGCCTGGATTACGCTTGAAATCCTCCGTACTGCTCCAGGATGTCACTGGCTAAGCCTCAACATACTGACAGTCACTGTCGCAAGATTTTGCAGGATTCAGGCAGTGGTCACCCCTCCACGGACCAGGGCATGGCTAACTCGCAAACAGCAATAGGTATAGTCTAAAGCACAGTAAAACTAAAAATACACTTCCTTATTTCTGACACGATTGCAGGTGAACACCACTCGTGCAAGCAAGAAAACAGGTGCCACTTTTCACTATTTTCACACTGGTCAGAAACATTTGAAAATATTCCTAATGATTTACAATTGTTTACAACTACATTAATTGGTCTGGCTCCCTACCTTCTTCCTCAAACGTCTCCCATCCTTCAATAGCTGGACACTCCATCCGAAGTTTCTGCATGGTGAACTGAGTGGGGAAGAAAAATTGAACTAGATCTAAAATTGATCTAAAAGATGCGTGCCCTGTGCTCCTCAAAAAAAAAAATTTAAAAAATTTTCTCACAACAAATTTTCCATTTTTTTGTACTGTTTAACGGGGAAAAAACTACTTTTATTTCCCGATTTTGGGCATTTGCAACCCTCTGCACAAAAAGGACTTTTACTTTCTTACAAATGAACCCGCTCTGCACGTGCCGAATGTTTGTCGTGCCGCAACTAGTTAGAATTTGGATAGAAAAAAGTCAATGTCAGAGGTTTTTTTTAATTCAATGTCTCATTCAAAAGTGAATCAGTTTTATATTGTTTGCAAAATAGCACTTGAAAAAAAAACAAATATTTTTTAGGATGCAACTCAAAAAAGCGCTGGGTATACCCTAACCACCCAACCCTTCAAAATCTAACTGCATGTTTTTGCTGTGCTTCTGTTGGAGTGGGTACTGCACTAGTTAACTGATATATGTTTTACATGGGGTCAAGCATACCACCATAATCAGAGTCCAACAGTTTGGGTGTTGAGTTACCATATGGTGTTGGATTTTGCAAGAGTGAGGACGGTTTCCTGAAAAAAAAACTCACTGGGATTTGGGTTAAAGGAAATACAAATCATTTATCATGCATTGTACATGAATGCATCAAACACATAAATCTGATGGCTGACCTGGAAGCAGGCGTCCTGTAGCTGGTATAACCTCTTGGCTTCTGGAATGTCGGTGGGAATTCTTTTGTGTAACTCTACAAGGAAATAAAATATAATATTTTTTTTGTTTTTGGAAATAATACTACGTACTGTTGAAGTGAGGTACTTAACTAAACCGAACTGTTGAAGTGTGGTACTTAACTAGAACCAGGTAAATGAGCTATTAGGTGTTAGTTTGGTCCAAAACTGGTAGGCACTAGCGCAAAAACTGTTGATCCGATGGCGCTAATACTTAAAATCTCATTTTTTTTCCCAGCCCAAATTACCCCATACACTTGAATAATTTGTAGACAGGCATGCAACTGGGGATTTAGAAAAAACGAGAAAACTCCAAACCACTCAAGACTTTGTACAGTATTTTTCAATTTGTAAGGGCACTCATGAGAAGTAAAAAACGAGGAAATCAGCGGATCCGAGGAAAAGTTGCATGTCTGTGTAGAGGGTAGGGTTTAAACTTTCAATTTTGGGGGGTGATTTGACATGGAATGACCCTCATGTGGCAGGTCCCGATCCCTGGCAAGCGCTGTCAAGCTACCGCGTTGGTAGAGGATTTTACCAATTAGTCAAAAAAGACTATTAGGTTCATACCTTCACAAAAGCTAATAAAATCCAACTTCTCATCATTTTAAGCTTTTAGTTTTTTAGTCATGCTAGTAGGGCTGTGCCTACTATACTGAATACTCAAATATTCAATCATCAACCGAATATCCAAGTACCTTTTTTTTTTCAATTCAAATATTCGAAAAAATGTGAGCGGTCTCGTGTAGATGATGTTGTATTTTAATCGTGCAAGTTGTGTGGTTTGTCAGTTTTGCTGCACTTTTCAAAATGCACAGTCCTTCTTTTTTTTTTGGGACTATAGTACGGATAACGATATCAATGTCAGCAACACTACAACATAGGCTTACCTGCACATGATATGTCAGTGGGTGGTAACGACTTCCTGGAGCGCCCTCTAACGAAGCTCGATCTGCGCTTTTTGCTTGCGCTTTTTCTTTTGCTGCTACTTGACATCTAGAAACCAGAAATTGGCCAATAAAACATATCGTATTATATGAAAATAAAAAGGACAAAAGTAAGCAGATGCCATTTTGTTGATTGTATTATGTACAAGGTATTTGGGGATTTGTGAATTTTTCTTTTAAACAAAACCTAAGTGTGACCCGCAACTTCACAACTGCCAGAATGACAAACATGTCAACTTTACTTCATCCTCCACGGCCCCGAAATAGAAAGGAAAAGAAAGGACAAATTTACTCTGCAATTTAAAGTTGGACTCAATTTAAAACAATAAAGGGAGAAAACTTGTACTTTTAGGAGGGCAATATGTAACAAAATTAAAATGTCATGGCATGTAGTCCGAGTAACTAGGACATTACGAATCGCCTTGTTTTTTTTTAACATTGGTCATCTCGATTGGTCTCCTCAATGAGCCAACTACATGGCGTCTTGATTGAGCATCTCCATGATGACCAATCAAAGTGTCCTGTAATTGGTCCGTCAGATGCTAGCCATGAGCAAGTCTGGTTCCCTGTTTCCATTGTCCTTCTGCCTTCAATATTTTAGGGGTCCCAAGGAAACAGTCTAGCCAGGAGCCGTGCACAAGTCAATTTTTCCTGAATTCAAAATTGCAGCCTAAAACACGGTCCGTGCTACAAGGATGTTTCCTAAATTGAGCCTGAAATTTCTCTTTTCTTCCCAAAGATATGTGAACCTAACCACCACCATTTGTATTTCCAATTCCCACTGAAGCCTACCGGAGCGCATCAAGCAGTTTGAGGACTGTTTGGGGAGTGAAAACTGAAATCTTAAGATTTTGTTTGGGGGTATGGTGAAGATGAGTGAAAATAATTTAACGGAAGTCGCAATACGGAAATGAACCACAGACTCTACTATCGCCCGACCATGTCCAAATGTTAAATATAGGCGATTTGTGGAGAGATGGGTTAGGGTTATGATTTAGGCCCTTCATCATGTATCCTCGAGTCACCATAATTGACGCAGCTAGGTAACGCTTGCAATGCGCACGCGTTGTCCAACGCAAATTGAATGCGAGTGCGTCAAAACATATCCTCGTCATTTTGGGATATGGATATAATAGGGGGCCTAGGCTAGGCGATCATTAGCCCGACTGCGTCTGGCCGTACAGTACTATCGCAAGCTCTGTAGTACTACAGAGCTTGCGATAGTACTGTACGGCCAGACGCAGTCGGGCTAGGCGATCATGACATTTTTTGACAAACATGACAAAAGTGGCTTCAGTATGTTCAGTGCTTAGTAACGATCTCGAATCTCTTTGCACATACTTTACAACTTGTCTAAATATAAATAATCATTAGGCCTAGGCCTACATCGTACATCAAATCATGATCTCTGTAATAAAGATTGAAGTGAAAATCGCAAACCTTTTCGCTGACGGATGGCTTTGAACATGACCAACATTGCCGCGAATCCGCGCGCGACTAGTCATGCCGATAGGCGCCGCCAACGTTGGAACTAGTCTCATTCGAAACGATACGGTCGGTGTGCGGATCAGAATAACCCTCGCTCCGTTATCGCTCCGTTATCGCTCCGTTTTACCCGGCAGCGAAAAGGTTTGCGATTTTCGGTCTTTATTTCAGGGATCATCGATGTAATAAGAATGTTTTAGACAAGTTGTTTAGCATAGATCATTCATAATCATAGAGTGCAAACAGATGTGATTGTGAGTGGCTATCGTAGACGTTACGACAGCCGGCCGGCCGCCGAGAACGCACAAGTTTCAAACACGGCACCTGCTTTCCCACAGCAAACTTAGGAGATTTGACCTTAGTGAGGTCAATTTGTGCATCTCTATATCTGGGCCCAATTTCTTGGCTCTGTGCTTACCAAAGAATTCCGTGCTTACGATCACCATTCTGCGCTAACGGCGCAAGCAGAAAAATTCTGCGCTTACCAAGCACAGAATCCTTACGCTTGTGCAAAATAGGCCTACTCCTAGTTTTGTTGTGCCCATTCTTGAAAATCACGCATTCTCGAGAATGGGCATGCACATTCTCGAGAATGGGCGCGCATTCTTAAGAATGAGCGCCCATTCTTAAGAACGAGCACGCGTTCTTAAGAATGAGCGCTCATTCTTAAGATTGGGTGGGAATATCACGTGCACAATTTATGAATTTTGCCCAATCTTAACAAACATTGCACGACATAATTATGTTAAATGAATTGTATAGCGGTTAAAAGGGAAACAATTCGTATAAAGAGGAAAGAAAATGTGCTATGCTTCTGTACTCGTATAACTACGATAATTTGAATCAAATTAAACCTGTTATTGCTTTTTTCTGCCCACTATGGGAAGTTTTGTAATAACGGAGGACTGGGAACTAGTCTGGGAAGTGCTTTGTTTAGGCTAGACAAGTTACAAGTCCCTGCATGTATCATATGCGTGCCACGAAAAAAAACGATGTCCAGAAGCTGCCAAAATTGCTCTTTTGACTAGATAGAATCCAGCTCTGCGACGTTATGGTGGGATGTGAACAATAAATTGGTGGCATTTTAAATGGGAAATAGCATTAGCACTATGGGATGTCGCAGTATTCATTCTCATTCTTCACATTCTTCATTCTTACGTTCCCCCCCCCCCCCCCCCCCCCCCCCCCCCCCGCTTTTATTATCCCAAAATCAGAATTCTTTGCACTAGTATTATTATGTCTCTTATATTTTCCCGGGTCCCCCCCCCCCCCCATATTAATACGCCTTTACTTATCATATCCACTCTATTTCAGCGCCTTGCGTTGCAACAGTATAATTATTGAGAATCAGTGAACGAGGATTCAGCTAGACTTGCCAAGCGCAGCCGGTGCTCGGCATCGACAAGACCGTTATCTTGTCGCGCATTCTCGAGAATGTGCGCTCAATCTGGAAGAGTTATTTTTTGCCAAGATTGAGCAAGGATCCAGTTGCACATTCTCAAGAATGTGCATGCCCATTCTCGAGAATGCGTGATTTTCAAGAATGGGCACAACAGTATGAAGCTCCGGCGAGCATAGTTCCAGGAGTATGTGCAAAAGCCACAATTCCTGGGTAACCTGTGAAATACGCTTGCCGTAAGCATGGAATTTTCTGTTATAGTAAGCAGGGTGGGCCCTGGTTCGTTAGTAAGAACGTCCATGGAGGAATAACGTCATACACGCGCGCGCACCACTGAATATTACTAGCGCCCACTGGATAAATGCTCGAATTGCGTATTAAACTTCCGGTTCCATTCCTGTGAAGTACGCATGAATTAATTGAGATGACGCCACACTAACGAACTGGATACTATGGCCTCTGATGACGTCATATGCATGGACCAAGTAGTACAGGCCACCACTTTTTTCATTTAATTTTCAAGCGCCAGAAAGTTGCATACGATGCATCCTTTATTATGCTTATTTCCTCCACTTTCCCTCCTCTACTCTCACCCTCTCCTCTCCTTCATTCCTAATTATTAATCAGTCACTTTCTTGAGATTCAAACCTTGGACATGTTCTTGTAAATGACATGTTCTTGTTAGACTGGGCACGATTGCTTGTTGCAATTATCAATCTTTGGACATAGGCCCTATTTAACCCTATGGGGACCAGGAACAAGTTTACTCTAGGCAGATCTGTAGGCGTATACTCAAAGTAGAGAACAATTTAATAGTTTCTTTCGCTAAAATGAAACAACAGGTTTAGAAGGGACAAAAATATGTGAGAAGAAACAAAATCAATTTTATTGATGTCATGATGATGATGACCAGATGCTTAATTATTATGGACATATGTCGTTGGAAAATTTGATATAGCATTGTTGTTGCCTTTTTGCTCGGCCTATAGTATTTAAAGTCTAGAGTAAACCAAAAAAAATACACTATCAATTTGAAACCATTAGTACACTATTCATAATAAGGCAAAATCATTTAGGCCACATGTTGTATTGGCACAGCTGACGGTAATGTCTAAATTAACATAACATTTGTGTACTCGGTACAACCTTTCTTTATATCCGGAACATATTTTTTGTGTGTAATTGTTAAACGGCATTAAAAAAATCACCAACTTTAGTTGCTGTATGCCCTGTTGTGTCATTCACAGGCTTATAGGGTCATTTGGTTTTCATACGTTCTGTGCGTTTGCAACTATAACACCACTCCAAATCCAAAGAAGAATGTTCAAAACCTAACCTGTGGATTCGAAGTTTCAGCTCAGTCGGTGGCTTCTACACTATTATTTGTTAGAAAACTGTGAAAAACCATACGCAACCTTTTGGTCACGAAACACTATGTCGTCAATGGCACTCTCTGATTCAAAAAATCAGTCGATTGACTGATCGTTGAAAATCAATTACGTTTCTTGATTTTGTCTGAATGACAGCAAACCGGACGGAATAATTTCACGGGGTGTTTAGTACCAGTACAATCTTTAATTAATCCAAGTAAGTTTTTGATAATTGTTTGGTATGTTTCTTTTGGGATAAATGCAAATGATACCTTTAATGTTCTGGTTTTGTTTTCCTTGCCTAGGTCTGAACTTGGAACGACTTTGTCCTCGTGCTGTTCTTCCAGAAAACAAGTGAACACGACGATGGAGTTGTCTGCACAGCGCTGGATCTTTATTGTCCATTTGGCACTGTGCCTTGTAGTTCAAAGGGTGTTCGGTGGCGAAGACCCACAGATAGATCCTAAGGGCTATGTGGTGTACTGTCCATGCATGGGTTAGTATCTCTGTATTTATACTGCTCAGTCTATGCAATTTTTACTTCAACATGTATGTGATATACATGTTGAAATAAAAACATTTATAAGCACTTCTGAATCCATCAAAATCCCCCAACTTTTTCAATATGGAGATATCCTGAATCCGCTGAAGTACTCCAAAACAGTGGTGTGGATTTTGATGGATTCAGGTACGTTAGGGTTCAGGTACGAAAGGGGTGTTCCTTAACCCTTACTCCCTAGCATGATTTACTAGGAGCCATACCCATCCTGGCAAGTTCCAACACCATATGGGAAACTGCACACACATATTTCTGACTTTGATTCTGGAGGTGTACCAACCCAATGTAAAAGACTCAGTTTAGGGGTACTGTACCCATCCTGACAGATTCCAACAAAACATGCCGTTGGGGTTTGACGGGTAAGAGTTAAATTATCACTTTTGTATTTTCAGGTCGGTTTGGGAACCAAGCAGACCAGTTTCTTGGAGCTCTAGCCTTCATTAAGACTCTGGATCGCACCATGGTGCTACCTCCCTGGGTGGAGTACGGCAAGCCGGGGAGCAAACCTGGATCGGTAAGTCGTTAGAAGACACAGTCCACGTCCGAATTGTTTTGGCAACAACCGAAAGAATCACCAACATCTGTAGGAAGCGGCTAAAGCAGCTTCCATAGAGGCGTGTGTAATTGCAAGCCATAGACAATGAATTTGTATGTGGTCAAAGTCACAGAGAATTTCTCATTTGACCTCCTTGACCAATTTTTAAGAAGCTGCAAAGAAGACCATTTTTTCTTTGTAATTTTTATCGTAGCAATACTCAACCAGGGGCAAGTTCGAGCAAGGACCAGTGGTTAACTAGTGGTTGGTTCGTGATGTACCTACCAAGTGCATGCGCACTGAAGTTGAAGTGCAAACGATCCCAGTCGAACTATTGTCATGTCAACGACGGTCACAAAATGACGGTCACACTATTATTCAACTCTTGTTGTTTCTCTTTTATATACACAAATAAGAGTGATTGTGTATAGTTTAGGACATCTTACTACATAATCTCCAATATTATTATACAATTGTGACAAAAGTGACATAATCGTAAACTAACATGGAAAAACTTCTTTCTATTGAGGAAGTTTTTAACCCTCTGAAAGTAGCTTTTATTTTTGGCTTGCTTTGCACCCATAACGAACAGTGGATACAAATGGATACAAAATTTATTTTTTAGATGAAACTCGGAAAGCACGGGAGGACAACTTTAGGATTAGAAGCTTCATGTTATTGGATTGTGCAAACTGGCAGGCAAATCTAGTCTGGGCTCAAATTTATGTGTCCGATTCGTAAACAAAATCCTACAAATTGAAATGCAAACAGAAGAATAGATCGTATTTGTGGAATTACAATGAATTCTTGTTACTGTTTACAGTCACAAATTCCATTTGATACCTACTTCAAAGTGGAGCCGTTAACCAAATACCACCGAGTCATCACTATGGAAGTCTTCATGAAGAAACTTGCACCCAAAGTATGGCCTCTGGGACAAAGGAAAGGTGTGTAAAATGAGCGCAATACACCATGGTATGATCAATCACATCCATGCTTGCACACCCAAATCTCTCACAAAGGTCTTACAAAGAGTTGTAATGACTCTAGTCAATGACTCGACTTGAGTCCGACTCGAGTCACAATTTTTGGTGACTCGACTCAACTCGAGTCTGTTAGGGTAAATGACTCGACTCAACTGTTACTGCAAGCACATGACTCGACTCAACTCAAGTCTCTCATCAGGAGACTCGACTCGACTCGAGCGAAGGCTAATAAAACTCGAGTCCCCCCAAAACAGTAGAACATTGCAAAAAATAGATGCAATGACTAACGGTGCAAAATTTATGTTCACGTCACTTTGCAAATACAGAACAGTACAGAGGCCGCTTGTCATGTACAAACATACACGTCACAGACTCCCACCTCATCGTTCTGGAACGAGCAAATCCAGGAACCGGATTTTAAACACATTTTCCAATTCGTTGTTTCATCATTGGCTTTGGGCGATTTCTTATGAAGATCTTGAGTTTTAAATGCCGGCTAAATTTATGCCATCCTTTTAAAAATGAAATAGATACATGCCCACTTTTAAATAGTCAGAGTAATGAATAATGATGTAATTGATGTTCTTCATGACCATAACTCTTTGTTTGCAGGTTTTTGCCACACATTTCGTGGGGGTGATTCCTGCAAGATGAAGGAAGGTAACCCGTTCGGTCCCTTCTGGGATAACTTCAACGTGGACTTTGATTCCTATGTGGAATTTGGCGGTGGCCTCAACTACATACCTTCAAGCTCAAATGCAAAAAAATGGAATGAAAGGTAATCTTACACTGTGTCCAAATTGCTACAGCTAGGGCTACATCCATTGTCGGCATATTCGCACATAGTTGTAATTGTTGAAGTCTTACTCAATAGCCCTGCGTGAGATATTGATAATAATAATAATGATCACGTGCCGGTATCCACCAAGCATGACGCTGATGGCTTATACAAAGAAAAATACAAAGAAAAATGTCAACTATAAAAACGATGAAAAAACAGATGGGTTTTGAGGGTAGATTTGAAGGTAGTCAGGGACTTCGTTTGGCGTAGTTCAAGTGGGAGATTGTTCCAAACTTCCGGGGCAGCATGAAAAAAGACCATTGACCCCATGAGTGATTGGTATGAGGTACAGTCAATTGGAGTAATTCTTGTGATCGGAGATTTCTAGCTTGTGATTAGGTACTTTATGTAACCGGGTGAAGTGCCTTGTAGTGAATGGAATACATGAAGGATAATCTTGCATGCAATGCGATCGGTGATGGGGAGCCAGTGAAGAGGCTTCAGTATGGGGGTTATGTGGGTTGTTCGTTTGGACCGTGTGACAAGACGAGCAGAGGCATTTTGAAGGCGTTGAAGCTTTTCAAATAGATTTTGTGGCAGGTTGTACAGGAGGGAGTTGCAGAAGTCCAGGCGGGAAGATATGAAAGCTTGAATCAGTTGTTGGCCCTATTCAATTGTTTGGGTGCTGGATTAACAGACATCGTTGTGCTATTCTCAGATTGTTTGATTATCAGACTTTTAAGATCCTTGAATTTCCAAGATTAGGCTTAGAGTTAGACAGATACAAACCCTATCAACTTAGAATGGGAAGCAAGACAAGATGAGCATGTACATGTCGCCTTTGAAATCTTTTTCCCCCCAAATTTTTAACATCTTGGTGCATGTTTACTATCATGTTCTTGAATTCAAATGCATATAAATTGGACTTATTTTGATAACACAGTATTTTCAGTTTGAAAAAAAAATGTTACATGAACTTTTTTTTAATTAGAAATCAATTTTAGGCTCCACATGGTTTTGAGATTAACAACTAAAACAAAACAAAAAAAATATTGATTTTTTTGCCATTAGATTTCCAGCCTCGGAGTATCCAGTCCTCGCATTCGGTGGTGCCCCCGGCAGCTTCCCCGTACTAGAAGAGAACGTACCCCTACACCAGTACCTCGTGTGGTCCGATAAGATCGAGAAGCAAGCCAGTGACTTCATCACAAAGAAACTCCCCGAGGGACCTTTCCTTGGAGTGCACATGAGGAATGGCTTGGACTGGGTAAGTTGGTCTGAAGACAGCCTCTGGGCAAACATTTCATGGCTAACCACAGAATTCCGCGCTTACGATCACCATTTTGTGACAACTGCGCTGGCAGAAAAATTCTGTGCTAACACTGTAAGCACAGAATCCCTAGCTATGGGATGTACGCATGCGCAGAAGCCAAAATTCCTCGCTAACGCGTGAATTACGCTTACCGTAAGCACAGTATTTTCTGCTACAGTAAGCAGGGATTTTTCGCTTACGGTAAGTAGAGCCAAGAAATTTGGGCTCTGCTATCTCGCTCAGATATCTATAGACCAATCTGGGCAAGCTATCAATCCTATCACGAAGGCCCCCTTCAGTGGTGAAAGCATTGTTCAAATAACTCTTGTTCAAATAATCCTTGTTCAAATAATCCGTCATGTGGTAGTGGCTTTGCCCAATAGCTTGCACAATGCTTTCGCCATTGAAGGGGGCCTCGTATGTGCATAGTGATCACATGCTAGCTGGATTCGTCTATAGAGCCAGCAAATGGCTGTGTTGTCCCTACTCCTAGAGCAAGTTCAGTCTTTTGTTATTGGCTATTTTAACCAGTGATGAAGTGACTCAACGTTTAAATGGTGCTTTATACTTTTGCTAGTAAAGTAGACGTAAAGTCTGTCATGAGCCAAGGTGGCCCATCAGGCCGGCGTTTATCTCCAGTTTCCTTGGCATGAAACGACTGAGAATATTTCTACTCCCCCTGAATGGGATGCTAGTCCATTGCAGGTTACTCCCCAGCTTTAATGCGGGTATCCATTTATACTCCTGGGCGGAGAGAGGCAATTGGGGATGAAGTGGCTTGCCCAAGGACACAACATATGGCCAGCAGCTGGATTCGAACCCCTGACCCTCTGATCATGAGTCATGAACCCTAACCACTAGGCCACACTCCCCTGGATAGTGTTGTCCAGACTCCTAGAGCAAGTTCAGTCACGGGCTATAGGCTGTTGTAACCAGTGATGAAGTGGTTCAACATTTAAACAGTGCTCAACGGTTTTTCGAAATGTTTACACAATCAGACGCAAAGTCCCATCCTAAGTTCAAAGCAAAAATCATAATTCATAAGTTATCATAATTCTCACTCAAACTTGGTCCCAATTGAACTATCACATGCACACAAATAGACACTGCATACCATATGTACAATTGTTCAAGAACGAGGCCAAATGTAAACAGACTGCAGTGAATGTAATGTTCCATGTCCTCATATATGCATGCACGATATTTGCTTATATTACACAACCCCTAACCATGGATGATTTTCATCTGCTTCGTTTGTCTCACAGGTGAACGTCTGCAACAACCACGTAGGAGTTGAACAAAACAGGCATCTCTTTGGCTCGCCGCAGTGCCTAGGGTATCGCTTTGAGCACGGGCAGGTGACGAAGGACATGTGCTTCCCTCCTGACGACCTGGTGAAGCGACAGATCCGGAGACGGGTCAAGAAGATGAAAGCCAAGTCGGTGTTTGTTGCCGCTGATGCTGACCCCATGATGATGGTGCTGACCAGGATGCTAGAACCAATCAAGGTAATCCTCCCATTCAGGGGCATAAATAACGGAGGGGGGGGGGGGGGAGGGGCTGCATTCTCACCCCTGCTCAGAGATTGGAAAAGAAAAAAAAAATTGTTTGAAAGTGAAGTACTCATAGACCACTATCCTGTTGCGGCCATTTGGATTTTTCCCATTCACATACTCTTGTTTTACTATACCCCCGAGGACAATGCTTGTGTTTTCCTTTGTCCCTACAATATAACACACTCCCATTGACTAAGAACACAAACCTACTACAGAGGACCGTTTTGAACAAAAGACCCAACTCCTGAGGACTGAAAGGATCTGTTGTTCTCCCTTTGTGTGTCCGTCCTTGGGGGTTATGTGAACAAGTGCAGATCAACGTAACCAAAGCGAGGCTGGAAGGAAAAATAGTCTGGTTCCATTTTTCCACAAAATACATTAAGTACTGATGTTGGATACAGGAAACATGACTGAAATGGTGGCAGCATGATGAAGGTTTATGGAGTGTCGTCCTAGGAAATGGAGACCCTACACGTGCATCCCATTAATGGACCCCAGCTACACTACTGCTCCCATACCCTTCAAAGTCCCCCTAGTTGTTTTGTTTGTTTTTTGAGAATTTTCAGAATTACGGAACATAGATCCCAGCCCCTATCACTTTGCATAGGGCTTGATACCCTCTTTAGAGTACAAAGATTGTGAAGTTCTTTTCCAGCACAGTGGTAGATTTTGGCAGCCTTTATGAAGTTTATTGCAAAAATGCCTGGTTGTCTGCCCTATGTGGACAGTAATATTGACCCTTTCAGGTTTACAACCTGACTGCCTAAAGTATGTAGGAACTAGAATCCTATTCGTAAGATGGAATTTTGCGTCGGGGTGATGTAAATCAAATTAGGTTTTGCCCTTCACCGATGTATAAACACTGTATACTCAGTGTGTTTACTCCCGAGTGAAAGTTTCATTAGAGCCTAATGAAACTGAAAAATATATTCCATGATATCCCTTGAATCAGCCGATTTCATTCTTATGAAATTCTTGTAAATGCTATTGAATTGCACTTAAAACTGAATCAAATTAATTAAATAATAGGTTGAAAAAAGATTGTGACTGTAATTGAACTTGAACCTGTGATGTGACAGCATACACAAACTTGTTTCACTACCAAAAAAGTTATAACTGCGCTCTTTATTTCTGCCATCAAAAAAAAAGGTCCGGGTTTTGCAGTTTGACGAGCACGAGCTGCACGTGGAGCTGGCCATTCTAGCCAGGGCTGACCACTACATCGGTAACTGCATATCAACGTTCTCGGCCTTCGCCGCGCGAGAGAGGGGCGTGACCGGCAAGTCCACCTCCTTCTGGGCCGTCGACGAGGTGCTCGATAAGGACAAGATCAAGAAGAAGAAGAAGCGTGCTCACGCAGAGGACGAACTTTAACGTTTGTTTCATTAGATAGAATTTTTGAAGTGCTCTTTTAGTTTGCTTTTGTATTTATCTTCCTTTGCTTTGTTTTATTTTTTTATATATTGAAATTTGGTTGTATTTCTCCGTTTTTTCTCAATTAAATTGCATGTACAGGGTGGTGCAAAAAGAAGGAACCCACATTTGACAGGAATTTTAACCTACTTACTTAAAGGGAAAATACAACATTTGCAAACATCGAAAAATAAAACTACCAAGTTGTTACAAAATACCTTACTAGGATGTTGGTAAATGACATGCTAAAGCATCCTGTAAAATTATGGCACCTGGTGTGAAGCCATTTTCAAGAAAATGGTATATTTGAATACATTTCCAACGCTGGTCGGCCGACCATCGTTGGAAAAACCTAACTATTTTTCAATTACTGCTCCAAATTTACCATTTTATTTAGTCTAGATTTTGTTTTGCTAGCTATAGGTTCCATGTTCATGAACGGATGCAGGCAAGCTAGACTGGTTCCCTTACCCTACAATTTTCCGTTATTTTTTATCCATTTCATCTTTAGTGGAGTCAGGGAACCAGACTAATTGAATATTTTTGTTTTTCTTGGTTTTTCGAGCATTTTCGAACACAAAACGTCAAACATGTCAGTGCAACAATATTTGATCTATTATACTAACCCCCCAAATAGTTCATTTCTGAAAATTACAGCAAAAGCCAATGATGTACATTCCCTTTAACTTATTTGAACTGGGTTTTTTTTTTATAATTTAGCGAAATATAGCTCTTCAACCATACATGGTGAAAAAAATCTTTAAAGAAATCACAAGAATAGTGTTATTATGCCAATTTGAATACAAGTCACCAAAATCACTGTTGTCCACGTGTAAGTCTAGTGTAGTGTTTTTTTTGTCTTCAAATCAAGCTCCGGAGCTCAGTCAAGCAGATGGAATAAAGCCGTCCATAAAGAAACAGGTTTGGCACCTGAAATTTTAAAACTATATCTCAGAGACAAAAAAAATGCATTGGCAATCATTTCTTCGTCACTTATCAAGGATCAATATTTAAATACCGTTAAATTGAATTTTAATCTTAAAATTAATGTGGCCTGACGTTGCGAACTTAGCAAGTTCTTCTTCAGAGGCTAAAACAGAAATGACAGAGGTACATACATTAACATGGGGGTGCACACAAACATGCAGGGCTGAAAGAAGAAACACAAAAGGAGGATTAAGTGGGAAAGGTGTAGAAAGATGCAGGGGAGGGTGGATGAGAGAACAAAGAAACAAAGGGAGATGGCAAACCACAAGGGGTCTGGTGTGAACAGGGGAGGGACCAGAAAGGGGAAGGATCAAAGGTCACAGGGGGTGGGAACGGACAAAAGAGTGTGAGAGTGAAGGGATGATGCGGGGGGGGGGGGGGGGGGAAACAGTATGGAGGTGGAAAGGGATGAAAGATGGGGGAAGATGGGTAAACACAAACAAGGAAGACCAGATGGATTATCTGTAACAGAAGACAATGGAGGAAAAAAAGGATTAATCATTTCCAAGTTGGATGTTGAGACCGTGTGGTTGGATAGTTCGAAGACGATTCATCCACACTTTCTCTCTGCTGAGGCGAACTGAGTCCTTGCGATGGCCAAGAGATTCAATGCCCTGCAAAATCATATCAGAAATGGAGTGGTTAGGCAGGTTGAAGTGATGACCAACAGGGGTGTCTAGTTTCTTGGTGTTGACCGTTGACCGGTGGGCATAGAAACGCTTCTTGAGCGTATTCTTAGTCTCACCTACATACTGCACTCCACAGACCCTGCAAGAAATGAGATATATGACATTAGAGGTGTTACAAGTGATGTTACCAATGGTTCTGTGGGTAGTGACAGAAGAGTGGCCAGAAAAGGAGTCAGACTCCTGGATATGAATCTGGCAGACAACACATCTGGAAGTGCACTTGAAAGTACCATGCTGGGTGGGAGGGGATGCATCTAAGGATGGGACTTCAGCTCGAACAATCAAGTCCCGTAGATTTCGAGGACGCCTGTAAGCCAATGTGGGGCCGTTGGGGATGGCGCGGGCAAGGCGATCTGAAGTATGGAGGATATGATGATTGTCATTAGTGATTTTGCGAAGGGGAGGGAGATTGGGGTGAAACGTGGTAACCAAGGGAATCATGGGTTTGGCCATGGCATCAGGGGCCTTTCCCGTGAGAGCTAGATTTCTGGGGATAGCTTTAGCTCTGGCAATGGCACGATGAACTTGGCGAGAGCTGTGACCCCTGGCCACCAAGTTGTTCCTCAGTATCTGTGTATGGCGGGAGAAATCGGAATCATTAGAACAAATTCTTCTTAGTCTGAGTGCCTGGCTAAACGCTATGCCAGTTTTGCAGTGCCTGGGGTGACAGCTGGAGGAATGGAGGTACTGGTGGGTGTCTGTGGGTTTGGAATACAGGTCAGTGGTTAGTGAGTTGCCTTGCTTGCGGACGGTGACATCCAGAAAGTGGGTTTGGTGAGCCGAGAACTCCGATGTGAATTTGATGGTTCTGTGGAAGGAATTGATGTGGTTAGTGAAGGTCAAGAGACTGTCCTTATCACTGGTCCAGATGAAAAAAACATCATCAATATATCTCCACCAGATCCAAGGGCGACATGGGGCCGAGGCAAGAATGCGTTCTTCGAGGTCACCCATGAAGAGGCAAGCCATCGACGGAGCCATGCGAGTGCCCATTGCAGTGCCGTGTACCTGTAGATAGTGTTCACCAAGGAAGGAAAAATTGTTCTTCGTTAGTATAAGTCTCATGAGGGTGCCAACATCACTGATGGGAGGAGTCGTGTGTCCTGCCTTGGCCAGAGCCAAGGAGCAAGCACGAACACCCTCCTCATGTGGGATGTTGGTGTACAGAGATGAGACGTCGAAAGTCCCAATGATGGCTGTGCTGGGAATCTGGTCCTTGATTCCTTCAAGCTTGCGTAGGAAGTCTGGGGTGTCGTGAATGTATGACGAAATCTGTGGGACAAGGGGTTTGAGAAAACTGTCAATGAACAGGGAGATGCGTTCCGTGGGTGAGCCATTACCGGAGATGATGGGTCTACCGGGGTTGCCAGCCTTGTGAATCTTGGGTAGAAGGTAAAATCTGGCAGTCCTACAATCACAGGGAGAAAGAAATTTGTGAGCTTTCTTGGACAACTGGTCGCGTGATCGCATATCGTCAAGTACCTGTTGTATATCTCGACAGAAAGTACCTGTGGGGTCAGAGTCAAGGCGGGTATAGTTAGTGCGATTATCCAACTGACGGTGGGCCTCATCAATGTACTGCTGACGATCCATGATGACCACAGCTGAGCCTTTATCTGCTGGCTTGATGATGATGTCGGTGCGAGAGCGCAAGGAGTTGAGAGCCAGGCGCTCCTCTCTGGGGAGATTATCATGAGTCCTGTGGGGGAAGTTGTCCGGGTTAGTGACTTGGGAATTGATAACTTGAACGTATGTCTCTATGGCTGGCACACGATTCTTGGGGGGTACCCATGAACTCTTGACTCGAAAAGGCTCTGGCTCACACGGTTCACTGTCCAGGAAAAACTCACGCAGACGGATTCTACGGTAGTATTCCGTGAGATCTTGGCTGAGCTGAACCTGGTTCACAGAACGGGGAGCGGGACAAAAATTGAGACCCTTGGAGAGAAGTTTGTGCTCTGCGTCAGATATTGATGAGGAAGAAAGATTAACTACAGTGTTGACAGGGGGTTCTGGCGTAGGCGTGGTAGATGGGGACCTAGGACGTCTGAAACGTCTGTGTCTGCGTTGCTGTTGCTTGGCAAGCAAGCCACCAATCTTCTTGTTTCTCCTGTTGAGTAGGACAGAGTCAAGGTTAGACAAACCCCTTTCAATCTCATCATGGAAATTCCTGTACGTGGAGTCAGAACAACTGGATTTGAGTTGGGAGTCAAGGTGGGAAATATTCTGATGGAGGTCCTCACGTGTAAATTGACACTGCTGAGAGAGAATATTGATGAGTTTAATAGAGGCACCATGTATAACTTGATTCCACCTCCTTTGAAGGTGTGGTGGGAGGTTTCCTAAGCAGGGAGTGTGAGACAGTTGCAAACCTTTGGGGATAAATCGAGAGAGGGAGTAAAAACTGTAGTTATCCTGATGGTAGGAAAAGCGTAAGGCCTTTTCCTTTGCCTTTCTGAGCTGTTGGAAAGTGCAAATGGTGTCACTCATATCTGTAGAAAGGGAGAGAATAAATGGTTAATACAATTGGGGGCAGAGCAAAACAAAATTGTAGGTACCTGTAGTGGGGAGAGAACAGTTTGATTAGTACATGGTATAAAACGATCAAAAGAAGGAACAAAACAAAACACAATGAAACTTACATAAATTGAATTTTAGAAATATGCTCAACAAGTAGGTGAGAATTTGCTGTTAAAAGTGGGTTTCTTTCTTTTTGCACCACTTTGTAGAATGATTGAGGTCTTTGCAGCTTTTAAGCAGATGATCATGGACTTGATTCTGTTGTAGTCATCTTTCATAAAACTCTTGACTATATTATATCTAGGATATTATTCTAGAATTAACTTTGTATTCAACAGACAGCTGGGGTTTAATTTTAATGCCAAATCAACCACAGTTCAAATCGGGGACTAATTATTTCAGTTGTATGCCGGTTTGAAAATAACAAGTACTACAATTTTTGTTTTTGTTCTGTTTACTTATTTTTCTCCCCGTTGAGATCAGTATTTATGTCATTCGTCCCTTGACAAGCAATACTTTTATATTTTGTCCATAGGTAAAATAAATGTAGTTCTTGTGTTTTCATATAGCTGGTAGATAGTTACCTCTGCCAAGGAGGTTATGTTTTTATCAGTGTTGGTTGTAAGGTTGGTTGGTTGGTTTGTTAAGAAGATAACTCATCAAAAAGTTATGGACTGGATTTGCTTGAAAAAATGTAGGGGAGGTCCTTGGTACAAGTACAAATCGATAAGATTTTGGAAGTGATCCGGATCTGGGTCTGGATCCAGGATTTTTTTTTTTAAGGATTCTTCACCATTTATGCGAGTACATGTATTTCTTTTGTGTGTACTGACAATATGGTGGGGAATTGTGTAGCTACACCTTGACAGAGGTTTGCGCTCTCTGAGTGCTTGCTAGTTTTGTCATGTAATGCAACGCGCACAAAAGTAAAATTCTGCACCAAAATGCCTTCAGTTGAGTCCTTTATACATGTATCAGTTTTACTGAATATTTCAAATGTTCAATGTCGCATTTTGTTCAAGCATTAAAATGTCTTTTCATGCAGTAACACATATTAAGTTTTGATAAATTACCTACAAAAAATTAATATGTCATCCATTGACTGTCTGTAGAATATATCTATTAGACATTGGATATTTTAACAATATTAGCGAATAGACACTTGTGTACTAGTTTGAAATGATATATTTTTATAGGAAAAAAATACACTTTTTTTTATTAATCCTAGTAATAAAATACCATAAGGTAAAACAGCAGCATTAAAATTATGACAACTATGCATATTTTTTTTGGCATAAATATTAGTGTTCAAATTCATAATGTAGCCTAAAATTAAAAAACTAATTTCAAGCAATCATATTTTTAAATGGATGACTGGAAAGGTTTAATTACCAAGTTGGATTCTGTTATTCATCCACAACTCCACATGCACTGGTTTTGATGGAATTCTTCTGAATTAGACTTAAGTAGCCCCTTATTTGTATGGATTTTGTTTTCTTTTGTTGCTTTTCTATTTTCTTTTACCTTTTTTGTGTGGAATCCTGCTCTTTTTTCTTAAATATTCAGTTTCTGTGTTGCATCTCTTTTCTAGTCTCAACTGTTTTGAAAATTAATGCAGCATTGTCCTGGCTGTTTTGGTTTTTCCATTTATCGTGATTCTTATATTTTAAGTGGGGTTCTATGTGGTAAATATAGGTCTGCCGTATTACACCACCATGTGGGTGGTATAAATAAATGAAATTTATTGACAAAATGATTATTGAAGTTGTCAATTTTATTGGAGTTCAGTAGCCCGGCCGGGTCCGTTTCCATGGAGCTTTAGCAGAGCAAATCTGTGTGCTGTTTAAAGGTTGCAGGCCAGTATGATCGGTCCGAAATCGCCTGCGCTGGCCAAATCACGATTTGCATGCCATCAAATTCTTCACTATTTGAGCATTTTGTGGGCCGTGAACTTGAGGGTTTGTAACAAAATATGGGTGGAAGCCGTGCACAGGACTATGAGCTTATAGTTCTGTGCAATTTGGATGAAATTGGAGCCCTAAAAGCGCTCTGTTTTGCAATGGAGTGTAGGCGGCGTTTTTGAAAATGGCGATGGGCTTCAGGACCATTTTAAGGGGTGATCATCGTCGGATGGAAATTTCTCCTAAAAGTCGTTAGTTAACCCCAAAAAAATTGTAAAGAAAATGAAAGATGATGAAATAGGCTTTAATTTGATGTGTGTCTGGAATACCTTAGAGAGTTGTGAGTATTTTTCCTGAATTTCTGAATTGGGGGCATTTATCGTTGGGGTTTATGGCAGTTTATTTAGTGGTCTCCAACCTGAAAGGTTTTCCTGAACTTAAGCTATAGTGCGCCCTCTTGTGACGGATGATTTCCGGGCGATGAACTCGACGACCTACCTGCCGAGTTTTTGGATTTTCGCGGGAAACGAGCGGAAAAGGGGCCAGAGTTCCTACTAATTTCACCTTAATTCGGTGAGTTTTGGGAAGAAATGGATTGTTTGACTCATTTGGCTGTTCGTGTAGATTCTATAGATTGCTTTAAATGAATGATCGGGGGAGTATGGTCGTTGAGATTGCAGATAGGATAGTGCCTGTGGCTGTTCGGTGTGCAAAAATATTGCAGTTTGCACGCCATGTGCGTGCATATAGGGGGCCTACTGGTTTGTTTTTGGACATTGATGATTGATCTGATTTGGCGTGATTCATTGGACATTGGACGTAAGAGAACATACAGGGCTGGACTAAGGCTGAACAAGGAGGAAGGAGAAAAAAATGGGGGAAAAATCCATACTGGATCACCACTTTACCTGCCGCCAAACACATCAATTTTCACCTCACCTTGTGATTTCACCCAAGAGGAATCCAGGAAGCTGTGTAGGCCTAGGCCTAAAATTTAAAATGCGAAAAAAAATTAGGCAAAATGTGTTTTTGGAGCACATTTTGGATGCTCACGTCGTGCAGAACTTAAAGTTTAAGCAGCCGGTCAAAAATGATTGAAGTGTCTGGAAGACAGCGGTACGTTATACGCATGACATCGACAACCATGACAACGCATGAGCTGGCCAATGATAGTGCAATACCTCATTATGAATATTTATTTTCACATGAATATTTAGGATACTTCAAATACGTCCAAAGTTTGATTATTGCAACAGCAATCGTGTGCGGCCTAGCGGTTAAGAGTCTCGTGTCGTGGATAAAGGATGCAACTTTTGGCGCTTGAAAATTGAAAAGGAGTGGTGATCCAGTAGTACGGAATTTTTTTCGAAAAGACATGAATCTGGGACTGAGAAACATTTCCAATTTTGTTGGGAAATACTTTGAAAATGCACACGACTCTCCATAGACTTTGTACACAACCAGAAAAGTGGCGTCTGGATAGGCCTAGTACTACATTCTTTCCACTTCCTGTTAACATGTTTCCTTTTGTCTTCATTTTTTTGGCTGGCCTAAGGCTTAGGCTATGTTGATCACAAAGTGCAGAATAATTTATTCAATTGTATCGCCAGTCATATCTCAATTTTTGAGAAAAAGGTTGACAGCTCTAATGGTAATGTGTAATAAATTTTTCATTGTTGTCTTACATCGCTTTACCCAAAAACGTATGGTCGGCGTACAGATCTGCACAGTGCACAGATTCCTCCATCATTGGATTGACCAGCAACCAATATGGAGAAATCGCCTGCCCGCAAAAATCAACCGAAACATGAAACTGTGATGGACCCAAGCCAACCCCAGGGAGCCACGGTCAACAAGGCTGACCACAAACTGATCATTGAGAACAACAATCTTTTGTCAGAGACCAAGTTAACAAGCCCAACCTCCGAAACTGGCGGAGACGAAACAATGCAGCATTCAAAGCCAGGGAACCTCGCAGAACCTCAGCGAACCTCACTGGATGGTGAGGATGCAGGGACCAAAGAAGATCCTCAGACACACTCGGAGAAAGGCAGGGAAACGGAAGGCGCAGGGTGTTCGTCGAGAGGTCAGGACATACCAGACAAAGACTGTGAGTTTGTGCCGGGGTTGGATGTGCTCGCTCGCTGGAACGATGGTTTGTTCTACCTTGGAATAGTTTCAAAGGTTTGTAATTTAGTGCGTTTACAGGTAGTACAGGAACCGGGTACGTTATTGAAGTAAAACATGGGTACCCGGGTACAGTGGAATGCTGCTATAATGAACATCATGGAATCCACTGGAATTGTTCGTAATAGCGATCGTTCGGTATTATGATTTTAAGCTGCCAGTGCTCCAGTACTCACTTTTCAATAAATAGATTCAGAACTTCACCCTGCAATGCCCTGGTAGTTACTTAAAGATGACTTTGAACACGCGCTGACTATTGAATTATGTCATTACACAGTTTCTGAGCTTACTACCTACAGCGATGAGTGGATTTCCCTTCTATTCCTTGGGGACATAATAGCCACTTGTCGCTCTTCTCTTGACATTTTTTGGTATGTTTTGTACACAAAAATTGGGAGCAAATTGGTATAGCGGTGTTTGGTGTAGTGACGTTCCACTGTACCTGTAAAAGATAGTCAAATCAAAAATGAAGTTTTCTGTCAAACTTTATTTAGAATTTAAATAAACAAAACTACCCATAACTGTACATTATGCATGAAATCAAAAATGTCCTCAGAAATTAATTGATTTTCAATGTTTTGCTTAAAAATCCCATATTCATAAATACCTAAGACAAATTTACCCACTCCCATTGGTCAAGAGTCCATCACTTGGCCGGTCTTAAACACTGGCTGGCTGGTCTTAAACACATGAAATGTGGACTCCTATGAAATCTAGTCCCTTTTAGCCTTTAATTGGTTGAACATGCACAATCCTCACTTAGGCAAGCGCAACACTACCAAGTAGTCTATACTTCATAGTCATAAATTCACACTACACCGGCACAACTGCGCTCTGCACCACGTTGCGCTCGCACCAATCTCCATATAAGGAGTTGTTTACGACAACTTGCGAGAGGCACATACCATATCATAGCTAGAGGGGTGTTTCGAAAAACAAGAAGTAAAATTGTTGAACAAAAAGTTTAAAATTTATGTTTGTTGGCTTGTTTTGACTCTTGGACCGAAAAGATATTTAACGCAAAAGGTCTATTTACACAGTTTTATTGAAAATTTATAGTTGGTAGACCAGTTGATGATTTTGAAAAATTTGTGAATTTCCAAAAAACAACCTTTCTTTTTGTTTTAGGTGATTCCTCACCAGAAGAAGTGCCTTGTGATTTTTGAAGACAGCTCAGAGCACTGGGTGCTGTTTAAACATCTCCAAAAAGGTAAATTATTTATGATATTATCTACTAGTGCAAAAACACAACATTCCTTTGTTAGCTTTAATTAACTCATTTTAAGAGTTTCCTTCAAAATGTGTATGCATGGACCATACAAACAGTGGATATACACTTTTCATGGTAAAATCTCTTCTTTTTTTCCCCACCTGCCTTGATTGGCAACCATAGCCTTTCACTCTGTGACAAATGACACCACAAAAACCACAATTGAAAAGTGGCGCAGCAATTCTCGTAATAGAACCTTTCATAAAATTGGTCACTGCTCAGTCAACCGTGAATGTAATGACATGATCAGGGTGTCATTTTAAAGAGGAGATTCAACCCTAACAGAGGATATCTCCCTTTGATTCACATGTGCCCTACTTCTGTTCCAACTGGCAATAATATCTCGGTTTCGTTTTTTTTATCAACCCTGTATAGAACCATGCACTTTTTTGTTTAAACGAAGTTTCAGGTAAACAGGATAAGATGTTTTTTATAATGTTTCATGTCTTAACAAGCTTGGTCAGAGATTGCAAACAAAATAGAGTTCCAGAGTGAATACTCACGCGCACAATGTGTGTGTAAAAGACATTCATCAGCGCGTGATTCAGACCGTGAACCAACACACGCGTGTACTCCATTCTTTTGCATACACTTTCTGGTTCTAAATGACGTCACACTTCGGTACTCTGTTGACCAAACGTATGAATCAAAGGTATTTACTGAGAATTATCACTTTAAACAATATTGACATAGTCGTCTTCTTTGTGGAGTCTCTTTTTAGTCGTCTTCTTTGTGTGGTCTCTTTTTATAAAATAATTTGTCTTCAATCAATTTTTTCTGATTTCATTTTTTTTTTCATTTTTAGGTCGAACTCCCAACAGTGAAATAACCTGCTGTGTGTGTGAGGGAGATCAGTCCGAGCCACCCAATGAGATAGTCATCTGTGATCGCTGTGGTTTAGGTAAACATTCCCGTATTATGGAACAATGTTGAAATATGATATTTCTGCAATAATGGTAGATTAAAGAGGGGTTCAAACATATTGTCACCTGCGCTGTGAACCTGCTTAACCATTTCAAGCCAGGACTATTTTTTACAAGAACGGAACGAGGCGCGGAATTACTTTTCACTTGACCTCAAGCCAGGCGGGTTAAAGGGGCGGGTTAAAGGGGCACTAGGTCCTGAAATCCCCGAAAATTTCATGTTTTGGATTGTTTACTTATCCTATTTCAAACATGTGGTTGAAAGGAAACCAACCTAATGTCTTACCGTTCCCGAGAGAAGAGGAAAAATCCTCGGTTGTTTACATCGGACTTGACGGAGTATGAATACGTTTTTCGTGTCGTTCTCACACAGTGTTCGATATACACGTTCTGTGTCTCGGGAACAGCGCGCGGTGACCAATCACCAATGCAAAAATTTGGTTTCTTCAACACTTTACAAATGAAATCGCAACTAGCATCCAAACAACTCGAATTTATGGGGTCGCAAAAGTGGACCCTGAAATTCGTTCTCGCACGCATAATACGGGAATAACAGAAAATCGCCCAGTTTTTAAAGGATAGTTGTGTGGATGATTATATCCTACTTTTAAATGTTCTTTCACAATCTGTTCTTAACACAATCTTGTTCAAAGCGCGTTTTGTAACCCAATTGGGCTGTTCCAGGACCTAGTGTCCCTCTAAAGCCATCACCCTTGGGCTGAACACGTGTATTTTCGGGCCTCGCTGGTTGCGAGTGGGTCGCTGACAGATATTTCTAAGATATTTATCTGTCACCCGTTCCAAATACCAAAATCTTTTTGCGTTTTACGGCCTCCGGTGCGAACTGGTTAAAGCTATCATAAAAAATAATAATTATAAGCTCAGCCAAATTTTAAAAAAAATAACATGGATATTTTGTAGAATTTTCAGCCCTATGAAATTTCTGAACCCTGTGATTTGTACAGGATATCATCAGCTATGTCACCAGCCAGTCATCGACAGTTTCAAACTCCTGTGCCCTGATGAGTCCTGGCATTGCAGACAGTGTGTGTTTGTCAACTCGGCAAAGGTCGGTAAAACTTGAATAATTCCTACATTCTCACGAAAAGAAAAAGAAAAATTAATTGAAGTGAAAGTCTGAAAATAAAAACAAACTGTTTTTGACAAATTAAAGTGAAAAGTTTCATTTTGGGGGTGGAAAGGGATAGTAACATTTATTTAGTGTACAAAAACTACATTGGTGTTGCTTGCTGCTTGGTCTTGCATTTTGATTAGTGTACATTTCGTCAATGTCGTATCCTTGTTTGATTTTATATTCATTCATTGACCGTTTATCAACACTAAAAACGTGTGTCCATATTTGTGTGACCATCAAAGACGACACCTTCCAAGTTGACTCATCTTCCATGTTATATTTTAATGGCTTCTTGTCTTACTCTTTATTTTAATATTTTTCACAGGTTGGAGGTGCTTTGAAGAAAGGCCCTGCAGGTAGGAAAACTGTAACAAGAAAGCGATTTTTTTTAACAACCCTTTCAGTTCAATTTATCAGAGTCCTGTTCCAGAGACCACATACTTATGTACACATCTACAAGTATACAAATATTGAGTGGCTCAGCGTGGAATGGGAGGAATATTATCGCAAGGTAAAATCTGGACTTTTCCATTTCACGAGGCGAAGCCGAGTGAACTGGAAAAGTCCAGATTTTACCGAGCGATAATATTCCTCCCATTTCACAATTTAAAGCCACTCAATATTTGTTTTATATAACTGACATATAGATCCTTGTCATTTGATATATTTGAACTTTTATTTCAATACAAAATTTGTGGAAAATGGATTTCTTTCTTCCAAACCACCCCTTCACAAAAATATTTGAACCAAACACTGTAGCACTGGCTCTTTGGAACAATACGCGCAACGCTGAACGTGCACACCAGCATGCATTTGCACGCAAATACCGCGTCATGGAACAAGAATGATCCTAACTGTTCAATAGTATTTCCCATTCCCCACAGGCGAATGGGACTTTGTCACTCATTGCTTCTCTCCACCCAGGAGTAAATGGGTACCTGTGAGGGCAGAGATGGTTATTGTGATTGAATTAGCTTCCTTGCGCCTAACAGGCAGCATCGAGCTGTATACTCCCCAGGGAGCTGAGATGGTATTTGGAATGTTTCATGGGCCCAGTGAGCAGGGGTAATAATGATGTAGCGCCTTGAGCACCAGTCCTTGTGGATATGTGCGCTTTATAAATACCAACTATTATTATTATTAATTACTCGGGACAATACCGAGTGTACAGTGTTTAGCAAAATACGCCGGTGAAGGGCAAATCCCGATATTGAACCTTGTATTGTTTTTTTGCTTATATGACCTCTTGTTTTTCCTTCCATAGCCAAAGTTTTCCAAGAAATGAAACAATCTCTACCATACAAGGTATATGGACATCACTAGTTAATTGTTCTGATGTGATTAAATATATGTATATTGTTTTTATGTGCACATTGGGAAGAAGAATTTCACTTTTAAAGTCTTTTAATTGTGATGAAATAAAATATTGGATTGGATTGGATTGGATTGGATTGGATTGGTGAAGATTGGTGAAGATTGGTGAAGATTAGATTGGATTGGATTGGGTTGGATTGGATTGGATTGGATTGGATTGGTGAGGATTGGATTGGGTTGGATTGGATTGGATTGGATTGGATTGGTGAGGATTGGTGAGGATTGGATTGGGTTGGATTGGATTGGATTGGATTGGTGAAGATTGGTGAAGATTGGTGAAGATTGGTGAAGATTAGATTGGATTGGATTGGGTTGGATTGGATTGGATTGGATTGGATTGGTGAGGATTGGATTGGATTGGGTTGGATTGGATTGGATTGGATTGGATTGGTGAGGATTGGATTGGATTGGATTGGATTGGTGAAGATTGGTGAAGATTAGATTGGATTGGATTGGTGAGGATTGGATTGGATTGGTGAGGATTGGATTGGATTGGTGAGGATTGGATTGGTGAGGATTGGATTGGATTGGTGAGGATTGGATTGGTGAAGATTGGATTGGTGAAGATTGGTGAAGATTGGTGAAGATTAGATTGGATTGGGTTGGATTGGATTGGTGAGGATTGGATTGGTGAGGATTGGATTGGGTTGGATTGGTGAGGATTGGTGAGGATTGGATTGGGTTGGATTGGATTGGATTGGATTGGTGAAGATTGGTGAAGATTAGATTGGATTGGATTGGTGAGGATTGGATTGGATTGGTGAGGATTGGATTGGATTGGTGAGGATTGGATTGGTGAGGATTGGATTGGATTGGATTGGATTGGTGAAGATTGGTGAAGATTAGATTGGATTGGGTTGGATTGGATTGGATTGGTGAGGATTGGATTGGGTTGGATTGGTGAGGATTGGTGAGGATTGGATTGGGTTGGATTGGATTGGTGAAGATTAGATTGGATTGGATTGGTGAGGATTGGATTGGTGAGGTGAGGATCGGATTGGTGAGGATTGGATTGGATTGGTGAGGATTGGATTGGTGAGGATTGGATTGGATTGGATTGGATTGGTGAAGATTAGATTGGATTGGATTGGGTTGGATTGGATTGGTGAGGATTGGATTGGGTTGGATTGGATTGGATTGGATTGGTGAAGATTGGTGAAGATTAGATTGGATTGGATTGGTGAGGATTGGATTGGTGAGGTGAGGATTGGATTGGGTTGGATTGGATTGGATTGGATTGGTGAAGATTGGTGAAGATTAGATTGGATTGGATTGGTGAGGATTGGATTGGTGAGGTGAGGATTGGATTGGTGAGGATTGGATTGGATTGGTGAGGATTGGATTGGTGAGGATTGGATTGGATTGGTTGGTGAGGATTGGTGAAGATTGGTTTGGATTGGATTGGATTGGATTGGTGAGGTGAGGTGAGGATTGGATTGGTGAGGATTGGATTGGTTGGTGAGGATTGGTGACGATTGGTGAAGATTGGTGAAGATTGGAATTTTTGTTTGTATTGATGCATAAAATTGTTATTCTACCTCAGCTGCCTGTACCCTAAAAGCATGAAAAACAAACACCTGTTTTCCCCGGAATTTTATAGAATTGGGACTTATCATTGGTTTTACTTTTTATAAAATTGTGCTAATTCGGGAAGCGATGTAACAAAATTGTCAAGGAATTAGTTTTGATAAAATGAAAAATATTCTCTGTGTTTCAGCTTGAGAACCTTCACTGGGACTCGGCGCACAAGACCAACACGGAGCAGTGCTATTGCTACTGTGGTGGCCCTGGGGAGTGAGTATTGAAATCATTGGAAATGTTCCTCAAAATCAACTTATAACATGATGTTAGAATACTGATTGTTATATGTGACCGGCTCCACAAAAAAAGGGTATTATGTTGCAAAAATGTGAAATTGAGTTATATACATGGTTGGAAAGCCCACAATGTAAGCTTTCATTTTGGTATATAATAGAGTCCCATAGTTCCTCCCGTTCTGGAGATATGATGTATTTGCATTTTAACTACTTTCTTGGAGTTCAAATTACACAACTGAAAAAACAGGCTTTGAAATAGCTGGCTTTGTTGTAGAACAACAGAACGATGCACACAAAATGGTTGTTTTTTGTCCACTTTGTTCATCAAAATCAACATTTCTGTGAATGAAACCTGAAACTGTAGGTATTAAAGATGTCATTCATGACAAAAAATAAAAATCACATTTTAACAAAATGTTCACCCTCTCAATGTTGAGAGGGTCATTACTCAATAGTGCTCAGGGCGACTTAATACCCTTTTTTTGTGGAGCCAGTCACATATATCATGTGTTTGAATACTGTAATTTCATTGGTCATACACAATGGTTAACCTCATATACAGTGCGCGTTTCACACACGTTTGTAGAACCTGCACGTATTGCAGGGCTCGCGACTGAGAATTCATGCAATGCGAAAAACCGCCCAGTCTCGGACACGTCCGGCAAGAAAGCCTGCAGCTATCAAGAGTTACACCGCACTGATCCAATTTAGTTCTTGCATAGTAATCTTCAACTATTTATCATTTTGACTTTTATTGGCACGATATAACAAAACCATTGTTGACTGCTGTGATGTGGGATATGCCGTTTTTTACTCCCTCGGGGTGCATAGTGTTTAAAACGGCATATTCAAGATCACAACAGTCAAAAATTGTTAAGTGTCTGCCACTGTCCCAAAAATCAATTTCTAAGATTGTAGCATCATCGCCTAGAACAGAACAAGGAATTCCTCATGGTATAGAGCATGCAACATGTTGACTGTATTTTGTTAACTGTCATTCGCAGCCTTTTGTGGGCAAGAAATCCAAATTTCAAAGAAAGGGTTTCTTTTCCAAAAAAATGTAGAAATTGCTAAAAAAAAACCTGATAGATTTGCCCAGTTATATGGCATACATATTCAAGCGTTCAACTGGCACCTACCCAGCCCAAGATTTAGATTTTTTTACCAGATAGTTAAGTTGTAAATGTTGAGCAAAAAGAAAAAAAAATTGAAAGGTTAAACACATGAGAAGATTTTATTTGTTAACCAGTTCGCGTCGGGGGAATCAGTGTAATCCTGGCGCAAAGTGGTTTAATGCCTATGCTAATTTATGTTAATTAATTTTCTAAAATGAGTGCAATATACATTCACTTATGCTTTTTGTGATAGGTGGTACCTGAAAATGCTGCGTTGTTGTCGTTGTATGCAGTGGTTTCACGAAGGTAAGATTGTGTGTCTCGATTTGTGTTTTAGTTTGTTTTTGGTGGACCATATCCGGGTTTACAATTTTCCGCTAAGTTAAACCGAATTGGGATAAAATTAACAGAAATTTCCTTTCTGAAAAACAGCTTTGTAATGTAATCATTTTGTGTTTGTACAAATTCACATCAGGCAGACAACTTTTCCTCGGATCCGCCGATTTCCTCGTTTTTTTTACTTCTCAAGAATGCCAAAATGTTACAAATTGAAAAAAACTGTACAAAGTCTTGTGGGGTTTGGAATTTCCTTGTTTTTTCTAAATTCCAAATTGCATGCCTGAAACATCAATGGTTCCTTATTTAAAGCAAATTGAAACCCGTTATCCATTCTGATAATAATGTGTGTGTTTTTTTTTTTTTACCTTTTTTTTTCTTTTACTTTTCCAGCATGTGTTCAATGCCTTGAGATGCCTATGCTGTATGGAGATGGGTAGGAGCCATTTTCTTGAGATTTTTTTTTACGTTCTCCTTAATCTTCATCTTTAAAATATTTTTAAATGCCATGTAAACTATAAAGTGGATTTAGTGTGGTCAGATTGGTGTTACGGCACTTTCTTCACTTTCAAAAATAAAGTTTTCCTTTGAAGAGCGAAGCTTTGAAGAAATACTGCATTCAGTTTAATGTGACTAACAGAAATTGCATCTGGTATTGGCCCCATGCTCAAAGAGCCCCCTCAACGGTAAGAAAGGGAGAGTTTGGGGACTGTGAGGGACATTGGAACGCATTTCTGACAACGCCTGACGTTTACTCGAAGACACAAGGGCTTTGTGCACAATCAGAATAAAATAAGTTGTGCAAGCTTGGCGACATAAGCGCGCCAACCAGTACGCGCGCATGGTGTGTCCCGTCCACGAGGTTCTCAAAAGTGGTCAAAATACCCCCCCCCCCCCTTGTTCACGCATGGAGCCCATTGATGTATCAACAATTTGTGTAAATATTTCCCCCCAGGTTCTACATCTTTGTGTGTTCTGTGTGCAATTCGGGGCCGGAATACCTGAAGAGATTGCCTTTGAAGTGGTAAGCATATCTTGATATTCCATTGTTCATTCTTCCGAAATTCGACAAATGTGAACATTGTGGTTATCTCAAGCTTTTTGGTTTGCTGTTGGTGATTTTTAGTGCTGAAATTTACAAGTCATGTCTTGCTAGTAAATATCTGTCGAGCTCGGGAATTTCAAACTTCAGAGCATTCAGAGTGATGTCTGTGTTTGGTAATAGTTGGAGTAATCACATCCACACACAAGAAAATTTCAAACGGCTAGTAAGTTCTCAGCCAAACTGCTGTTAATGTATTTTGAGAACCAGTCTTGCGCAATGCTCATCGTGTTCCTGTTTGACTGGTATTGCCTATTTGTGTCTGTAAAGGTGACCGTAACCATTCTTATGCTGAGGAAATTCGTGTGTGACATTAACCCTAACCTTCCCAAATCCTCCAAAATCCTCTTTGCAAAATGGAGGATTTTGCAGGATTGAGGCTATGTGGCTGATTTTGGAGGATGCACTGTGTCAAGGTCTTGGGCCGGACCTTGTGTTGTTTATGCTCAGCCATGCGTAAATTTAGGCCTAAATTATACATGAAATCTTCCGCACTGCTCCAGGATGTCACTTGCTCTGCCTCAACATATTGACAGTCATTGTCGGAGGATTTTGCAGGATTGAGGCAGTGGTCACCCCTCCAAGGACCACATTCAAGAAATAACGGATGATTTTGAAGGATTGAGGCTGTATGCTATTTTTACATGGATGCAGTTGGAGGATTTTGCAGGATTGAGGTGACATCCTAGCAAAAATGCCTAGGGAGTTAGGGTTAATGAATTCTGCCTTAACCCTTATTGAACTCAACCCATCAAACCCCAGCAGCATGTTTTGTTGGAATCTGTCAGGATGGGTACAGTACCCCTAAACTGACAGTCTTTTACATTGGGTTGGCACACCTCCAGAATCAAAGTCAGAAATATGTGTGTGCAGTTTCCCATATGGTGTTGGAATTTGCCAGGATGGGTATGGTTCCTAGCAAATCATGCTAGGGAGTTAGGGTTAAGGCTTGTTTCACGCGGCCCCAGTTTTTGAATCTTATTTCGTTTGTCATCGAACTTTCTCTTTCCTTCTAGGCAAGATCTTGTCCAGCTGGTTCTGTACAACTTGACTTTGATGCATCGCAAGAAGTACTATGACTTTGAAGAAGAGATCATACCCTTCTTAACAGAGCAGTGGTACAACTTGCAAGTCTCACATGTGAGTAAAATCTTGTGCAACGTTTCCTTGAACAAGTTGTCTCTGGGTGCTGTGGATCTTATTCACGAGGAGGCCATGCTGGTCGTGTTCCCTGAATGTTTGCTATAAATTGTGAAGTGTTGAATGGGATGGTGCCAGACTATTTAGGCATTCTAGCCTCACTTTCATTTTTTTGTTTAAAACGTGGCTTAAAACATTAGGGTATGTTTAATCACAAATTTTACATTATTCAGCAGAGAAGACTTGTATTAATTTGTAATTTATTTTATGTCATTGCCTTCATTTCTCTTCGCAAGTTTCAAAAATGAGATTTTACTTCCCTTTCAATTAGATATGGCCAACTCTTGAATAAAGCCCATGTCCTAGTGCACCATCTAATACCTTTGTTAATTCATACAGTGAAAACACTTGGAATTCCTTCCATGTTCATATCGGTGAATGGCATGATTTATACAAACGATTTTGCCTGTTCAGGCAGGAATTGGCTGCGTTTTAAGCTCAATTGGACACTCAACACTGTGTATTTGATGGTGAAAACATCTGAACATGAGGTTATGAAACGTACAATGGGGAAATTCCATAAATTTGGACATACATGTCAGACACTTTAATGAGCTGCTGTTGCAAAAGTGCATGTGATACATGTGACATCTAATGAGTAGAAAGCAATTGCAGACCAAGCTAAGGTACCACCACCTTAACGACCTTGTACACCATGTGGTCAGGAGTATGCAGAGAATTCTACGGAATTGCCCAATACAGAAAAAGAGGACTAGTGTATAAAGAGTTGACAGCAGAATGGGTTTCTGTTTGATTATTGTTTTACAAATTTGAATTTAAGGCCAAAAAAAAAAAGTCTCCAGTTTCTGGTATGGAGCTTGCCCCAAAAGTGGTGCGACGACGCTTTTTTTTTTTTTTTTTTACATTTTTTTTTCTTCAAATGTCGGCTGATGACTGCAAATAGTGCCAGACTAAATTTAGTGCAAAATATATAAAGCGTTTACTCAATCGTAACCCCATCTAAAAACACATTAAAATTGTGCAGCAGCAGGATACCAGTCAAACCATTGAGTTTGGCGGTTTTGAGACATCATCTTACATTGAAAAAAAACTTTTTCATTTTGCCGACGCGCATGGCTACGGCGACGTGAGCGCATACCAGAAACCGGAGACTTTTTTTTTTTGGCCTAATTACTATTTATTTATTTTATTTTTTTTATTGTCTTTTTTTTTCAGCTTGGTGCTACAACAAGATCGGAGAAACAGGAGCGAATCATGGAAGCATTACACAGCTCAAAAGTAAAGTGAGTATTACAGCTGGAATCCCGGGTAACCTGATAAACACAGTAGCCAATGCCACGGAACTGCTGGGGAAAATAAGAAATATTTACTCATCAAAAATGCCACAGTGTCAAAGTAGTCGCCTAGCAAAAAAACATGGTACCAGGTACTACGTGTCAAAAAAAAACATGTCCTACTTTTGATCCTAAATAGCTCTGTTGTTTACCAATGGAATTAAACCAGAATTTCACATCATGTAAACAGGACATGACAAATTTTATGGAGCGAGTTTCATCAGTCTGTTTCCCTGACCTACAGAGCAATTTATGGACGTCGGGTCAGGGAACCATACTAGCTCGCTTGCTGCCGTTCACGGATGTGTAACTGATTGCAAACAAAATGTGGACTTATTAAATTTGGTAAATTGGGGGCAGTATTTTGAAAAAAAGTAACTTTTTTTGCAATGACGGTGGCCAACCATCGTTGAAAATTGATACAAAAATTCTACCTTTCTTGAAAATGACAGCACACCAGGTGCCATGATTTAACAACGCTTGAGACTATTATTCCTAACAGTCAAGTAATGTATTTCATAATAATTTGGTAGTTTTCTTTTTTTTTGATGTTTGTAAATGTATATCACCTTTAAAATCATTTTAAGTAATCTGAATGGAATTGTTTTCATTACATTTCTGAAAGGTTTGCTTGTGGCAAAGAGGTGAAGAAGAAGCAGAACATCTGGGGGCTGAGGATCAGAAAGCCCCCGGTCCCACCCACCATCATCCTGCCTGCCATTGGTCAGATCACCGATGAGGTCATGAATGACCTCAAGATGACCGGCCGTAAGATCGTGACGTTCATACCTGTAGAAAGGTATGTTGTTGTGAAATAACACCGATATAGCTAGGCACTGTCTCAACTCTAACCTTATTGGGTAACTATGTCTGGAAACCTTTCAAATTGCAGCAAAATGCCCATTACAAGGGCCCAATGTAATGTAATTTTTTTAATCCATCCTTGTAAATGCACCTTTGCTTCCCATTTAACATTGTTTTGCAATTTTCATTTTGCCATTTTATTGGCATTTTGAAGCCTTTATGGTTTTTATGCTAATGAAAATTTGTATATTCATGAGCAAAAGTGTGATGTCATTTCAGGCAGAAACCTCAATTTCACAGCTATTTCAGCACAAAATTTGCCAGAATTGTGGATATTTTGCTGTTGTGAATTTTCTTTCTTTGGTGATTCGTTGTGTCAGTACATGACAGTAGGGCCAAAAAGAAAGTCTCCGGTTTCTGGTATGTGCGCGCGTCGCCGTAGCCATGCGCGTCAGCAAAATTATTATTATTTTTTTCAATGTTAGATGATGTCTCAAAACCGCCAAACTCACTGGTTTGACTGGAATCCTGCTGCTGCACAATTTTAACGTGTTTTTTGATGGGGTTACGATCGAGTATAAGCTTTATGTGTTCTCTCTGGGCTCCCATACATTTGCACTAAATTTAGTTGGCCATCATTTGCAGTCATCAGCAGACATTTGAAGGGAAAAAAAAGTCAAAAAAAAAAAGAAGCCGCGTCGCCGCACCACTTTTGGGGCAAGCTCCATACCAGAAATCGGAGACTTTTTTTTTTGGCCTAGGCCAAAGTTTTCCCACAAATGTTTTCAATGAGCAAATTTTGGGTTCACAGTTTGAACAAAGAAAACCCAAACATCACAGCAACAGCGCCCTCATTTTTCATTGGACATTTTTTTAATGTTTAATAAAGAAGTGCACATTTCAATAAGATTAACCAAAAACGGATGTCAAATAGTTTTCATACATTTAAGGGGAGTAGAAATTTGCACAAAATATGTTCCCAAGTGAAATTAGTGTCATGAACCCTTTTTAACGGGAGAAGCTTGCCCAATATATAAAAACGTCCAACAGGTCAATACATCCCAACGTCAAACTGCCTAATAGTCCCTGTTTGCATCCTGCGACAGGATACAACAGTGGCGTTGTTCACTGCTACTAACTCCCATTGCCTCGGAATTGGCAGTTTCACGCACTGGTGTTGAAAGCCCAACGCAACAATGTCCCACAGACTTTCACACTTGTCGCACTGTGTTGCATCTGGCAGGATTAATCGAAATTTCAAAATGAAATAATTTCACATTATTTCATAAACAACAATGTCGCACGGCATGGATATATGAATTCATAACAACCTTTAGCAGAAAAAAACTGGTGTCATATTGGATCTCTAAGAAAATTTGCAAGATATCCAATACTGTGGCCGTACATTTTTGTTTTCTAATGGTGTTTTTTAACTGTGTGTAATATTTTATATTCGTGTTTGTAGCAACTCGCCAGTTCCTCTTAAACCTGCAAAGAGGAAACGGAAGAACGTAGCAGAAACTCCCGAGGAGCTAGAAATGCGCAGCATAAACGCAAGGAAGATGTTTGAGCAAGCAATAAAAGACGTGAGTCTGGAACCACAGGGTCCAATTTCATGAAGCTTTAGCTAAGCACACAAAGTTGCTTAGCAAAAACAGGTTACCGGCCAGAATTCAATATGAATTGCTTGTGGCTGGTACCTGGCTGATTTTTGCTTTTAAAGGGAAGATACAACATTTGCAAACATCTAAAAACAAAATGCTCAAATTATCACGAAATACCTTACTGGATTGTTAGGGAATGTCAGTCTAAAGCATCCTGTAAAATCCTGGCTGCTGGTATGCTGACATTTTCAAGAAAAAGGGTATTTTTTCAACGCTGATCGGCCCACCAGCGTTGAAGAAAATTGGCATTTTAAAAAAAAAACGCTCCTGATGTTTCATATTGAGTTATTCCGCATTTTCTTTGCAATTGATTACACACCTGTGAAGAGGTACAAACCTGGTAGACTGATTCTTTGACCTTACAATCCCTGAAAGTCTATAAATTGCTCCGTTTCATCTTAAGAGGGGCCAAAACGTGAAACAAGTCAGTTTGACAATATTTGCCATAACATACTAATCCTTCAAATCTATTTATTTCTGAAAATGGCAGCAAAAGCAAATGTTGTACATTCCCTTTAAAGTACGCAAATTTTCTGTACAGTATTGCCTGCTCAGCAGAATTTCAACCTAATTGATGATTTTGAGTACCGAGTAGGATAACATGCAGTCTAAGGCTAGATTAAAGGGTCTGGGCCCACTTTCATGGCACTGCTAAGCACACTATTTTCTGCTAACAGAGCCTCTGACTGTTTCATAGAGACTATAAGTAAGCACAGCAAAACCACGCTTACCTATGAGGAAAAAGTTGCTTAAATCAGTGACGTAACAATAGAAAATTCACTGCTTTTAAAACTTTTATGTCTGCCCATAGATCAGAATTCGGTCACAAGAACACGAAGCACACAATGGCTATTCACACCAGTAAAGACACGTGTACCCTATTTGAACAGGTCGAGTTTTTGTTGATTTTTTGCAAGCTTACGAACACTACCTTACTAGAATGATTATTAGGAGTATTTTTCCACTTTGCCACAGGGAGTGCACAAACCAGCTTACAGCCCCAACCAGTCCTACACCGGCTACTCCGGCGGTGTGATGTCCCTCGAGGACCTGACCCCTGTCGCAGAAGGCCAGTCAGTCCTGGACACCATCCGGCCCTTCGAAACAATCTGCGCCGGCAGCACGGGAGTTCCCGTCCCCGTCAGCTTCAGTCAGCATTCCTCCGTCGCGTCTTCCGGCGACACGGGTTCCGATTACTCGGCTGTCACGATTCCAGCAGGGGCATCCAGCGGGGACAGTGAGAGCTTGGGCAACAGCGGAATGACGCGACACCGGAAGCACGGCAGCTGGAAACGCAAACGGAAGCTCCCGTCACCCAGGAAGGAGGCCGGACCCACCAGCCCCAAATCTCCCGCAAAGTCTGCTAGCCAACCCTCGTCCAGAGGCGAGAACTCGGAGAAGTCCACGACACGCCTGAACGGGGCGGTCTCCATGTCGGAACTGAAGCGCTCCATGTCGAACCATTACGGGGCCGAGGGGCGGCTGGCATGCGGCGAGAAGTACCAGTTGCTTGGAAGGCGGGTGACGCCCGACGGAAAGATACAGTACCTCATTCAGTGGGAAGGGGTGACGCCCTAACACACACACACACACACCGCTTCTGACATCTTTGGGAAAGTCCGGATTTTATGCAATGTAGTCAAAGCCTTTTCTCAAACCTAATTTACCCTCATTTTTGTACTAGAACGGTATTCTGCACATCCTATGTGAAGAGAATATTCTTTGAGCAGATGGGAAAAAATGCATTAGGTCTAGTTGATATTTCAAAATGATCTCAGTGATTTGATTCATTTTGTGACCATAATCTACCTTCATTTATAAAATTCATTTGTGACATAACAATATACCCTTGACTGATGTTGCAAGGAAAACACTGCCGCTGAAATTGGTCCAAACATCTTTTGTGCGTTTATTTTCTCCGTGTGAGAAATCCTAATGGGAACTCCTTTGCCAGCTCTTTAGAGCTAAGTTCGGGCAAATTCTAAACAGGCACAGGGTTGATATGTTAACCCATTAGCACGTTTACTGTTGTATCACGTTGTTTTTATTCCCTGCTGAATCCTTAAAGGTGGAGTAAATTATTTGTCATTTGTGCATTTTTTTCCGTTTGTAGCAACAACAGTGCTCAAAATCTAAAGAAGGGTGCTTAACAACTAACCTGATGAAGTTTCAGTGAATGCTGTATATCCCGAGAAGAAAAAAAAATTCTAGGATCTTGATTTCAATTCAAAAGTTGCCGAGTCATGTTTTGAATTGCGCCCGAATTCAGCATCCGGGACCCGTTCTCATTCAGCCGATTGCAGCTACGCGATGTCGTGCACTGAGCCGACGATTTATAGCAACCGTGCGCACGTGTGCATCGTTTCAACGCTTGCGCGCGCACCCATTCACGGAATTCGCCGAATTAAAATACAAAGTACTAATGGAAATTTCCAAGAAATGCGTCGTTAGACGCATCTTTGGAAATGACCTTCTTTTATTGTTTTATTCAAAATGACAGCATGCCAGAAAGAATAATTTTACATGGAGCTTAGTACCATTACTATCTTTAAACCAAATGTGCTTTTCAACAATAATGTCATCAGTTACTTTTTGAATAGCTGCAAATGATATACTCTACCTGTAAAACCATATGGTCCTCAGCCGATTTGGGGCAATACAGGGACACAAGCAGGGCGGTTTTGGATGTTACAGGGACCAATGGGTTAAAGCCCTGTGCACAAAAACTGAGGTGTATACAAATAATACTATGTCTATAATGTACAACCTGTTTTATTAGCCGAAGGTGCTGAAACCGGAAGCAAATTCGTCTTCAAACAACAATGCACGTGAGCTAATTTCATACCTCGTTGTATTAACATTCCTTGAGGAATCCCAAATGCTATCAAAACACTGGGGGAAAGGTCACTGGGGTTTTGAGAACTTAGGGTGGCTGTGGATACTTCAACTTTGACCAAACCCAACGTGAAACACATATGTACCTCGTAATATGAATGCAACTGGTATTCATGACATGAATTTTTCTTAGGAACTATTTTGTGCAACTTTCTACTCCTCTTAAATGTATGAAAACCATTTGACATCCCTTTTTGGTTAATTTTATTCAAAAGTGCACTTCGTTAAATTTTTGTTTTTAATGTCCATGCTTTTCCTGAAAAATGAGAGCGCTATTGCTGTGATGTCATTTTAAGAAGGCACTGTTCAGTTAAGGGGTTTTCTGTCCAAATTGTGAAGCCAAAAGTTTGCTCATTGGAAACATTTGTGAGAAAAGGTTGCTCATTGGCTCACTGCCACGTACTGACACAACAAATTACCAAAGAAAAGAAAAGTTGTGACAGCAAAATTTCCCAAATTCTGGCAACTTTTGGTGCTGAATATACATTGAGGGTTTCTGCCTAAAAGGACATCACACTTTTGCTCATGAATATGTAAATTTGCAATAGCATACTAAAAACCACAATGGCACCAAAATACCCCTGTGAATGGCAAAACGAAAATTGAAAATAAGGTTAAATATGACACAAAGGTGTATTTTTAAAGGAATGCAGTCTTTGGTAGCATCACTCATGTCCATGGCCATAGAGTAAGTCTTATCCAAAACAGCCGGTCCCCGGTATGCCTGGTCAAGGCACAGAGGTGGTAGAGGTCGCTACAAGTCCATGCACATGAGGTATGCTTGGAATTTCCTGGATAGCATTGCCAATGTTACCAAGATATTGATTCATCATGATGATAGCAACCGCTACCGGTGTGGCGGCGTGACCGCGTATGACAAGGACCTGCTATTTTAGGTGATTAAAAATCAAATGCAGTCTTAAAACAAGACTATCCTATAGTGTGTGTCAGTGTTCAAGGTCAGACTACAAGGCCAGAATTTCATGCAGTTTTCCCACCCACCATTAAGGCTGCCAATCAATTTTGAATGAGGTGTTAAGGGTATGATTAACCGTAACCTTCCCAAATCCTCCAAAATCCTCTTTGAAAAATTGAGGAGCTAGCAGGATTGAGGCTATATGGCAAAAATGTGTGGCTGATTTTGCAGGATGCAGTGTGTCAAGGTCTTGGGCCGGACCTTGTTTTGTTTATGCTCAGCCATGCATACATTTAGGCCTAGGTTATACTTGAAGTCCTCCGCACTGCTCCAGGATGTCACTGGCTCTGCCTCAACATATTGACAGTGATTGCTGGAGGATTTTGCAGGATTGAGGCAGTCCTCCCAAGGACCACTTCAAGAAATAACGCCTAGGGAGTGAGGGTTAATGAAGGATTTTCAACAGTCAGACTAAAAAGTCTTTTTACCATGTAGATGTAAAGGTCATAATCACTAATTTCCTAATTTTGACTGAAATGTATGCAATTGTCCATTTGTCACAAATCTTATTTAAAATTCCCATCTGAGTTGCTCACAAATGTTAACATTTTAAAGAATTGATGAAAACAATGGAAACATTTTTAAAAATTAACAAATTACTCAATGTGTGGGTTTTAGTGGCCATCGGGCCAAACTGCACTGCCACTGACCTCCAAATGCATTCAATAAGCCATTTGCGAGTTAAATTTGAATACAATCTGGAACGCTGACTTAATCCAGTGCTTTGCATTCTCCCGACCAAAGAGACTTACTATATCATGTGATTCGGGGCAAGCCTTAATGCTAGCAACCCCCAGCTCCGGTATGGTCTGGTGTCTTTGTGCCATTCTCAGCCATTGTGAACAATGTATTGGTGCTGAGCGTCTCTTACGTAACTTTGCAAGAGCTTGCCCTGAATCATGTGATTAGCAACAGTGTCTTTGGTCTGGAGAATTGAAAGTTAAAATGTGCCAAGCATTCTGAGCAAGTCAGTGTACCAGATGTTTTTCAAATTTAATCCCAAGGGTATAGGTTACTCACAAATGGCTTATTTACTCTGTATATAAGACATGACATACTATAGCACCTACCGTGACATACTATAGCACCTACTGGTATGAGGGACAGAGGGCAGTCTGTGTATAAACCATTAGCAACTCTGCTACATTGTATTACATTGTATTTATTCATTGATGAATCCAGAAAGCCATAGAAGGTTTGGACAGTTTTGGGTGTTACAGGGAGTAGGCACGGCAGTTTGGGGCAGTACAGTGACTAAGGGCTTAATGGTAGAGCATATCATTTGTGCATTTTTGCTCATTTGAAGCAACAAACGTGCTAAACATCTAAAGAAGGGTGCTTAACAACTAACCTGATGAAGTTTTAGCTCGGTGAATGCCGTTAGCTGTATATTCCGAGAAAACAATATTCCAGGATCTCGATTTCAATTCAAAAGTTGCTGAGTCATGTTTTGAATTGCGCCCGAAATCAGCGTCCGGGACACGTTCTCATTCAGCCGATTGCAGCTAAGCGATATCATGCACTGAACCGACGAATTATAGCAACCGCGTGCGTATGCACCCATTCACGGCTTCGCCAAATTAAAAACGAAGTACTAACGGAAGTTTCCAAAAATGCGTCTTTAGACATATCTTTGGAAATAACCTTCTTTTATCGTTTTCTTCAAAATGACAGCATGCCAGAAGGAATAGTTTCACAGGGGAGTTTAGCGCCATTACTATCTTTAAACCAAGTATGCTTTTCAACAATAATTTTGTCAGTTACTTTTTGGACAGCTGCAAATGATATACTCTACCTTTAAAGTACCTTTACCCAAAGTAGCACTAATGAAACTGATTGTTAATTTGTCAAAAACAGATGTAATTGTGGATGAGAAGTTTAATTTCATTGGCAATGTGATAAAAGTGTTTGGAAAACCAGCAAAGTTCGGGGCATTACAGTTTTTCAAACAAGTAAATTGTGGAATAGGGCTGCATGTTTTGTACATTGTTCATAATCTATGCACTTAATCTTTTTTTAATACTTTCTCTGTTGATATAGAATTTTATAGATGGAAAAAAAAAATCGTCTTTGAGATAATCACAAAATTATGTTGTTGGTTTTTTTCTTGATTTTTTTTTCTTGATTCTAATTGGTGGAAAGGGTAAAGTTTGTTTGTAGCAGTTGTTTCCTCTTAAATGCAACTACCTAACTTTTGATACACTGCATATTTGTTACATTCAGCAGGCTATTGGAATTTTTCTCTAATGCCAGATTTAGGTATTGGCAGAGTCACACAACAGTTCTCAACTCAAATCATTTGACATCTTTCGGCACATTCTTGCGTATTGTTCATGTTTCGTACCTTGACTTTGTAAGTTCTGAAGCAGGAAAATACTTCAGGGTTTTAGCGAGGTTTTTAGTACGTTTTTTTTAGTACGAGTTTGTTAAATCGGAAGTTGGAGAACCTACAATTTGTTGAGGTCACATTTTCATACAACCGGAGGAAACGAGTTGATCAGCCTTTGAGATATGGCGAACACAATACAGTGCTATTTTAGTGGTTAAACTTGTATTATTTTATCAAAATTTACTCACTCAAAATAGTGCCTTCTTATTGTCCGCCATATCTCAGAAAGGCTTTCGGTGAAGGCAGGTTCAACCACCACAGAAAACAAAGTTCAAATCAGAAAATACATTTCAAATGGCATTTGTGTATTTGTTTTTTATCCCGAAAAGTTGATTAGTTGGAGGTCTTTTGGGAATAAATCATTAGTGCCCAACACAGCACTTGCCTTCCTTTGTATACATGTATATTGTGTTGGTGATGTAGCAAATGTGTTTGTATTGGGAAAGTTTATAAGCTAACTATTGTTTTGGCATGTAAATATTAGCACATCACCGCAGCCTCCACTCCATGTGCACGTTCCTTCACTAACCCCTGGCCGTGAAGAATACGTAAATGATGCTGACTGGCTATTAAGAGCGTACTGCGCACGTATTTCGAAGACTGCACCCCCTATATGCGCCAACGCATTTCCTACATGTCACGTCACGTACACACTGTTTTATTCAAAACTACGTGTTGCCTGTACGATATGGATTTTGGATGCCTCTTTTGTTGCCCCCAAAACGATCTTGGGTTGTAAAGGGACGACAGAGGTACGTACATTCTACACACACACAAAATTTCAGCGTCTGCTTGGCGCGTAACACGCATCGACTGCAGTCCTAATTTGAAGGGCCCAAATAGTGGGACATTTAAATTGCACAATTCCAGAGATTAAGATGGGAACCAAGATCATACCCAAGGAAAGGAGGTTGACATGACCGCTTTCCATTCAACAATCAACATTTTATTTTCATTTCATACCACATGTTTATACATTAATACCAGTACACATACCATATGATAGCAATAGAGTTTCTAATTATACATTTTAAAACCCAAGTGAACGCCTATCAGTTTACCATTTCAATTTGGCAAAAATATGAAAATTCAAATCAACTTGAAATTTTGACTAACCATTTTCTAATTAAAAACAGCAGGTAAATATGTGATGTCATCTGGAAATGAAATTTTCCAAAATCAAACAAAATTTTTGAATCAATCGGGCAGTTCACTGGCTTCAATATTTCTGAACAGAATATTGTAAATGTTGCTCTGGCTGGTCCATAGAGGGCAGTATAGCACCAGTGAATAACAAAAGTGTGTTAGAACTTTATGCTTAACAAAAAATTGAACTTTAAGAAGGGCATACAACAAGTAACAGTCAAACAGCCTTGCAAACAGCACCACAAAAAAACTACAATGTTGCCATCAACTGCAAAGTAGATTATTGCACGTTTTTTTTGGCACAGGAAGCCACTGGTTCTTCAAAAGTACCAACCAGTTGCAGAATTCTTGACAAAGAATTTGAACATCAAACAGCCATGACAAAAACCTCACAAAAGTCATTAAACACTTAAGAAGATATAAATGGGTGCAGACAGTACTGAATGGTATAAACACAGCAACCGATGAAAACTGGTGTGCAAATGAATAGATGTTTTCATGGGATGACATCACTCCGCCCCGATCTATTTTGGTTATGTTTTATTTCTTTATTTCCACTTTTAGATGTGTTGATGCTATGGACTACCAAAGTGTGACGTCATTTAGAACCAGAAAGTGTAGTGCAAACAAATGGAGTATACGCACGTGTTGGTTAACGGGCTGAATCAGGCGCTAATGTCTTTCACACACATTTTGCGCGCGTGACCTATTCACTTTGGTACTCCATAGACCATCATCAAGTTGCGGCCATTTTGATTTTTTTCCCATTCAAATCAACGTAACCAAAGCGAGGCTGGAAGGAAAAATCGTCTGGTTCCTTTTGCACAAAAAAAAAACATTCAGTACCAAGGGCGGATCCAGAACACAATTTTCGGGGGGGCCAAAAAAAATTTGGTCCCCCAAAAAAGTGGGTCAAAAAAATTACGGCGTGGGGTTCGGGGCCCGCTTAAGGGCCCCGAAATTTTTTTGGATTCTAGATGCTTTGTGGTGCGATCTGAGGCAATTTCTGACCACTTTAACCAATGTTTTTTTTTGAGGAAAAGATGGTGGTGTACTCATTGCCTGCCTTTATTGCGATGTCACATAAAAAAAAAAAATTGGTTTCGTTTTTGGGGGGGGGGGGGCCATGGCCCCCTTTGGCCCCCCCTGGATCCGCCCTTGTTCAGTACTGTTATTGGATACAGGGAACGTGACTGAAATAAATGGTGGCAGCATGATAAAAGTCTATTTCTTGACACTTGGGGCCATTAGTTTTGACATTTTCTGTAAAAGCTATGAACCAAAAATTCACCTTACTGTCAGCTCAATAACAAAGATTTAGAATTAAACTCGGGAAGAAAAAACAAAGACTTCTAGCAATACATTTGCCCAGTGATGTATTCATGTTTTTGGCTCTTGAATATTCATGGCAATACACATTATCATGAACTGTGAAAAATACAACCACTGAAAGAAATGGGTTCAGAAATATTTACAGTTCTGGCTGTTTCACATACATGTACAGCCCCTCTCATAGATAGCCATCTTCATAGTGTTCAACATCATCAGGTACGTGTGCGCGCATACTGCTCAAAATTTCTTAGCATTTAATACGGCGCAGCCGATGCACGTCACGAAAATTTGATGCACAAAATGCCGATGCAATCTGTAGGAAGTGACGTCATCTGAGAGAGACCTATTAAGCACCGGAGTCGGGCAGACAGAAAAGACTAGATAGGCTTTAAGCTCCTAAAACCAAATTTTATATGTTGATGGGAAAGACAAACCTTCCATGTACACTCTATAAGTGTCGTAATAATGTGCAATTGTTACATCACACAATGAGGTTTAATACCCAACCTCAATTTTGAACCACAGTGCCATAAGTCAGACTTATTCAAGTCTTCCGCTGGTCTCTGACAGGCATTGGAATTCCCAGCTGTCCCCGAAGACGGACTTCTGATGGTATTCTGCCAGCAAGAACTCCCAGGGTTAAGAACTCCCTGACGTGGAATTCTACTTGCACCTCCTCAGTTGTCGTCATCATCGTCGTCATCGTCCAGGTTCAGTCTGCACTTCTGTTTATTTGAAGAAGAAAAAAATGGTTGATTACTTTTTAGATACCTCAGTGGTTTCAGTCCAGTCAGGCATCAACATGTTGTGGGGGAGTCAGCCTCAGTCAGGTTGGTGTAGCGGTACTTTCCTTGCCTTCCACCGCTGTGACCCGGGTTCGATTCCTGCCCTGGGCCAATATGTGGATTGGGTTTTCAGTACCTACCTGATTCCTTGGCTTTTCCCCAGAAAATTCTTCTGGGGTTTTCCTCCCACCTCTAAAACTGTAATTTCTTCTCATTGTCTTCTCTCTACAGGTTTCTTCAGGCTTGCGAGCTACAGTGCCTAGGGCACTTTTGAGGAATCCTTGTTTCATTACCAGAAATAAATAATAATAATAAAAAATAATAATAAACAAACCAATGCTGCAAGCAATTGCTATTAGCCTTTTGAGATATAGTGGTCATAATAGGAGGGCACGATGTGGTTTTGATTGCAAAATTTCATCATACAAAATGATTGATTGCGGTAACCGCTGCTATATAAGATTAAAAACAGGCCAGTCAACCCCAGCAAGCTGGGTGGCTGAGCGATGTTTGTACTATTAGCAGGTTGTGGGCTTGAACGACCCAAGTAAGCTTATGATTTTATTCTCATAAGCTTTCGGGAAGCACTGAGCATACAGTGCTTTGGAAATGACATCAGTGAAGGGTAAAAAAACAGTGTTGAACTGTAATCACTTGCATATTGAAGACAGAATGGTTCTTTTACCTGATAGTTGGTGAAGTGGCCCTGGCTCCGGCAATGATGCTCCACCTCGTCCTGCTGCCAGAAACGACGGCCACACAAGAAACACTGGAAGGCAGTCACCTCACGGATGTATTCCTCACCTGATGCAATTGCAAAGGGAGATAGCTCAGCACATTATAGCTCAAATGGTGGTAGACTAGCAAGTTTGAAATTGTTGACGAGATAAAATAGACTAGTCCTTTTTTTCTCTCTCGAAATTTCAAAAATGCTGGCAAATGTTTGAAACGCTGAACATGTGTCATTCCCAGTCACTTATACTATTATTCAATTACTTTCAATTGAGTAACAAAACCTTAGACTCACCATATTTTTTTGAGGAATCATAGCCTTCAAGCCCAGTATCTGCAGGATGTTCCTTGTTGCTACTATCAGGAGACTGGCAGGGAACATCTTCTGTCAGAATCAGTGGCCTGTTCAGTTTGGCTGGGGACAAAATACTTTGAAATTAAGTCAAAGAATACCATCAATGATATCCAACATCCCTACAATATGGACTCGGTGCGTTACTTAACAGCAGATGGGGCTTGATGACCAATCACAATAACTCTATTGTGAGGGACATGTTCCATGTGGCCCTGCAGGATAGTGTGGCCTTGCGGTTAGCGTGTCTGACCCACAATTAGAGGGTCAGGGGTTCAACTCCTACTGCTGGCCATACATTGTGTCCTTGGGCAAGCCACTTTACCCTAAATTGTCTCTCTAAGGGGAGTGTGGCCTAGTGGTTGGGGTTCGTGACTCATGATCAGAGAGTCAGGGGTTCAAATCCTACTGCTGGCCATATGTTGTGTCCCTGGGCAAGCCACTTCAAACAAACTTGCTTCTCTCCATCCAGAAGTACAAATGGGTACCAGTGTCATACAAAATTTGTCATATGAAATTTGGGCTAGTTCTGAAGTACTCGGGTTACCTGCCCAGCACTAGACTCAACTACATCCCTGATTCTCCTACCAAGGGCAGTATCCATGGTGTCTTCTAACTCTGCAGGTTCTTTCTGTTCGCTATTGGCTTCTTGCTGCTCCTGCTTCTTAATCTTCTTCTCCCCTTCCCCACTTGCCTCCTCTTCCTCTTCGTCCTGATAACACAAAAAAAATTGCTCATCTTTTCAAAATGCATATAATATTGCAGGCTTTTGAAGGATTTTGAAAGGTACATCACTGAGCACATCTTACATTCCTTTACAGAGGGGGAGGGGGCTTGATTCCTTTGAAAATATAATTATAGAGATTTTGCCTTCGACTTTCTGCACGTTAGAATTTGTATGATATGAAAGAGTTCTGTTTTATTATGTATTGTAAGTTGATTTGCACATTTCATGACATTAAATAAAAAAATTTGTGTAATATTTCCCGACATTCCTTTGTCACAAACCTGTCTCTACAATACCAAAAACAACCTTGATAGGAATTCATCCTTTGACAATTAATACATAAATAACATTATGCCTGCATTGCAGTTAGTTTTGCTCCTCACCTCAACCTTTGACCTGACTGGTGACCTAGAACGAGACCTGGATGACCTCTCAGTGGTAGCCTTCAAGCCAGCCTCAGTACTGTCCCTCTTCTGATCCCCTTTGACTGCCCTCGAGTCCAAATGGTCTTTCCCGCTGCCTGCGTGCGAAGGTTCACTTTGTGGCGGCTCTGTCTGCTTGTCCCTGATTGTGGGCGGAACGGTGAACTGTCTCGGAGGGAGCGTTGGGGCAGTTTTGGCCAGGAGGGGCGACATCATCTGCTGGATCTGCTGTTGCACGAGGCTCTCCACGTTGGTTGGCATGTGCGCGTTCATACTCCGAAAGTTGATGGACTCTGGGATGCGTTTGGGTGGAGTGTGACTGGGATGCTCGGGGAGTGACGACCGAGTCTTGTTTGTGTTTGAACCACCTCGTATGGTTCGGTCGTCATCCCATCGCGCTCTTGGGGACTTTCCGCCGTGTGGACTCCACCGTGCTCGGTCCCCGTCCCTCACATTCCGGTACCGGTCACTGTGGTGGTCATCTTTGCGTACATCGTGCGGCCGGTGGTCATCCCTGTGGACATCATGCTGTCGTGGGTGTCCGACACGTTCATCCCGGCTGCTGAAGTGCCCCCCAACGGGGCCGATGGCTGGCTCACTGCTTGCAGCCGGCCCCACCCACCAGTCAAAGACGTCTTCTGGATTTGCTTTCAACGTGTCCTGGCCCTGGGCTGGGGCGGGATTCTGATTGCTTGGCGGCCAGTGGTCGCTGTAATGTCTCCAACCCCTGCCGAAGCTGCCCCTCTGGCCACGCCCCCAGCCTCGGCCACGTTCACCACTTCGCCCACGCCAAGTGCTGGCACTGTATCCAGTGTTCTGCTGCTGGCTCAGTGGGCCCGAGGAATAGTGGGTGCTTCCTCCGCTGCCGCTAGACTGCTGGCTGTAGTTTCCACTGTTGTAGGACGCAGCAGCCTGGCCCTGCGTGTAGCTGGCACATGCAGAGTAGTACTTCTCCATCTGTGCATAGAACTCGGCGTACTGCAGGTTCGACGAAGCCGGGGCTGTGGACGGGCTGTTCCCTGAGGTGCCAAGCATGGATGAAGATGCCCCTCCTCCACCCGTGCCATAGTACTGGGCAGCGGCAACTGCTGCTGCTGCTGCTGAGTTGCTGTTTGGAGATGATGCCACATTGACATTGGGAGCCTGGGTGCCAGACTGGGGACCAGGCTGTGGGGTTTGGTTGGTGTAGGCAGCGATGGCTTGACTGTAAGACTGCCACCATTCTACATAGGAATCAAACAACATGCTTTGAATAATATCAAGACTATAGTCAATCATAAACACTCAATATCTTGTATTTACAAGCTAACCTTTTGGAGATTCAGCTCAGAGTTGCAAGAAAACGTACACAACTAAAAATTGATTAGTTGACAAAGCTAGCAGTAGTACTGTATTGTACTCCATTCCAGCATGTCCGGTCGATGACAAATATTAACGCAGCTTTTCAGTATCAATATGTCCGGCATTGTATACGATTGATATTGGTGATTTGTGCAAATTTTGCACGAGTATTTTTTCGGGCATGCGAGCTGGAGGTTTGCGCGATTGGCCAATCTTGCACTTACAGGAATGGATTTAGGCCTACAAGAACAGTCAAATGTGCAGGATAATGCCCGATCAACACACCACGTTCTTAATAACATGCTATAGCATCCATGATCACCAATATGAACAGAAAGGAAGGCCTAACCTACCTGCCAGTTTTGACAGTTGTTGTTGTTCTTGTTGCGACATCTGGGACAAGAATGTTGATTGCATCTATCTTTGGTTCCCAACGGCAGCCCTCGGCTGCACAATACCTGGAAAACTATTTTATTCTAGTGCAAAAAAGCAGATGACTTATTTGACAAAATATAATTCTATTCTTCGAACAGTGTGACCTAAAATCGTTAAATTCTTGCTTGTTGGTTGATAAATTATAAAATGCAACCCATCCATCCATGTCCGCGCTACTTTGCAAGATGCATTGGTAACCAGCACGTCCAACGTAATTCATGTATTAAATCTGCTGGGCACCAGCTACATGTTTATCAATTTTTAAACCTCGGGTTCTTTTCGGCTGTGGTTTTTAGCTTTGGCCCTTGCAGCCAATCGGAGCGAAGCCGAAGCTTGAGGATTGTCCTTGTGCGCTGCATGGATTTCGTCGAAGTATAATTTCACCGGTTGGTGGCGCTGCCACAGTTTGCTTTTGTCAATCTGCTTTTCTGGTAGCAGACCAGTAAATAAACTTCCATAGACCACAATGGTAAATGCTCCCACTTCAAAAATTCGGGAAAAATACTCACAACTCTCCAAGGTGTTCGAGACACACATCAAATTAAAGCTTATTTCATCATCTTTTATTTTATTTTCAATTTTTGGGGGGTCAATTGATGACTTTTAGGAGAAATTTCCATCTGAAGATGATCACCCCTGAAAATAGTCCTGAAGCCCATCGCCGTTTTGAAAAACGATGCCTACACTCCATTGCAAAATAGAGCGCTTTTAGGGTCCAAATTACATCAGAATTACACAGAACTGCAAGCTCCTAGTCTCGTGCACGGCTTCCACCCATATTTTTTACAAACCCTCAAGTTCATGGCCCACAGCATGCTCAAATACTGAAGATTTTGAGGGCATGCAAGTCGTGATTTGGCCGGCGTAGGCAATTTCGGACCGATTTGCTGGTCTGCACCCTTATAGCAGAAAAGCAGATGCATGGCCACTTTCGTCCGCCAGGAAAAGAAGGAAAAGTAAAATCTGCTTTTCTGGTAGCAGAAAAGCAGAAAAGTAGAAAAAAGCATTTTTACTAAACGTTCAAGCTGCTTTCAGGTAGCAGAAAAGTAGAAAAGTCCAAAAATTCACTGTACAAGAAAGCAAAATTTGCTTTTCTGCTTTTCTGAGAGCAGAAAAGCAGACGGCCACTTTGCGACATCCATAATTGTCACAAAACGTTCAATCTGCTTTTCTGATAGCAGAAAAGCTTATAATAAGCCACTTTTGTATATTTACAAAATGTTCAATCTGCTTTTCAGGTAGCAGAAAAGTAGAAAAGTCGAAGAAATCGTTGTACAAAAACGTAAAATCTGCCTTTCTGCTTTTCTGATAGCAGAAAAGCAGATGGCCACTCTTCGTCCTGCATTATGTTAAGCGGAGATCCAGCGTTAACAGCATGCTGCATCCTCTCTCAAATGGGACACCCTCGAACTCCGCAAAATCCGACGACGAGTCAGGCTACGACTGACAACATCTACAAGGAAGTCCACAATCAAACATGCCGTCAACTTCGGTAACAACAATCGTGCAACAAGACAGAATTTTGGTTCTCATATCATTGTCTCACCAAATTTAACTGTATTCACTTTGCCCACTGAACTATAAGGGAATGGAACCTAGCACCGCCCAACATTCGCTCTGCTCCCGATGTCAAAACTTTCAAAAAGAGGGAATTGAGCACCTAGATCTCCACAGCCTATAGTCAACATGGTAGCCTAATTTTGTCAAGTCCCAAGCGCCTATCCGGACACGTGACGCACCCCGGATGCTGGCGCGTAAAAAGACTAGCACGATAGAAGCCGCGGCTTCGCCACTCGACTGGTCTTTTTTCGCGCCTTGACTAAAGGCTAAGTTAACAGGGCCCACTTTAAAATTTAGTTCACTACTAGTGTTAATCACTCCGACCTGTGCGGGGGTATTAATCGGGATTGTCATTTCAAGAGCATTTTGCACAAGAACAATCTGGTTCTATCTGGTTGTACTCGTGCAAAATGCTCTTGAAATGACAATCCCGATTAATTACCCCCTTCATTTACCCTATAGCTCTCAATTTGAACGTCATACCAAATTAAACCATACAGGGTTTGGAGGGAATAACATGTATTGCATTTTAAGAAAGCACTGAGAAGTCGAACTTGTGATGGTTGTCTTTTTTCAGACAGTTTGTGTGGCTCTTCCCTGGCACCTGGCTTAATTCGCGTGTTCATGGTCCATCGCGGTGAATGCCTTCTTTATTTTTGTGGTGCGTTTTGTCAGTGTCAAGTCATTTTTACCCCCAAATTTTCCTCATTAAAAATCGAAGAATTATTATTTCACTTGATGAATACGACATACCACCTGCATATTGTTAATGTCGCACATAAATTAAAAGTGGATTTTGTTCTTATAGGGAATTGGGTCCTCAACTACACGATCGCACATACATTAAAAATTTTGTATTATAACATGGTCATATCTTTACAAAAATGTTAGAGCATGTAGTGCCAGCAAGCTCCATGATTTCCTTCCCAAACTGCTCTCATACGCCTACTACGGGAAGGGTTTGATACCCAATCAGCTCGGATGGGGGCGGGCATTGTCCAAATCGCCCACGTCCAAGATATGTTCACAATGCGGGAACAGTGGTGGTTGATGGCCTTCCATGAAACTGCTGTCTGATTCAGTGTTCAAGACATTGTAACAATGGGAGCCGAGCGATCTCACAGGTCGTTTGTACCGAGCATTGTGTGCACTGTATGGGGGCACAATAATCTTGTGGGGGCACACCCACTGCAAGGACACTAGCAGTGCACGATACCAAAACACAGCCTATACAAAGATGTAATCGTAAACATAATGCATTACACAAATTTGCTGCCATCGTCAAATCAGCAAAACAGCAAAACGAAATTGACAGAGAGAACTTCATTACATCATCATATTGCGATGACATCTCACACACCAATCAAATTGCACATATATAACATGCACATGATCTTCTTTTTGTTGAAAATCAGTGATAGCGCAACATCTAAAAGTAACCAACACGACTCGACTAAGCCGTCTCGTCCGTTACATAACACGGCAATTATTCATTTGGACGATAATCGAAGTTACAATCTGTTTCTCGATTGAACCATTGAGGAAGGAACACCATGAATGAACCGACGCCCTCCTCACGCTTTGATCGGGCATGCTTTTGTTGCTCACCTGGCCGTGATGAATTGGACTGCGGGTGTGGGGGAGGCAAAAAAGCCCTTTTGTATACTTCCCAAATGCAAGGTTCTCTCGTCGACAGTTGTGCAACGGGAGATAAAACGAGCCGCACGTCAAAATTACGATAGATCTGACATAATATCTTTAAAAAGTACGTGAAACCAAACCAAACTCAGATGGTTTTATTCATCCTATAGACGTATTAGTTAAACAAAAGTTTGAGAACGAAAGATCTAAATATGGATCTCCGGCGATGGAAACTATCTGCAGTATGTCTCGTCCTTGTCTTGACTGTTACGAGAATATCGGCACAAACCGGTAAGCCAAGAACTGATGAAGTCATGTTAAGGTGTTAGGGGTTATGGATGTTATCTTTAATATCTTTCAGCGAAAGAGAGAGCAGAGGTATAATTGTAGACTTGAGGCCTACTTATTCATGTTATTCGCGACAACTTGTTGGAGAAGGGGCATTGGAGAAAATGGAGCACATTTATCTGATTAAATTCGACTTGCTCCATCCAATATTCTCGGAAGAAACTATGCCGAGTTCAGTAGCAGATACAGGAGTTTTCAAAGAGGGTGACCGGGATGTAAAGCCGAAGATTTTCCCGGGAAGGGGGGCCGGGGGGGGGGGGTTGAAACGTTGGAAGTCCATAAGCAAGGAGTCAAGTTGTAATAATTATTGAGTGATGACTTTAAAATTTGGGGATTGACCCCCATGTTATAACCAATTCGGGGGGGGGGGTCGCCACTGTTAATCTTCCCCTTGGATCCACCCTTCGTTAAGGCATATAGGAATATTTGCTTTTTTTCATGCATTTTGTTGATTTCCAATAATACCTCTCAAAATCCAACTACTTACGACTGTTTGAACAATGAGGACGAGAACGACGAGCATTGTGGTATTTATTCGAACACTTTAAAAAAAAATATATTATTACCATTTTAAATTGTTAAATCATTGGGTCGTTTAATTTTCATTACATTATGTGAATATGATTAAATTCTTGGTTTTGTTTGGGATCCTCCACGGACCCCCCCCCCTCCTTTCCACACCCCCTCTCCCTGGTGAGTCGAGCCGAAGGCCCAATTGGCCTCAGGATTAGCAGATAACAAAGCTTCATATTTAAAGCTTTCGAGTTTGTTGGATTATAGAACAAAGTTTGAAAACTGTGTGTCTAACTTTAGAATTGTTCTGCTGTTTTTTTCTTTTTGTGGTGAGAGTTTGGAAAACTGAATAAACGAATCGATTCATTTGTTTGCAGACTACGGTCAAACTACGCAGGCAACTGAATTTGTACCGACAACTGCAGATAGTTTTCGAACGGGAACCACTGAAAAAGTGGAATTTGTAGCAACTACTGAGGAAGTTGAATTTGTACAGACAACTGAGGAAATTGAATTTGTAGCAACTACTGCAGATAGTTTTCCAACCGGAACTACTGAGAAAGTGGAATTTGTACAGACAACTGAGGAAATTGAATTTGTACAAACTACTGCAGATATTTTTCCAACCGGAACTACTGAGGAAGTTGAATTTGTACAGACAACTGAGGAAGTTGAGTTTGTAGCAACTACTGCAGATAGTTTTCCAACCGGAACTACTGAGGAAGTTGAATTTGTACAGACAACTGAGGAAGTTGAGCTTGTACAAACTACTGCAGATAGTTTTCCAACCGGCACTACTGAGAAAGTGGAATTTGTACAGACAACTGAGGAAATTGAATTTGTACAAACTACTGCAGATAGCTTTCCAACCGGAACTACTGAGGAAGTTGAATTTGTACAGACAACTGAGGAAGTTGAGTTTGTAGCAACTACTGCAGATAGTTTTCCAACCGGAACTACTGAGGAAGTTGAATTTGTACAGACAACTGAGGAACTAGTTGAGTTTGTTCAAACTACTGCAGATAGTTTTCCAACCGGAACTACTGAGGAAGTTGAATTTGTACAGACAACTGAGGAAGTTGAGTTTGTAGCAACCACTGCAGATAGTTTTCCAACCGGAACTACTGAGGAAGTTGAATTTGTACAGACAACTGAGGAAATTGAATTTGTACAAACTACTGCAGATATTTTTCCAACCGGAACTACTGAGGAAGTTGAATTTGTACAGACAACTGAGGAAATTGAATTTGTACAAACTACTGCAGATATTTTTCCAACCGGAACGACTGAGGAAGTTGAATTTGTACAGACAACTGAGGAAGTTGGATTTGTAGCAACTACTGCAGATGTATTTCCAACCGGAACTACTGAGGAAGTTGAATTTGTACAGACAACTGAGGAAGTTGAATTAGTAGCAACTACTGCAGATAGTTTTCCAACCGGAACTACTGAGGAAGTTGAATTTGTACAGACAACTGAGGAAGTTGAGTTTGTTCAAACTACTGCAGATAGTTTTCCAACCGGAACTACTGAGGAAGTTGAATTTGTACAGACAACTGAGGAAGTTGAGTTTGTACAAACTACTGCAGATATATTTCCAACCGGAACTACTGAGAAAGTTAAACTTGTACAGACAACTGAGGAAATTGAATTTGTAGCAACTACTGCAGATAGTTTTCCAACCGGAACTACTGAGGAAGTTGAGTTTGTACAAACTACTGCAGATAGTTTTCCAACTGGAACTACTGAGGGACTTGAATTTGTACAGACAACCGAGGCAATTGAATTTGTACAAACTACTGCAGATATTTTTCCAACCGGCACTACTGAGGAAGTTGAATTTGTACAGACAACTGAGGAACTAGTTGAGTTTGTTCAAACTACTGCAGATAGTTTTCCAACCGGAACTACTGAGGAAGTTGAATTTGTACAGACAACTGAGGAAGTTGAGTTTGTAGCAACTACTGCAGATAGTTTTCCAACCGGAACTACTGAGGAAGTTGAATTTGTACAGACAACTGAGGAAATTGAATTTGTACAAACTACTGCAGATATTTTTCCAACCGGAACGACTGAGGAAGTTGAATTTGTACAGACAACTGAGGAAGTTGGATTTGTAGCAACTACTGCAGATGTATTTCCAACCGGAACTACTGAGGAAGTTGAATTTGTACAGACAACTGAGGAAGTTGAATTTGTAGCAACTACTGCAGATAGTTTTCCAACCGGAACTACTGAGGAAGTTGAATTTGTACAGACAACTGAGGAAGTTGAGTTTGTTCAAACTACTGCAGATAGTTTTCCAACCGGAACTACTGAGGAAGTTGAATTTGTACAGACAACTGAGGAAGTTGAGTTTGTACAAACTACTGCAGATATTTTTCCAACCGGAACTACTGAGAAAGTTGAACTTGTACAGACAACTGAGGAAATTGAATTTGTAGCAACTACTGCAGATAGTTTTCCAACCGGAACTACTGAGGAAGTTGAGTTTGTACAAACTACTGCAGATAGTTTTCCAACTGGAACTACTGAGGGACTTGAATTTGTACAGACAACCGAGGCAATTGAATTTGTACAAACTACTGCAGATATTTTTCCAACCGGAACTACTGAGGAAGTTGAATTTGTACAGACAACTGAGGAAGTTGAATTTGTAGCAACTACTGCAGATAGTTTTCCAACCGGAACAACCGAGGTTATAAAATTTCGTCCAACAACTGCAGGCAGCTTGCTTACAACTGAGGGCACTGGTATGAATGGTATTTTTTTATCAAGTTTTTAATTTGTCTTGTTTTGGAACTTTTCAGTGTTAACTCATAACCAGTTCTTAGAAAAGAAATGTACCTCAATTGAATACATATCAAGTTTCTTTACAATCAGGATTTCGTGTAAAAACCTGTCCTTGACTGCAAACTTTAGCATTGAATAAACTCTAGTAATTTCCTCAAAATATATCAACATATTAAAACTTCCTCTTTTAAATTACGGACCCTTTTGTGTGTGAAGAATTTGAAGGAATGACTGAATTATCATTTTGTTTAATAGAATCATGTAGCAGTTTTCAACTGCAATGCTCTGATGGAGAGTGCAAACCCCGAACGTTTTTTTGCGATCGTAGCCCTGGTGACTGCGCTGATGATTACGATGAAGATGAGACCCTTTGTTGTGGTGAGTGATTTGTGTTAAAAAAGGGTTCGTTAATTCAAGTACGGGCCATGCAAGTCCAAACTTTTTTTTCGAGTACTGATACATGAGACGAGTATGGGTCAAGTACTTGTGTTTACTCGAGTTGTACTCGAGTACGAGTACTCCAACACTGGTACTTGGCCCGTACTCGTCTATCAGTACTCGAAAAAAATATGGACTTGGCCCGTACTCGAATCTTCGTACTCGAATTTTGCACGACTCGACGGTTTGGTACTCGGTACTCGACCCCAGTACTTGGGAGTACACATTGAGTACATTTCTCAACCCGGCGCACAATAGCGCGGTTGCAGTCTGTATTACGGCTTAATCCAGTTCCCGCCTCCCCAATGTTACCGTACACTGAGGATTCGGGAGCCAGCCAAGCCGTGACGCTTCATAATGTTCGCTCGTGGCTCAATATGTAATAACAACAACCAGCAATTGAAGTCCCGCTTTTTGGTTGGTTTTGTTAATTTTTTTTAACAAACTTTTCTTGTGTACATGTGCTTAATCATTAAATCAAGTTTGTCTGGAAAGGGTTTCCAAAATAGCCAATAATTGTTCTTTTTTTTTTTTTTATCAAACTGCAACTTTCTCTGATTAAGGGCCCAGAATCAGAGAGATAATTCACCGGGAAATTGTGGCTTATTTTTTTAAAGTAAGGTGACACCTGTGTAGTAATGGCCAAGACTTGTAGATCACATTAATAATGTTCTGACAAGTACGACTTTCAAGCATGGAGGAATAAGAACATCCGGTTCGTTAGTGTGACGTCACCTCCAGCACTTTCTGCAAGATTGGAACTGGAATTAGATAACGCAGCTCGAGCATTTGTAGCCAATGGGTGCTAGGACCTAGGACGCGCGTGAATGACGTTTTTACTAACGAACCGGATAGTCGACTAGTCTAGGCATGGGTCGTGAAAGAGGAGATGGCAGAGGCAGTCGGACTAGTCGTAGAGGACACTAAGTTTTAATATTTAAAAAAACTGAATGCGCAAACCTGCTGTAGTAGCACCCAATTATCATTCAGTCAGTGTTTTCTTTTGTAAAGGGCATGGGATTTGTTTTTGTATTTACATGCTCATAGCTAAAGGCTGGTTTCATACTTCAAGCCCAGTTCATGCCTAGCGCGAAAGCGAACGCGAATTTGTGACGTCATGGCAAGTTTTTGCACCTCAACTTCGTAAAAGTTGAACATACATGCATTTGAACTCGAAAGACTCACCAAAACAGTTGACTAAATGACACTCAAAATTGACATTCTGATACTTATTGGCACATCTGAACAATTGGCAATGACACCTTCTTGACTTCTAAAGACTGCTTTAGCCTCCAAAAGTCACTTTGGTACTGGACAGACATCTGCAAAAGTCAGTTTTGAATAAAACTCGTAAAAAATAGAGGTGTCCTAAAAGTAAGGATTACCCATACTTCAAGCCCGGTTCATACCTAGCGCGAAGGCGAACGCGAATTTGTGACATCATGGCAAGTTGAACATACATGCATTTGAACTCGAAATTTCACATTCGCATTCGCACCCTATATTAACTGGGCCTAATTATGCGAATGCGATGCAAATGCAATGTGAGTTTGACATCAGGAAGCAATCACTGTGAAATTGGCAGGAGTAAAAATATGTGACATACTGAGGCAAAATGAGGAATGTCCCCCAAAACCTTGTTTTGAGTAATCGATCGATATACCAGAAAAATTATGTCAAAACCGACGTCGATTATTTTGTATTTTTGAGTAGCCAAGGTATCCAAGATTCACACTATGCTTTTTTGTTGGGGAAAAAATACCCCCCAAAGTGAAAAAAACTAAAGAATGTTTTTCACTGCAGTTGTATTTTTTGATCAACAGATACGCTTGGAGTGGAAAGCCATTGCTCTAAACCAGACCACTACCGTTGCTCTGATGGCAAGTACATCCCAAACAGCTATCTTTGCGACGGAACTACTTACGACTGTTTGAACAACGAGGATGAGAACGACGAACATTGTGGTATTTATTTCCTAATTCTTGACATTTTGCTTTTTTGTATTTGCATTTAAAGATGGCTGAATATTTCACTTTTTTTCATTTTTTTTATTGTGTGGTATAAAAACTAGAATAAATTGGAGATTCCATCAGTTACATTGGTTTAATGTTACAAAAACCTTCAGGAACCCCCCCCCCAAAAAAAATGAATGGGGTACATTTCATCTGTATTTGATAATGTATACATGTATTAAAGGTTTATTACTCTTTTTTATACTCTTTTAAACCTCCTTCGCAAACACACATTCTGTGCCAAGTTGTCCTTTCAGCCAAAATGAATCAAGTAACGATTAAGAGCTCCCGGCCATCCACATAAAGTAGGATTGACTTGCTGTGACTGTTAATGCAACTTGATGCAGCTATATGCTTTGATTGTTGGTGATTGATAAGCCAGCTGTGCCCATCAGTTGCCTGCTTTTGTCTGCTGACTGAATTCGACAAGTCACAGTGCTTGCTTGAAATATGATCTGACTGTTGGTGACTAGCTTGTGTAAAAGGCATGGCAGGCAAAGATTGAAATTTTGACTGTCTGTGACTGTTCAAACAACGGGAGGGTTTAAATAATGAGCGGTATATATCTTAGTGCTTTGGAGGGGAAATGTGTTTTGTTTGCAGCAGAACTAAATTTGTCGTATTTTTCTTCTGTTAACATAGTGTTCTGTCCGAACCCTGGAGAGCCCACAAATGGACAGATCGTTCCCTGGTATGCTGAGTACTTTGAGGGCGAGAGTGTGACGTATTCCTGCCTGGATGGCTACACCTTGAAGGGGAATGCTTCAGCTGTTTGTGGAAACATGACATTTGATATGGATGTTCCTTTGTGCTATGGTATGTCGTTATACCTCTGTATTTTCATTGATCTAGAACGATCACGTGTTAGGTTTATAAAAAGTCATGGCACCCTCCCTGATATCACGTAATTGATATCCCACAGGGAGTGTGCTATGACTCGAGATCTGTATGTAAGGTACGTATGGTGTGAAATGCTTGTATCGTTGGTACCCATGCTACTTTCACCATGTTTTCACACAAGTACATGAGTGGGAGCAGGGAATTAGCAGACGATCTGCTGTTTAGAGCACGCAACATGCATGTATTATAGTTGACGTTCGATTGTCATGATTGTTGTGTTTACTGCTGTTTACTCATGATTTTTACATCAAAATCCAAAAGATCCAAGACGGAGGTATAATAAAACAATTGTTGACTGCTGTGATGTGGGATATATGATGTTTTGAACACCCTCGGGGCTCATAGCACTCTCGGCTTCGCCTCGGGTGCTATGCCCCCCCCCCCCCCCCCCCGGGTGCTCAAAACTTCATATCTCACAAAGCAGTCAACAGTTGTTAATTGTCCTGTCCCCCTGTCCTGTTTCCCCACCCCCTCTCGCCCCTTGCCCCTTCCCCAATCTCTCGCTGCCATCTTGGATGGTTCTGAAGCCTAGTTTCCATACAGACGTTAAGCTTTTGTAGACTGCGCAGAGAGTGCGTGGAACCGTCGGCAAAGTTGAACCGGGTGCGAGATAGTTTGCGTCTGTCTGAGTTGTCGGCGACGTTTCCTGATGAACTGTTTCCACATTTCTGCATTGCAGTTTGGGTCTTGTTTGCATCCCTATCTGTGTTTCTTGTGTCGATATGGAAACAAGGCTTTAGCTAGAGGGTCACTTTTTTAAAGGGTAGTTTATACTCAACTTGAAAGCAGACTCGACCATGAACTTGTCATATCGCAAACTAAGTATTGGCACTTTGAAGTAAGAAAAGTTCAAGACATTTCAACTACGGTAAACTTTGCCACTTTGTTTTTGTAGTGTCAAATTCACTTCACATTTATATGAAGAATCATTAACCAGCCTCAGGCAGCCTCAGGAATTCTTCATGTGAACAGTGCAGAAAACCAGTTCTGCAATTTGCAGCAAATTATGGCCGTCAGATATCTTCAATTCTTCGTGATTCCAAGAGAGTTCACTCTCTGACTTTGGAGTGTTTGATGGATTTCGGGAGTTTGGCTCGTGTACATTTCATGTCTTCAAAGAGTCACTTTTTTCACGGCGCGCAACTTTGACACTGCACCGGTGTAGGAGATCATTATGTACGCCTTTGTTATTTGTGTCTTGTCTTCAGAGAACTGCCCTACCCCCAGGACACCAGCCCAGGGTTCCTCCAACGCCTCCTCGCCCGTCGTGCATGGGGACTTGATTGGTTTCACCTGTGACCCAGGTTACACACCGATTCCTGACGTTACCATTGTCTGTAACAACGGCACCTTGGAGGGGAGAGTCCCAACCTGTCAAGGTATGATGATATACAAAATATTGACTGCTTCAAGGTGATCCATGGACGAGATAATGCAGTCAATATTTGTTTTATAACACCTCTCCCACAGATTCGGCTTGGTTTTAATATTCTTAATTATTTAAATCCAAACACAGATAAAATAAACTTCAATTTCAATACAAAATTGGTGGGAAATGTATTTCTCTCTTCCAAACTACCACTTCACGAAATGTTGGAACCTAATTCTGTGGCGCACTCTCTTGGAAAACAAATACGCACCACGCACCACGCACAACGCTCAACGCGCACACTAGCATGCATTTGCACACAAATACCGCGCCATGGGTAAAGTACTTTGGTTGCTAACAGTGGCGTCACCAGACTTTTCAGTCTGGGGGGGCACAGGGGGGGCACCAGCATTTGATGGGGGGGGGGGGGCACTTAGGTGGATACGGATCGCCGTCCTGGGGGAGGGGTCTAAGGGGAGGGGGTGCCCCCCTCCCCTTTGGAAAATTTTCGCATACGGAGGATGGGCTAGATGCAAAATGGTGCCACATTTGATGCTAAATTCGATCTGAAGATATCTCCAGAAATTGCTATTTTTGAGGTAATGATTTTAACAACGCGCAGAATTTTGCAGAGGATAGGGGGGGGGGCACCAGCATTTGATGGGGGGGGGGGGCACTCGGGGGGGCACTAGGTTTTCCAGGGGGGGCACGTGCCCCCCCTGGCCCCCCCTTGGCGACGCCACTGGTTGCTAATGGTATTGGACTGTAGTTGCTACGGGTATAGTACTCTTGGACGTGCACAGAAAAAAGCAAAAATAGAAAGTGCCATGTGACTCGCTCTCGGCCAATCGAGGCACAGATTCTGCAGGTGAGGTTTTACAATAAAGTCTATATACCACCCAAAAGCACCCCGCCAGTTACTCCCTGTACCACCCCAAACCACTAAGGCAATTTATGTTTTTATGCCCCGCGGCGAAGCCGAAGGGGCATACTGTTTCCGCCTTGTCCTTCCGTGGGTGGGTGGGTGGGTGTGTGTGTGGGTGGGTGGGTGTGTGGGTGTGTGTGTCCGGACAAATCTTGTCAGCACGATAACTTGAGAAATACTTAACATATGAACTTCAAATTTGGTCTGTGTATTGTTCTTGGTAATCCTAAGAGGCCTATTGCATTTGGGGCCGAAAGGTCAAGGGTCAAGGTCACAGTGGCTGAAACAATAGAAATTTTGTCAGCGCGATAACTTGAGAAATACTTTACATATGAACTTCAAATTTGGTTTGTGGATTGTCCTTGGCAATCCTGAGAAGCCTTTTGCATTTGGGGCCGAAAGGTCAAGGGTCAAGGTCACAGTGGCTCAAACAAAAGAAATTTTGTCAGCGCGATAACTTGAGAAATACTTTACATATGAATTTCAAATTTGGTTTGTGTATTGTTCTTGGTAATCCTAAGAGGCCTATTGCATTTGGGGCCGAAAGGTCAAGGGTCAAGGTCACAGTGGCTGAAACAATAGAAATTTTGTCAGCGCGATAACTTGAGAAATACTTTACATATGAACTTCAAATTTGGTTTGTGGATTGTCCTTGGTAATCCTAAGAAGCCTTTTGCATTTGGGGCCAAAAGGTCAAGGGTCAAGGTCACAGTGGCTAAAACCATCGAAATCTTGTATTTATTCTGAGATCATAGGGATTAGGGATTAATTCATATAAAACCTACAGAAGACTCTAATGCTGTCAATGAACATTCCATGTGACCAAGGTACATGTAAGTTGATGTTAAAAGAGTGGTGTTATGTCATGGGAACAGTCACGGTTGCGGGGCATTTGTGTTTGTAAACACACCTGACTTGTTTTGTGTGGATTCCATCAGGGAATAAATGTGACCCTCTCCACAAAAAAGGAGTTATATACATGGTTGGAAAGCCCACAACATAAGCATTCATTTGATATTATATAGCCCCTCCCATTTCGGAGATATGACGAATAGCGAGAATGGAACCGGAAGTTACGGCAACTCGAGCGTTTATCCAATGGGTGCTAGTAATCAGTGGTGCGCGCACGTATATGACGTTTTCACTAACCAATGGGATAGCATCTTCACGTGACCGTCAGGCGTCGTTGGCAATGTGTTCGACTATCCTTCCCCGTTATCTCCAGAATTCTCCCAAATTTTGTATCCGCTGAATCCATCTCCACATTTGACTCGGTGTGCTCTAAATACTGATAATGATGTTTCAACAAGTTTGGTGTTTTTTTTGTTCTCTCCTTAACAGATATAAACGAGTGTGCTACTGTTCCCTGTTTAAATGGTGGTGGTTGTCTCAACCTGATGAATGCCTACCAGTGCATGTGTACATCAGCCTGGACTGGCGCCAATTGTTCAATGGGTAAAAAAAACATATTCTTGATGACTATAATATAATGCAATTATGCAATGTGTTTATCACAAGTAAATATTGTTCATTTTAATGTTTTGCGCACTTATACATTTCTTTTTTTGGTAAAAAATATATTTGCCTTGCCAATGATGTTTTTGTGACAGTTGTATAGTTTACAAATATTGAGTTGCTCAGAGTGAATGGGAGGAATATTATAGCAAGGTAAGATCTGGAGTTTTTTATTTCACGAGGCGAAGCCGAGTGAACTGGAAAAGTCCAGATTTTACCGAGCGATAATGTTCCTCCCATTTCACAATTTAAAGCCACTCAATATTTTTTCATATAACTGACATATAGATCCTTGTCATTTGATATATTTGAACTTTTATTTCAATACAAAATTGGTGGAAAATGTACTTCTCTCTTCCAAACCACCCCTCCGCAAAAATGTTTGAACCCAACTCTGTAGCGCTGGCTCTTTGGAACAATACGCGCAACGCTGAACGCGCACACCAGCATGCATTTGCACACAAATACCGCGTCATGCAACAAGAATGATCTTAACTGTTGAATAGTATTTCCCATTCCCCGTGGGCGAATGGGACTTTTTGAGCCCCAGCGTGAGTGGGAGCAATAACGAATGTCACGTGATGTGAGTTCCACCAATCAAATGACAAGGATCTGTTTTTCGGGTTATATAGCAGTGACTATTGTACGCAAGAGCTGTTTGTGGGTGAGGCAGCCAGGCAGTAAAGCAGCATGTTGCCTGCGTCATGAACATGTGACCTGCTTTGCGGTAGAGTTTCCTGCTTCACGAGTCTGAGTCTTTTGCCGATGTGACTCGATTCGAGTCCGAGTCACTGAAATTGTGACTCGAGACGGACTCAAGTCTGAGTCCCGGACCCAAGTCATATCCCAGCATATACATGTGATAATATTTTTCTCTCCATTTTGCATTACATATCTCTGTTTGGAATTTTCTTTTGAACAGATGTGGATGAGTGTTTGTTATCTGCAGACAATTGCCACCCCAATGCTACTTGCACTAACGAAGTGGGAGGGTTCAATTGCACTTGCAATGAAGGTTTCAAAGGAGATGGAGTCACCTGCATAGGTTTGTATGATAATGTTATATAATCAACACGTTGTTGGGTGTAATCAGCATTTCCCACTGTTTATATGCAACGTCATTCTTCAATGACTATTATACTTCTCGGCTTATGGGCATGAGGTAGAAAAGGTGTCATCCATTGAGCATACAATAAAAAATGTAACAAAAAACGTGCAAATTGTTTTGATTTTGCTGAAAGAACATTTTACCTTTTTTTGTGATCCATGGACAGAGCTTTAAAACGGTGTTTGTGTTTAAAATTCAGTAACTTGTAAAGTACATGAGTGATTTGAATGATACTTGTACTAAAAGAAAGCTTATTAATTGGGCTTCCATATCCTAGATTTTGAAAGTGCTGCATGCAGAACTTCACTGCAAAAATGGTCAGGACATTTAGGTTTCATTTGTTTTTAATACTCGCCCTGTGGTGTAACTATGAATGCTTCAAATTTTACAGTGATTGTACGAACTAACTTTCGTCACTGTGTCATTTATGTCAAGTTCATCAATATTGCTGCAGACTCCTGCAGACTCTCGAATTCTACTTTTATTGAACTGACAACAAAGCATAAACTACCCTTTTCCTCTACCCTTTTCCTTCTTTTTTTTGGGGGGGGGGGCATATGGTTTAACTGAATACTTTATTTTCATGTCAACCCCTCCTGCAGAAGACTATCTGTTCCCCCATGGAGGTGATAAAGGCGATTCTCTTCTGAGTGGAAACTCTGCTCAATCCACTGCCACGGATAAAGTCTCAAACGTATTTAAACCTGAATATGGCTTCCCACTAGGCTACAAGTATTTCTTTTCGGGTCTCTACGTAAGTATTCGATTATGTAGGTTTGTTTAACGTTGTTTGTACCGGTCATTAATTCCATAGCTGATATCCCAGCCTCGACTCCATGGGCGCGTGCGCATTCCTTCACTAACCCCTGGCCGTGATGTACACGTAAACGATGCTGACTGGCTATTCAGACTGGCGTACTGTGCGGGCATTTCGAAGATTGCACGCCGGGCGCGCATAGTGCGCTCGCGTGCTTTGCACGTCACGTCACGTACGAATATTCAAAACTGCGGTGTGCCTGTACGATATGGATTATGGCAGCCTCGTTTTTCGCTAAAAAAAACCCCTGTATCTGCGGTTTAAAGGGACGAAAGGGGTATGTACCTTTAATACAAATCTTTGCTAAATAACGCAACTTCCAAACCTTATGTTTGAAAGCATTGATTCTTCAAAAACACAACTTTCAACATTTTAAAGATGGCGCGTAAAACGGATAAACTGCAGCCTAATTATAATGTGCCATATTTTGATACATTTAAATTACACAATTCCAGGGGTTGAGATCGCGCAAGGCATGATGGGAAACAACATGGCGCAGCAAGATCTCGTACCCATGGGAACGAGGTTACTGATATCCGTACATTTGCAAAGATGTCATTCTTTACATTGGTGTTGCTTTTTCTGTTTACATTTTAAAACAGGAAATGCAAAATAAACAAAATACGGACATGTGCTGTTTGAGACATCAGGGGTTGATATTTTTATTAATGGAATTATGTTGTGGTGTAAGGGCCCATCTGAATTTATGGTCAAGTTTCAGTCAAGTTGCCGATGTTGTATCAGGTACAAGTTGCAGGGTTCTGAACAATTGCCCGCAATCTTCCTGTAATGAAGTTATCAGTATTGGAAGTCAAGCAGTTGCTAATGAAAATTTCCCCTTAACATGTTCAGGACAAATGACAAATCAGTTTATATCCGGGACAAGTTCCGGCCAAGTTGCTGACGTTGTATCGGGTATAAGTTGCAAGATTCTGAACAACTTCCTCGCAATCTTTCCGCAATGAAGTTATCAGTATTGGAGAGTCGAGCAGTTGCGAATCAAAGTTTGCCCGCAACACGTCTGGGACAAATGCAGAGCTTATTCCAGACAGAGTGAATGATTGTTCCAGTAACTTGTTCGGAACTCGTCCCAGATATGAATTGAGACCTAACTTGGCCGAGTTAAAGAATGTGTGACTGATATGAGAAATGATAATCAACAAATGCTACGATTTAAAAACAACATTCATAAATACCTGAGACAGTTTACCAATTCCTATTGGTCGAGAGCCCGTCATATGGGTGGTTTTAAACTATTGGTAAAACACGGCTGTGTTCTGCGCTACATCGCGCAGTATGCACTGCACGTGCCAATTTCCATATCAGAAGATTTCTACCACTACGTGCATGAGACACATACCATATCCATGGTCATGGGGTGCCTCACAGAACACGAAGTAAACTTGCTGAACAAAGTCATTGAAAATTTGTGAATTTTTGACTTGTTTGGACTTTTTACCAAAATGTTTTGAGGAATGCGAATCATTATGTGCTTGGCTTGTATTAAACAAGGACGTTTAAAAACGTGGTTACGAATCTGCATTCAGCAATTTTCATGCAGTCAAAAAGACGATTGAAACTGTCACAACTAAGAACATATGTCCAAACTTTTTTGGGGGAAATTTTCTGGGTACGTCAGAACAAGACAATTTATTTATTTTGCTGGTACCCGCTGTGAACGAATCTGGTGAATTGTTTATGCACAGCCAAGTCTATTGGGAGTTAGAGTTTACTACATGCTAGTAACTTTGAAACGTCGTTGTTTAGTTCACAGACAACGGGCAGATTGTCTTCACAAACCAGAACAGTATGCCACTGGCCTATCCTCATCCGTTCCCCGATGGATTTGGTAAAAAGGACGGCGTGGCTATGGTTGCACCATTTTGGATCGATGCCAATCCGGACGCTCCCGATGCTGAGGTTTTTTACCAGGTAAACCATATCTTAACCATTTAGCGCCTGTATTACATTTTGTACACAATGCGTATACAGTCGAGTCTCGTTAATACAAACTCGTTCAGACCTAGCCAAACTGTTTTTTTTATATCAGAATTTTGTATTAAGAGGAACATCAGTCCCATTCATTGTGTACATAAATGCACAGTCGGGACTAAGGCTTTATGTTTGTTATAACCAGAATTTTGTATTAACAGAGTTTGTACTAACGAGATTTGACTGTAGTACTTTGGTTGCTACAGGTATAGCACTTCAGGCTGTGCACAGCAAGATAGCAAAAATTGCGAATGCCATGTGACTCGCCTTTGGCCAATCAAGATACAGAATCTGTGGGTGAGGTGCTATAATCACCAACAGGCAGATCCTATTTCAGTAGGCACTGTGACTAGGCAATTTCATCAACAGGCAAAAGCAAGTAAATGCTAGGTACAGCCAGCTTATCAATCTCCGGCAATCATTAAAGCATGGCTATATCAGGTTTCACAACAATCACAGCCAGTCAATCCTGGTGCATGAAGGCAGGATGCATCCAACTGTGTAAAACAGTCACTTGATTTATTTTGACTGCTGGACTGGCCTTGTTGAAATTGCCAGCCAGAGAGGAAGGGTTAATTAATATTAAACTTGAGTGAAATTAAATTAAATCAAATGGAGTGAAATTGTAGATATGCAACTTGACTGGTTACATTGTACTCGTTGGTTGTAGGTTTATACCAACACAAGTGGGCCAGTGATGCAGGACGCATGCTCAAGAATTAAGGATGTGCATTCATCCTTTTCAAGCTTTGAACCGGATTGGATGCTGGTGGTCACATGGTACCACATGCCTTCATTCATAGAAACAACTGTAAGTACACTTTTACCATGACAGTAAGTTTTCTTCTCTCAGTCACATTTCTCCATAAGTTTCTCCAAAGTGGTATTCACACTATTACTCAATTTGTTCAATATTCCAAATGCATCATGGAAGTAAAATCAAAACAGCTCACATGCGGGTGTGGAGGTGACCGCTATTAATGGACCTCAACTTCGTCTCGGTCCATTAACGGCGGTCACCCCCGCACCCGGTCATTATCACGCAGTGAAGACCGGCTCCTCACACTGTTATTCCCTTATTGAAAATCTGAAATTTTGTCTCTGTTTCAAAAAAAATCCCAAACAAACCAACAGAATACCAACACATTCCAAGTAGCCTTGGTCACAGACGGGGACTACGGTTTTGCAATTGTGAACTACGAGCAAGAGGGCATGCAGTGGAACTACAACGCCCTCTCCGACACCGACGTCATCATAGGCTACAGCAACGGCAGCGGCCTGTTTGTCAACTCCCAGAAAGAGAGCCCCTTCGCTTCGGTCGCCGACAAATTCCGGCCCGACACGCTGGTCGGAAACACGGGCCTGACAGGCCGGTGGGTGTACCGATTGGACTTGAACAGCGCGAGGGTCACCAACCCAAAACGATATTGCAGATGGTGGTATAACCGTCAAGTGGATCCTAGTCGTTGGAAAGGATACCTAGGAACATGCCCTTGTGCCTTCTCCCAGGGGGACAGAGATAGTACGTATAAACGCCGAAGAAGGTCCAGCGGACGCAATTCCGCATCCAGTTCCCAAATGCCGATTACTGATGACGTACAAAATCAAATTGATCAGGAAGGTAGGTTTAAGCCATTAGCACAGGAAGTACTTTGTGTTACACATATTATGTTACAATATTGGTACATATTTCTTCCCTGATGTATCCGCCAATACAATGCTCAAGCAGTGTGGGTGGTACAATGTTGAGTGCAAGCGCACATAACTTTTGTACTATCTTTATACATAATGAAGATATTATAATTATGTTTATTGCTAGATCATTAATGCGCTTTGTTATCCTTCTGTTAGTTCCTTTTGTTACAAGTAGGTACTGCCTTTTTTTCAGTACTTATCCGTAAAAAATCCCCCCCCCCCCCGAAGTCTGAACTGAGAATCTGATTGGCAGAGGATACTCCCTAAAATTAGACTGAAAATTGTGGACTATACAATTTTGAGTGAAAATCGCTCTCGTTTCAGATTGAAATAGTCTGGAAAACAGAACCAATTAGTCAAAGTCGAGTGAAAACTCGATTTTTTTTCGAGTGAATGAATTTCACTCTAAATTGTCTGGGCCCAATTTCACCGTGCTGCTAAGCACAGGATTTTCCGCTAACAGAGCCTCTGTCTGCTTCATGGAGACCGTAAGCATGAGCACAGCAAAAGGCACACCTACTTCAGAGGAAAAATTTGCTTAAGTTAGTGACATGTTTCAATAGAAATCTCCATGCACTCGCGACAGTAAGCACATCCACGCCGTGAAATAGTGCTTATGGTTAGCACATTTTTCTGCTGTGCTAAGCACAACTCTTCTGCTTACTGTTAGGCAGCCCAGGAATTTGGGATCTGGTCCCTATTTTCCGACTTTGGGAGTGAATTTTCACTCTGGAATTTAGAGAGTAAGTCAAAATAGTAAAGATTAAAAATCGGTTTTACAATCATACAATGTATTCATAAATACCTAAGACAATTTACCCATTCCCATTGGTTGAGAGCCTGTCATGTGGCCGGTCTTAAACGGATGATAAAGACATGGCTGGCTGGTCTTAAACACATTTTTAGTGTCACATGAAGTTTGGACTCCCATGAAATCTGGTGCCTTTTAACATTTCATTGTTGACCGTTTACATTCCTCATCTACGCGTAGGCATGCGCAATACTACCAGTGAATCAGTATTTTATAAGTCCGAAATTCACACTACACAAGCCCAGCTGCGTTTTGCACGATATCGCGCAGTACGCTCAGCGTGTACGCCAATCTCCTTATAAAGTAAGGAGTTGTAGAGGGACATTCCATATAACAGTCAGAGGGGTGTTTCATAAAACATGAAGAAAACTAGTTGAACAAAATGGTTGGCAACGTCTAAATTTTTTGACTTGTGTTGATTTTTGGACCGAAAAGATTTTATTTTTTTGACCGACACGGTATTTATGAATGGGAATAAATATGTGTTTGGTCGGAATTAAACACTCTGTTTAAGACTGGTTGGACTCTGGAATGCTGATAACTACCCATCCAGACTCCAACCGGTCTTGAACAGAGTGTTATAATACCTCCCAAGCACACATTTAATTCCTTGTTATAACTGCCCTGGCTAACGAGATGACAAATCTTTGTTACTGGTGTTTACTTTGTCAGAAGGTGGATTCTGTCTTCAGACTCAATTTCCTCAAAGAAACTATGCTGGGATGAGATGTTGCTACCGTGCGGATCGCTCTCTGGTGACCGGCTACGATGGAGTATGGGAGCTTAGTGTCACAGAGAGGGTTCAGTTTAGTTTGGGTGGAAGGATAAGTTGGTTTCGCTACTATTATTGGGTTTGTAAGTCAATATTTTGACTAATTAACTAATTTTGTTAACTGCATACTTGTCTTGTTGGTTTTGGGTGTCCATGTACAGGGTTCCTTGTGGGGTAGAAAACACAATAGAACAATAGAACCCACAAGGAAGTCTTTAGAAATCAATCTTCCACATAAGGGAAACGCTATGGAGTTTGAGATTTCAATAGGAACAAAGGAGAACAAAAGAAAGGAAACAAAGGTCTTCCCCGCAAGTGTGTGTATGGGTGTACAAGCATTACATTCACTGTGTGGACTTCCGAATAAAAGAGGTCCACATAAACCAGGTAGAAGCGACGTTGTGTGGACTTACCCACGTCCACACACTGTTTCCCTCTCTCTGAAAAACAGGTGAAGAGGCATTTTTGGGTTAGGTTTATCGGTGGCAAAATGAAGAGAAACACTAAAGGGAATCATAGAAAAAAAAATTGGGTTGTAAAATGATTTTTTTTTCAGACTAACTTTTTCTTAACTACAAGAAAACAAAAAATGTCCACACTATGTATGTAACGTTATCATGTGGGTGTTTTCTGAAGGTTGAGGGGTCTCATTTGGCTTATATTGTTTGTCATTTTCATTTAATCTTGTGCATTTATTTAGTTCGCAAGTTAAAAGACCGACAAAAACAAAATACAATTAAAACTATAATGAAAAAAAGATTGTAGAATTACACACAAATTGCACATTAGAGGCCACAATTACAGCAATAAACTACTATAAACAAGATCCTGAGAGAAAAACAAAATGAAATTAAAAACATTTAGTAAATGGAAAAACAAAACGAAAAAAAAGCAAAGAAAGAAAAACACACGAAAACACAAAATTACAAGTAGCACCCTTGCAGGATTGCCAAGGTTCCTAGTGCAACTCGGCAAAATAAAAACTCAGACAGAGCAGACAAACACATCAAATCTACAAATACAAAACCTGTCACGAAAAACAAAAAAGAAAAACAAACGGATAGACAACCAGACAAACAAACAACCTCACAAACCCCGACAAGCACACAAACAAACAAGCAAACGAACAAACACACAAAATGGCAATGGTGTTGGTTTGCGGGCTGAATCACGCGCTTATGTCTTTATGACATTTTGTGCGCGTGACGTATTCACTTTGTTACTCCATGTGAGGTAAACGGTCGTTTTTATAGGCTGGGCATGTGATTGTTTTAGACCAATGTAATTGCACATATCGTCACCGACACCACGAAGTAACACCCATCTACATACCAGTAAAAACTAGCAATTGGAGAAAACGGCAACTAAAGTTGAACGCCTTCTAAAACAACACTTTGCGTCAAAACGACAGAGTATTTTCAGTTGGGTTTCTCGTTGTGGACACTTGATGAATTGAATTTATTAAATCTTCTGTTTTTCACCCGTTTGTGTATTCAATAAACAAGAAATAAGAGAAAAAAGATGAGTGTTAGTTCGTGAAACCGAAAAGGCTGCGAAACTGTAAATTTTCGTTTTCACGAAGTAACACTCTTCAATGTATTCAACATGAGGAAAGTGCAACTTCAGGTCAGCGCGCCCACGCTCATACAACTTATTACAAAAAGAGTGTTACTTCGTGAAAACGTTTTTGCTCACTTATGAGCAGAGTGCGCGCCATGCATTGCAATGGTAAATGGAACTTGAGTGTTGCTTCGTGAAAACGAAAATTGTCACTTTTGCGCAAAAGTTGCCATGGATACTTAGCGTAATTATTAAAGTAAAGCTCTTGAAGCTTTGAAACTTCGTGCAATGGTAGGCCTTGATGAATAATGTTCAAAAATCAAAAAAACTGAAAATCGAAAAAAATATGGTTTAACACGGTAGAGTGTTACTTCGTGGTGTCGGTGACGATATGTAGCACGATAGGAGACGGAGGGAACCCCCCTCAGTTGTGTTGGATATCTCAGGAATTCTTTTGAGATATTTAGGGGGGATGTACCCGGAACGTGTTAGATAACAATAGTCTAAGGTTTACAAAGGGTACAGGTAGATTGGGGGGGGGGGGGTACCCCTCCATCTCATATCGTGCTGATATAAAATTGCAGAGTCAAATTTAGACACCGTATAGTCTAACATCTCACTTTAGGATTTGTATTCGTTTTTCTTCACTGCAGATTTCGATTATGCCCCACGTTATTACTGTTGTGAAAAAGCAAACGATGAGGCTTTTTGTGACATGTACTTTGAGAAGCGACCAAAGGGCCGGTGCAGTGGGTACCTACCCCCAAACACAGGTGCGTTGAGAGGAATCTAACTTTCAATGCTCAAACTCCATAAAACTCTCTCCCTCTAAAATGTTAAGCAAACAGCCCTCAAAAAGTACAAAAAGTAAAAAAAAGAAGAAAAAAATCAAACAGTATTGTATAGAATTTAGAGCACAAAAACCCATGTGTTAATTCCTGATGTGCGTATTGTGTTACGGGTAATCCTAGAAATTATTGTTTAGCCACAAGTAATTCAAAATTTCTAAAGTAATAATTCATTGACTAATCATGGGCCAGCAATTTTGGTCGCTCTGAAAAGTAAATAACTTTTCTATTACAGGTACTTGAAAAAAAAAAGTATTTAGAAAAGGAATCTATTTTTAATGAAACCTGAAAATGGCATGGGGAATCCTAATCTTTCCCAACTCCATCAAAAGCCATCCTCCCATTGTGGTGTATTTTGGGGGACTAAGTCCTGCAGGCTTGGTTTGATAAATATTGATGGAGTATGATGGACTTGGGCCTGGAGGCCTGAAACAGTGCTAGGGGTATCCGATTGATTTTACCTTGCATCCTGCACTGCTGTTGTCACATAAGCCATGTGTACTAAGTCCATCTATATCCACCAGTACTTCAGTGGTGGATTCCATTATTTCATGTATTGGAAGCAGAGTGATGGATTTTGGCGGACTTGGTCCAGTATTTAGTAAAAGACATTTTGGAGTAAGGGTTTTAAGCATCCTGAATTTCTGGAAAAAAAATATGAATCATTCGATCCCTGTCCGCCGTGCTGATTCTGTTTTATTTTCGGGGGGGAATGTAGGTTGGATGATTGGCGATCCTCACATCACAACTTTGGATGGAGTTGGTTATACCTTCAACGGCCTCGGGGAGTACACCCAATTCCTGCTGCCCGACAGCGAGGGCGAGACTTTGTTTGAGATCCAGGGCAGGACGATGCGCGCCCGGGATGCCAAGACCGGCGAATTTTCCCAGGCCACGCTGTTTGTAGGCTTCGTAGGCCAGGCCAATGATTCTGCCAAGGTACTATTAAGTTTCCAAAACAGTGCAATTATATTCATAAATCCAAGTAAAAAATGTGGCCTCAAAAAATGTTAGCACTTTAATGTTATACAAATGACGAATGTTTGTGAGTGCAGTGGTTAGAATAATTTCATGAGGTGACAGATGGAAAGTTGAAGCGAAGCCAAGTAAATTGGAGCATCACTGAATGACATTATTCTTTCCATTGCATGAATGTGAAACATTAATTGTTTGTTTTATACAACACCTGAATAAATCCTCATCATCTGATTGGTCATAGCCGCCAAAAGTGTGACCTTGCAATGGAACTTCCATTTACCACGGAATGGAATTTCTATTTTTGCGTTGGGATGAATTGGGTCATTCCGGATAATCAAACGCTCATTGAAGACACATGAACACGCAAGGAGACTGGCGTGCGTGTTAATTACCAAACAGAATTCGTGTTTGTTTAACATTGGGTAACACTACATCAGCAATTTCATCCCGAATGACCTTTGACCTGGACTACTTCATCGGGGGACCGAACGGCTTATTCAGTGACAATGAATCTACAAGAGGCCTGCTTAATTAATACTTTGCCACAAATTCACGCACTTCTTATATAATGGAGTTTGTTGATATTAATTGTAAAATCAGTCAAATTTCTCTGTGCGACCAAGCCTTGATTTTGTTTGTATGTTTTTGCAGGTGCAAATGAGTGCTAATGAGAATTCCTCAGACGTTGACATTTTCATCAATGATGAACTCTTCAACAAGACCCTAATTGAAGAAGGTACAGTTATCTTAAATACAGAATTTTGACTTCTTAATACATGCAACTGCATGCGCAACATTACAAATCCGTGTGAATAATGTCTTTAATTATCATTTATGTCCTCAACAGTTTTAACGCTGAATCAGGCAGAGGGCAATTTACAGTAGCCCTAATAATTGCAATATTGGGCTTTGCCTTTCATTTGCGTAACCTAATAAGCGTTTTATACGGTGGTGAAAAGGCAAACCCAATGAATGAAATTGATGCCACCCCTAGGCACAATTCCATGTTATGAGATACGAATTGCAGTACCTGCTGCCGTGACGGGCAAAATTCGATATTAAACTTGACATTTCACTGAAGCAAATTTTGTTTTTTTGTTCATTTTTAAATTGACTCATACGATGTGCCATGTCTTGGGAGTGTGGCCTAGTGGTCAGGGTTTGTAACTCATGATCATAGGCTTGATTCCAGCTGCTGGCCATAGGTTGTGTCCTTGGGCAAGCTACTTCACCCCATCTTGCCTCTCTCCACCCAGGAGTAACCTGCGATGGAGTAGCATCCCATCCAGGGGGAACAGAAATATTCTCAGTCGAAACCGGAGATAAACACCAGCCTGATGGGCCACATTGGCTTGTGACAGATGTTTTTTATACTTAGTAGCAAGGTCGTATCTCCTAAAATAACCCGGATGTACACGCAAAGTCGATGGACGTCAAGATACGACCTTGTTGCATGGAGTGTATTCGCACGAGATACGACTTGTTGCAGAATCGAGTTACGACCTTGTTGCACTGACGCAACGACTTTGTGTGCCATGTAAAACGCTTGTTTTAGTTGCATATTTTAAAAACGTTGTGTTTGTCTTCCAGATGCGTATCACATTACCAACATGTCCTGTTCCATATCCCAGAGACTGGACGCCAACAATAACACGAGATACTTGGCCACTTGGATGATCGGAACGTCCATGGAAGTTGGCATTAGTATGGGGATAATGGATATCGTTGTCTCCGCTCCGATCTCGTACATGAACAGATCTAGTCGCGGTTTGCTTGGTGAGTTGATGAGATGCTCTTTTGTTTCTTTATTAGTGAGTCAATCTCAAGTTCATCACAAGTCAGTAAGGTGACTCACTGAAGTCAATCATTTTAGTGTTAGGACCCGGTCATCAGTGCTTGGTAATGACCGGGTTGGGGGATGGCGATCCCCTTACCTGGTCATTATCGCAACCGTGTTACATACGTGTTACATTTCGGATTGTTATGAATTAATCACAAGTAAATCGCAAACCAATAATTTTGACTCTTAAGAAGTCAATCACAAATAAATCACAAGTGTGTCATATACCTTTTTTTAAAAATCACTTACAAGTACATCACAAGTCAAGAACGTAATTATGAATCAATCACAATACATCACTAGTCAATTATCGCAACTCCTATGAAGCCAATCACAACAAAATCACGAGTCGGGTCTTGCCTTGTAATGCCTTGTGATGCCTTGTGATTGACGTGTGAGGAGACATGAGACCTCAATTTGGAGACATATGTGAACTCAACAGGGGAGTCAGGTTGGCGTAGCGGTACTTTCCTCGCCTTCCACCGCTGTGACCCGGGTTCGAATCCCGCCTGGGCCAATATGTGGATTGGGTTTTCAGTCCCTGCCTGATTCCGTGGGTTTTCCTCAGAATATTCTTCTGGGCTTTTCCTCCCACCTCTAAAACTGTAATTTCTTCTCATTGTCTTCTCTCCACAGGTTTCTGCAGGCTTGCGAGCTACAGTGCCTAGGGCGCTTTTGAGGAATGCTTGGTTTCATTACCAAAAATGACTAATAATAATAATAATAACAATTTATAAATGAACACATTTTGAATGTTTTCCCACTCTTCAGGCGTTTGGAATGGAGACCCAACGGACGATTTTATGAAACGCAATGAGACACTGCTGACTCCCTCCGGCAGTGATGGTAACTACACTGATGCCGACTACTTTGAATTCGGAGAAACATGTAAGTTGTTGGTGTTATATTTTCCAAATTCCTTAAAGGTTCACAGTGCAAAAACTTTTTGTGCTGAGTAAAACGGTCCTTCACAAGATTATGTTGCTTGCTTTTGACCTTCCACAGGGGTGTGAAATCTCAGCTTTAAAGCTGATTTCAGTGTTTTTTGTTTTGGATTTCAGCTTTTTTCCCTCACTTGCTGTGTACAAAAGTATAGGAGATTTCCAAAGTTCAGCTTTATAACACCTTTTTCAGCTGTTTTCAGCTATGTTTATCAGTGGTCACTCATACCCCTGCTTCCAAGATTGTTCTTCGTAACACACATGGCCCACATTCACATGGAGCTACTAAAGAAAGCTAAAGAACAGGGTTCCCAGCCTCTCTGGAAATCAGGGAAAACCTTCAAAATGAATTTCCATTTACCTAGTCAGGGAAAACTCAGGGAATTAGGGGAAAAACACCATAAATCAAGGAAAACTCAGGGAATTAGAGAAAAAAACACCATAAATCAAGGAAAACTCAGGGAATTGGAGAAAAAACACCACAAATCAAGGAAAACTCAGGGAATTAGGGGAAAACACCACAAATCAAGGAAAACTCAGGGAATTAGAGAAAACACACCATAAATCAAGGAAAACTCTGGGAATTAGAGAAAAAACACCATAAATCAAGGAAAACTCAGGGAATTAGGGAAAAAACACCATAAATCAAGGAAAACTCAGGGAATTAGAGAAAACACCATAAATCAAGGAAAACTCAGGGAATTGGGGAAAAAACACTATAAATCAAGGAAAACTCAAGGAATCTGACAGTGACATAGAAGGGAAAGGTTGCAGCCAGTTTGTCATACGTGCGTCTTGTGCCATGTTCTAAGTTGTGTCCATTGGCTTGCTGACCGGCTATGGTGGCTTATTTAGTATTTATGTAGTGTGAATGTTGCACACCTCTGTAGCAACTTTGTTAGAGTGAAAATATTTCTCGTGGAATTTTGGAAATTTCTCATGGAAATGTTCGGGAAAACTTGGGAAATTTTGTTTTCACACAGTGCTGGGAACCCTGAAGGAAATTTATTTACTTCCAGCCAAATTGTCTTGCAATGTAAATTATTTATGGCTGACTTTTTGCTCAGAATAAAAATTTGCTAACAAAAACTATTCACTCAGCAATTCAGTTTAATTATGCCCTTTTTAGTATGGTTTAGTTTCTTATTTTCTTTTTTGTCTGACAATCGAGACGGTTTCGATTTAATTTTTTTGTTTGGTGTGCGTGCAATCAGGGAGAACCACGCCCGAAACCTCCCTCTTCCTGTACCCGCCGGACACCGGCTGGGCGGACTACAACAACCTGACCTTCGTGCCGCTGTTTCTGGACGAACTGATCGCGGAGGCGGAGCGAGACGATCCGACATTCCTGGCAGAGGTTCGGTCCACTTGCGGAGACAACAGCATGTGCCTGTTTGATTCTCTGGCCACCAAGGACACGGCCGTCGGAATGGCCACAATGGCCATGGACGAAGCGAACGTGGCGAATGCAAACGAATTAGGTATTGGGCTCTTCTAGAATATAAATAGAACATGGCTTGCGGGTTGATAGTCGATCTTAGTTCCCTGAGGTATTGGAAGTTGACAGACTATTTGCCTCGGGAACTAGTCTGTCAACTTGCAATACCGAGGGGAGCTAATATCATCTACCAACCTGAACTTAGCCATGTTTCATTTGTTTCACTATACCTCATGCATATTCACAAACAAATTCATAAAGTTATGAGTAATTTTTATCCGCAAAATGTTGTGCATGTGCACCATCTTTTTAAGTAGCTGCCTGTTGCTAGGGCACTACCCCAAGTACTTGCTCCACGATTGCCTCGTAAAGCGCATGTATAGTAGACTAGCGCACTGGTAACCATTACGACAGTCTTCTACGCATGCATATTTAACCTATGCATCTAGACTGATCAGTGTTTGGTACCAAACGTTCACAGACAAAGTGAACGTGGACTGGCAAGACTTATTTGCTCTATTGTAAATACAGAATAAAACATTTCTTGGTTAAAACAAACTGGAATAGATGCAAAACACCCAGGCTTTTTGGAAACTGTGAATAAATCTTTTGGCAATGGGTGTTCCACATAAGATTGTTGTCAGTAATAACCTGGTCAGGCGGAGGACAATAAGCTGGCACTTCAGGGCCAATTTCACGGCGCTGCTAAGCACAAAAATTCGCTTAAGTAGCACAAAAAAGTCTGGCTTAAAAAAGCCGGTTACCAGCCAAAACTCCATGTGATTTATATTGCTCATGATTAGTATTCAGCTGTTGTTTGCTTAGCATTAAAATCACATGGGGTTTTGGCTGGTAACCTGGGCCCAATTTCATAGAGCTGCTTAAAGCAGAAAATTGCTTAAGCACGAAAAAACATTGCTTAGTAAAATTAGGTTACCGGCCAAAACTGCATGTGATGTACATTGCTTATGACTGGTATTTAGCTGTTGTTTACTTAGCATAACAATCGCATGCAGTTTTGGCTGGTAACCTGATTTTATTAAGCAAGATGTTTTTGTGCTTAAACAAATTTTGTGCTTAAGCAGCTCTATGAAATTGGCCCCTGCTTTTATAAGCCAGACTTTTTTGTGCTAAGCACATTTTTGTGCTTAGCAGCGCCGTGAAATTGGTCCCAGGTAAAGACCAATCCGGGCATGTGATCACTTTGCGCATAGGCGGCCCCCTTCAATGGAGAAACCATTGTGCACGCTATTGTACAAAGCAACTGCCCCTCGTTGGATTATCTGAACAATAGCTAGTGCAATGCCTCGGCCATTGCAGGGGGGCTTTCGTGATATAAGTGACAGCATGCCCGGATTGGTCAACAGCAAAAACGTATTTAGCCCAGTTGGTAAGTACGCGCATTCATCTTGTGTTTGCCTCATATTGCCGGTGGTATTCAAATTGTTCTTTTCTTTTCTTTTCAGCCAACTTTCCTCCAACCATTGACAATGGAACCAATGTGATAATTGCCCATGTGGGAGAGCCGGTTCAATTCCAAGTCAATGCTAGTGATCCGAACGGGGACGCTGTCAGCTTCTCTCTCTTGCAGGACGTTGAAGGTGCTTCTGTCAATCAAGGTAAATTGAGGATTGAAACCGGGGGGTTCTCGGGTGTCTCAGAGGTTTTTTTTCTGTGTTTTTTAATTCAGTAATGATAAATGTACAAAAAGTTTAACCATGCCTTTCCAAGCGATACACAACAACACATACATAGCCCTCTAAACGCCAGTTCATTCTTCACATGAAAGCAAAAGCAAAGTGCATTTCGTGTCCTCAGCAGTTGAAAGCTTCAGGGTGACATTCACTGTTTCCCTAAGAAATTCACTTTGCACTAAAATGTACCTGAGATAGGAACTGTCCTTTACTCCGCCTGCAGCATGAGGTCTCTTTCTTTGCTTGTTCTCAAGTCTGTCCGTTACTCATAATAACCTAAATTTACCCCCCAGAGATGTGTGTGTGGGTTTGTTTCTGCATTCGATAGGGGACGTTGAACAACAGAGGACAATAGGGTCCCCAATTCCCGAAGGGTCCTCAATTTGGCGATGTGTACAAATCATATGGGAGGTCTTCCTAAAAAGTACAAACAAAAGAGGGACAATAGGGGTTCCCGATTGCAGGCAAATACACACTTGCATACGTATTTAACACTGCCTTATGGGGTACCGGAACAATGGGAGGTATAACAACATTTAGTATGGTCCTGAAGCCGTGTGTTATACATTTCTTTTTCTTTATTGTTTTCACCAATAAGATGGTCTCTTCGTCTGGAATCCCACCAACACTAGCAAAGTCCGGATCGCGATTCAGGCCAGTGACGGATCTGCCAACGCTGTGCTTGAGCCCACCGTGAAAGTCTGTAATTGTCAGAATAATGGGACCTGCATGTACGATACGTACGTCCAGGACACAAATATCATGAAGGACAAGTTTGCGGTAAGTATAACTTTTCAAGAGAAACAAATGATAGATTTATAGATTGTGTATACAGAGTCAAAAAAAGCGGAACCCAAATCCCCCAAAATATATTTCATATTTAAAAAATATGTAGGACCAAAAATAATAATGACTTGAAAGCCAATTTCATAAGCTACTTTTAAATGAAAAAATTACTGAAATTGCTCAATCCGTTCAAAGAATATCACCATTTAATTGCAATGAGCCTAAAACCTGTTTCGTCCAAAAACAGCAATCTATTTGTATTCTGACTGGAACAACACAGAAAATGACACAGAATACTTGTTTCAAAACTGTCAACAACAGTAGTACACAACATCTTTATTATCAACCCTGGTTAGGCAAACAATATGATTTATATAATCCACTTTTTTTAAAAGACAGGCCTTCGAAAGGACTTTGTTGAATATTTTTAACTTTTAAACTGAGGTTTTATCGCTGGTGATGTTTGAAGACAATTGTGACGACCATTCTTGAAATTTCATTTTTGGACGAAAGAGGTTTTCGGGTCATTGTGTTTAAATGGTGATATTGTTTGAACGGATTGACCAATTTCAGTATTTTTTTCGTCTAAAAGTAGCTTATGAAATTGGCTTTCCAGTCATTATTACGTTTGGTGCTACATATTTTTTTTTTAAAATATGACATATAATTTTGGGGTTTGGGTTCTGCTTTTTTTAACTCACCCGGCACTATTCAGTACACATAAAGCTCTCCTCACTATCTGCATGTAATCCACAGACAATATGACCTTGTTAGCAAATTTGTTTTTTTTGTAGTGCTGGCTTCCACAAGGTAAAGGCAAACTACTCTATAATTTTTGTAGAAGAGATGATTGAATATTGAAAGTTTGTAGTGTTGCAAGAAAGGACAGTTTAACCCTAAATCCCCAGCATAATTTACTAGGCACCGTACCCATTCAGGCAAATTCCAACACCCACATGGGAAGTCGTACACACACACTGTTGGACTTAATTTCCGGAGGTATTCCAAACCCAATGTAAAAGACCATCTGTTTAGGGGTACTGTACCCATCCCAACAGATTTAAACAAAACCTGCTGTTGAACTTTGATGGGTTGTGTTCGATTAGGGTTAAAGTAGAAAAAAAATTGCAGGGTAACACCATGTGGAAATAAATCTCTTGTTGGAAGAAATGTGGTTCTGAAAGAACCGGTTGGTTGAGTGTAGAACTCGACATTCTGGACAGTTTGCTCAGTCCGTCCTCAGGGGGTGAGTGATTGAGCAAACTGTCCGAAACGTTGAGTTCTACACTCAACCAAGCGGTTCTTCCAGAACCACATTTCTTTCACGAAGACGTTTCTTTCCACATGGTGCTACCTGCAATTTTTTCTACTTATATCTCATCGCCAGGCAAAGCTTCAAGTCATATGTAAGTGACCATTTGATGAAAATGAAATTTTTTTTGGGCAAAATATTGCCCATTTGAAGTGTGTGATAACAAGGATGAAAAAAAGACCTGCCTTTTGAAACACTATTACAAATCAACTAAACTTACCTTCAGGGGCAAAATAATGGTTTAAAACTTTTGCGCTGCTAGAAATATTTAGGGTTGTGCACAAGCATGGATGCGTACAGCAGGCATCAATTTGTCTATGGGCGAATTCTGGATCCTAAATTTATAGAAGACCCATTATACCACATTGTTTCCTCAGGTCGTTGTGTGCAACTGCACCGCCGGCTGGACCGGTGACTTCTGTGAAGTTGACTTTAATGCATGCCAAGACAATCCGTGCTTTGAAAACGTCACCTGCATCGACTTGCCACCGCCGGAGGTGACGAACACATGCGGACCGTGCCCCGACAACCTGCAAGGCAATGGGTTTACGTGTTATGGTGAGTCATTAACCCTAACCGCCCTGAATCCTTCAAAATCCTATTTGCCAAAGTGGAGGAATATGGAGGATTGAGGTTACATGGCAAAAGTGTATTACTGTTTTCGTTGGATGCACTTTGTCAAGGTCTTGGGTCAGACCTTGTGTTGTTTGTGCTCAGCCATGCATTATAGGCCTGTATTATTCAAGAAATCCTCCGTACTGCTCCAGGATGTCACTGGCTAAGCCTCAACATATTGATAGTCACTGCCGCAGGATTTTGCAGGATTCAGGCAGTGGTCACCCCTCCACGGACCATATTCAAGAAATTGGAAGATGCTTTGAGTTTTCAAAATTCTGGAAAACATAAAAAATGCAATTTAGGGGTGAGATTTTTTCAGGATTTTCTAGATTTCAGGATTTTTTATCAGGATTTTTCCAGATTTCAGGATTTAAAAATAAATCCCATTTGAAACCTGGAATATCTGAGATTTTACCTTAAAAGTGTACATGTAAAAGGATATGGAATGATTGAAATTGGTATTTTAAGGGGTGCCTTTAGGCAAATAAAAAACCTATACCATCAGATCGTACGTTGCTCTGGGGCCCTCCCTCAAACCCACTGCCGATTATTTCATGGATTCCCCCCCCCCCCAATCTCACCCCTGCTGAGGGCTTATCTACTGGAGTGCTCACTATGGACTTTTTTACTAGGTATACTAATTGCTGTTGAGTTCTGAACACAGAACTCAACACTGGGTACTGTGGCAGCTATTGGAAGCAGTCGCGCACCCGGGGCTTTGGGAGGGGGGGCTCACAATTTTTTTTTTTCAATTTTTTTAGAAGTTGAAATTTGTTCAAAATAATTTTTGAAAGAAAATTGTTTGGGGCAGACTATTTTGACGTTGTTGGCACCACTTACACCCTATTATACTACTCGAAAATAGGCCACATACATATCACCAAGGTCAAATAATGGGACTAAAAAAAAATACCAATAAACCCACCAAACAAACAAATTGGCTCCATTCCCCGAGGGCCCCCCCTTGGGTATGCCATTGATTTGGAAGGCAGTGCGAAAAACATAAAGAAGTCAAATACTGAAGTGAATTTATTATTATTATTATTATTTATTTCTGGAAATGAAACCAAGGATTCCTCCAAAGACTCCTAGGCACTGTGGCTCGCAAGCCTTAAGAAACCTGTAGAGAGAAGACAATGAGTAGAAATTACAGTTTTAGAGGTTGGAGGAAAACCCCAGAAGAATATTCTGGGGAAAACCCACGGAATCAGGTAGGGACTGAAACCCCAATCCACATGTTGACCCAGGGCAGGAATCGAACCCGGGTCACAGCGGTGGAAGGTGAGGAAAGCACCGCTACGCCAACCTGACTCCCCATTTTGAGGGTGTGGTAGAGGGAATGTTAACTGAGCTGTCTTGTTGACCAGATCTGGATGAGTGCAACCTCCCAGGGGGCTCCCCGTGCTCCCAGCTCTGCGCCAACTTCCTGGGCGGCTACAACTGCACCTGCAACAGTGGCTACGACCTGCATCAAGACATGCACAACTGCACCGATGTTGACGAGTGCATGCAGGCCAATGTGACCGACTGTCACGCGGCTGCCCTCTGCAACAACACCGCGGGATCCTATGAGTGCTACTGTCCTGAAGGTTACAACGACGTGAATGATGATGGAACCATCTGTGAAGGTATGTTTCCGAATCTTTTTCTATTTTAACCCTTTAGTCACTGAAACCGTGTCTGAAACCGCCCTGCCTATTACTCACTGCAGCGCCCGAAACCACCCTAGCACTCTATGGTTTTTATTGATTCTTCAGTGAATAAACACAATGTAATACAATGTATACAGTTGCCAATACGGGTTATCTTTGTAGGGATGATTTCAGGTCACGACACTCTTTCCAGAGTGATAGAGTAATAAGTCAACAGTGTAATCACAAGTCAGTCAAAAATTAGATCACAAGTCAATCAAACGGTAAATCACAAGGAAGTCAAAAGTCAAACCATAAGTCCATCATAAAGTCAAATCACAAGTAATAGTGACAAATTAGTCAAATCACAAGTCAATCAAACGGTAAATCACAAGGAAGTCAAAAGTCAAACCTTTAGTCCATCATAAAGTCAAATCACAAGTAATAGTGACAAATTAGTCAAATCACAAGTCAATCAAACGGTAAATCACAAGGAAGTCAAAAGTCAAACCATAAGTCCATCATAAAGTCAAATCACAAGTAATAGTGACAAATTAGTCAAATCACAAGTCAATCAAACGGTAAATCACAAGGAAGTCAAAAGTCAAACCATAAGTCCATCATAAAGTCAAATTACAAGTAATAGTGACAAATTAGTCAAATCACAAGTCAATCAAACGGTAAATCACAAGGAAGTCAAAAGTCAAACCATAAGTCCATCATAAAGTCAAATCACAAGTCAAATCACAAGTCAAATCACAAGTAATGAATAATGACAAAGAAATGACTTGAGAATGGACCACACAAGCTGCGTTGACGTGATTCTACTGCAATAGGTTAATTGGTAGAGCACCAGCACGTTGTGTGGTTGGTCACAGGTTTGCATCCCTCTCATGTCAAATTTTTGATTTATATTTATCTCAGATATAAACGAGTGTCTGGCCATGCCTCCCGTGTGCACAGCTGAGATGGAATGTCAGAACACCGTTGGCAGTTATGTATGTAACTGTGAACCTGGATATGAGGGCGTAAACGGCTCATGCGTTGGTAAGAGCATTGATGAAATCCTATTGTTTCTGTTCACATCTTTTGTAACAGTTAAAAGGACATTATGGCCTGGGCCCAATTTCATAGAGCTGCTTAAGCAGAAAATTTGCTTAAGCACGAAAAAACATTGCTTAGTAAAATTAGGTTACCGGCCAAAACTCCATGTGATGTACATTGCTTGTGACTCGTATTTAGCTGTTGTTTACTTAGCATAACAATCGCATGGAGTTTTGGCTGGTAACCTGATTTTATTAAGCAAGACGTTTTTGTGCTTAAGCAAATTTTGTGCTTAAGCAGCTCTATGAAATTGGCCCCTGGAATGCACCCAATTGGGCTGAATGCGTTTTAAACGAAATTAAAGTAAACAGAGCACTGAAAAGTAGAATATAAATGTCCACGCAACCCACCCTTTAAAAACTTGGCATTTTTGTGTTTTTCTTACGAGAACCATGCGAGAATGAATTTCGGGGGTCAAAATTGTGTCTCCCAAAAATTGAGCTGTTGAGTGCTAGTTGTGATCCAGCCGCACAGTGGTTCGCATTCTGCAGACGTGTGAGAAACAATGTTTTTGACGTGTGTATGATGTACCACACACACAACGTGTTCAGTACATGGAATAGACACAACATGAAATATGTATGGGTATGCCACAAAATGTCCGTCAATAGATGTAAACAACCAGGGTTTTTTTTCTTTTCTCGGGAACGGTAAAATATTAGGTTTGTTTCCTTTCAACCAGACCTTTGAAAGAATGATGGGATAATGGGGGATTTTTTGGTCAACAGTAAACTTGTTATTTCATGAAGATTATCAACACGCTCAATATATGCATTCACTTACATGAAGATTGTACGACTTGGATTCTTGTGACTGATTGAAAGTAATTGTTTCTGACTGACATTGTTTCAATATAACTTCCATTTCATCATTAGCAAACCAACAATGCCCTCTGCCAATTGTGAGGCATTCCTGCAAAGTGAGACGGAACTGGACACAGGGGCCGTAGTGGAGTAAAATGCAAAAACAAGGAAATGGTGGAATTTTTTTTCTGATTTTCAGATTTTAGTGAAATTTGTAATCTCTGATATGTCTGCCAAACGTTTTGTGGACAAAGTCTAAAAATCGTGGAATAAAGGTGTTTTTTTAAGGAAAAAAAAAATTGGCATATTTCCTTTTCACAAATACAAAACTCAAAGCCTTTAAAGGCCCTTTTCTCAGTATTTTACTTTTCTGACATCTTGATAAATACAAAGTTTAAATATCCATGACTTGTCAATGAAATGTCTGATTGGAGTGCAATAAACAGTATTGTAAGGAAAACTTTATTCACTTTCCGAATACCAACAAACCCTCATTTCGACCTCTGCCCTGTTCTGTCTCATTTTGCCAGAATGCCTCACAATCTTTTTAATTTGTGCTCAGCGGTGCATTTTCCCACAATTTTCCAGTTACTTTTTTGAATATTTCTTGTCTGTGTTTGCTAATTTTGTTAAGACGTTGACGAGTGCGCTAGGAACACGTCTGACTGCGGGCAGTATGCCACGTGCAGAAATGTCCCGGGCCAGTTTGTCTGCAGATGCGACGCGGGTTTTCAAGGCGACGGCTACAACTGTACCAACATGAACGAGTGCGAGGGCGGCATGTCTCGCTGCTCCACCAGGGCTACGTGCCAGGACACGGTGGGCAGCTACCTGTGTCTGTGTGTTCCGGGATATGTGGGTGACGGATCTACGTGTGAAGGTCAGATATGTTATGGATCATCAAATATACGTTCAGTGATGTGTGGGGTTGGGGATGGAGTTCGGGGAGGGAGTGGGGGAGGGGTGGGGTTTGGGGTGGGGAAGGTGGTGGGGGAGGGGTGGGGATCGAGGGGAAGGGGTTACGTAGGAAACTTACCCACCTGGCCACATATTTCCCCCTTTTTTGTAAGGAAATGAAAGTGCCGCTGAGTTCGAACCCTGCATCAACAATTGACAACACCATCCAAATCACTGATTTGACCGTGATCTAGCCTCTATCCAGAGACTGATGTCATTGATGCATGATGCTGAGGAAATCGTCTTCCTTTTTTCTTTGTTTAATAGATATAAACGAATGCAATACTACCATGAACAACTGTTCGGAGGTGGGTTCCATGTGTATGAATTCTGCCGGGTCTTATACCTGCCGCTGCATCGCTGGATATAGAGGGGATGGTTTCACGTGCACAGGTATGTACAACAAAATGAATTTTTTAAAAACAATTTTGAAAATTGGCCCTTAGCCAACACAAAAGTATATTTTGTTTTGAATAGAGTTTTGTTTTAAAAAAAAATTGAAGAAAAAAATCTAAATTTGGTTACTATGTCATCATAGTGCAACTGTTGTCAAGTTAAATAATCAAGTGATGGACTCCCCATCTCACTTTGCATTTGGGCTTTCCATTTTTGAATAATTTAGTATTTGATCATTCGAAACTGCACTTGACCAAATATTCTTATATTTGAAACTCGCCGATCAAATTTGACACACACCAGCTACGGCTGTCTTTAAGTTCCTCGCTGGTCAAAAGTTGCATACAAAGCGCGCCAGTTAAAATTTGCATGTGGAGATGGATGTTATGGTCTGTTGGAGTATCTTGCAGTAAGTGCAGTATAACTGTCAAGGGACATTACCCAGCTAAAAGAATGGGACCAATAAATAGGCGTCAATCAAAAAGTTACCGTCAACAAAAAAGTGGCTTCTGACAATAAAAAAAATGCAACTTTAGGCCAAAAAAAAAAAGTCTCTGGTTTCTGGTATGCGCGCCCGTTGCCGTAGCCATGCGCGTCGGCAAAATGAACAAGTTTTTTTTTTTCAATAAAAGATGATGTCTCAAAACCGCCAAACTCACTGGTTTGACTTGAATCCTGCTGCTGAACAATTTTAACGTGTTTTTAGATGGGGTTATGATCGAGAATTAAGCTTTATGTGGCCTCTCTGGACTCCCATATATTTCCATTAAGTTTAGTCGGGCACCATTTGCAGTTATCTGCATACATTTGAAGCCAAAAAAAAACAGGTAAAAAGAAAAAAAAGCCGCGTCGCCGCACTTTTTTTTGGGCAAGCTCCATACCAGAAACCGGAAACTTTTTTTTTGGGCCTTACAATTAGAATAACATCACAGTGGTGTGTGTACATGCATAGTTTTTTCTTTTCAAATATTCAGACTGGCAAAAAGCTATTCGAATATTCGGTTGATGATCGAGTATTCAAATATTCAATCTTAAAATTAATGTGGCCTGACGTTGCGAACTTAGCAAGTTCTTCTTCAGAGGCTAAAACAGAAATGACAGAGGTACATACATTAACATGGGGGTGCACACAAACATGCAGGGCTGAAAGAAGAAACACAAAAGGAGGATTAGGTGTGAAAGGTGTGGAAAGATGCAGGGGAGGGTGGATGAGAGAACAAAGAAACAAAGGGAGATGGCAAACCACAAGGGGTCTTGTGTAAACAGGGGAGGGACCAGAAAGGGGAAGGATCAAAGGTCACAGGGAGTGGGAACGGACAAAAGAGTGTGAGAGTGAAGGGATGATGTGGGGGGGGGGGGGGGGACAGTATTGAGGTGGAAAGGGATGAAAGATGGGGGAAGATGGGTAAACACAAACAAGGAAGACCAGATGGATTATCTGTAACAGAAGACAATGGAGGAAGAAAAGGATTAATCATTTCCAAGTTGGATGTTGAGACCATGTGGTTGAATAGTTCGAAGACGATTCATCCACACTTTCTCTCTGCTGAGGCGAACTGAGTCCTTGCGATGGCCAAGAGATTCAATGCCCTGCAAAATCATATCAGAAATGGAGTGGTTAGGCAGGTTGAAGTGATGACCAACAGGGGTGTCTAGTTTCTTGGTGTTGACCGTTGACCGGTGGGCATAGAAACGCTTCTTGAGCGTATTCTTAGTCTCACCTACATACTGCACTCCACAGACCCTGCAAGATTAATCCTTTTCTTCCTCCATTGTCTTCTGTTACAGATAATCCATCTGGTCTTCCTTGTTTGTGTTTACCCATCTTCCCCCATCTTTCATCCCTTTCCACCTCAATACTGTCCCCCCCCCCCCCCCCCACATCATCCCTTCACTCTCACACTCTTTTGTCCGTTCCCACTCCCTGTGACCTTTGATCCTTCCCCTTTCTGGTCCCTCCCCTGTTTACACAAGACCCCTTGTGGTTTGCCATCTCCCTTTGTTTCTTTGTTCTCTCATCCACCCTCCCCTGCATCTTTCCACACCTGTCACACCTAATCCTCCTTTTGTGTTTCTTCTTTCAGCCCTGCATGTTTGTGTGCACCCCCATGTTAATGTATGTACCTCTGTCATTTCTGTTTTAGCCTCTGAAGAAGAACTTGCTAAGTTCGCAACGTCAGGCCACATTAATTTTAAGATTTATATATTTCAGGTCCATCCAGTCAGTAAGCAGTTTGCAGCAGTTTTACTTTTTTTCATATTCAAATATTCGATATATTCCGGACAGCCCTAATCTTTTAACAAAACTAGACAAAGGAATTTTACCAAAATGTCCACAACTGTCGAATAAATTAGGTTGACTCTATGATGACACAAGACATCACCGAAAGACATAATAGCCATGAGTAATTGAAGATAAAGAATATTGAATGCAATTATATTTCTGGCCAATACTATAAAAAAGTTTTCCTTTTTTAATTTTGTATTTATTTGTCCATTATTGATGTTTCCACCTCAGAAATCCTTATCACAACCACTGAGGCAACCCCTGTGGCAGAAACTGCTACTGAAGAGGTCGGGATGGCCACTCAGGACACAGCTGATGAATCTGTTACCATGGCAGCTGGCATTACTCGCGCGGATGAAACTGCTACTGAAGAGGTCGGGATGGCCACTCAGGACACAGCAGATGAGTCCGTTACCATGGCAGCCGGAATTACTCGCGCGGATGAAACTGCTACTGAAGAGGTCGGGATGGCCACTCAGGGCACAGCAGATGAGTCTGTTACCATGGCAGCTGGCATTACTCGCGCGGATGAAACTGCTACTGAAGAGGTCGGGATGGCCACTCAGGACACAGCGGATGAGTCCGTTACCATGGCAGCTGGCATTACTCGCGCGGATGAAACTGCTACCGAAGAGGTCGGCATGGCCACTCAGGACACAGCTGATGAGTCCGTTACCATGGCAGCTGGCATTACTCGCGCGGATGAAACTGCTACCGAAGAGGTCGGCATGGCCACTCAGGACACAGCTGAGATGACCACTGGAGGTTATTTTTCTTATCATCTTTTCACTATTTGGTTTTGCCCTTAACTGAATCAGTTTTGATCAGTATTATATACATTGTGCAATCTGAGAAATGCCATCTAAAAAACACAGCATTTAAAGGTAGAGTCCATCATTTGTAATTTGTGCATTTTGTTCGTTTGAAGCAACAAAAGAGTTCAAAATCTAATGAAGGATACTGAGCAACTAACCTGATGAAGTTTCAGCTAAGCTTCAGCTGTACATTCCGAGAAAAACAGCATTCTAAGATCTCAATTTCAAATCAAAAGTTGCTGAATCATGTTTTGAATTGTTTTGAATTGCAACTATACGCGACGTCGCGCACTGATCCGACGAATTATAACAACCGCGCGCGCGTGTGCGTCGTTCGAATACTTGTGCGCGCTGCGCTGAATAACAAAACGAACTACTAATTTAAATTTTCCTACGGTGCTTCTTAAGAATCACCGTTGGAAATGCCTTCTTTCGTTGATTACTTCAAAATGACAGCTTCCCAGAAAGAATAATTTCACAGGGAGTTTAGTCTCCTTACTATCTTTCAACCAAGTTAGTTTTTCAACAATAATTACGCCAGTTACTTTTCGGATGGCTGCAAATGATGGACTCTACCTTTAATAGCTCAGTGAATCAACCTGACATCTATCCATCAATGGACCGATCCAGTAAGCCCCGCCCACTGCGCACTGGGCAAATCAACACATGCTCCTCTCCAATGCCACACTGCATTTTCCTGCCGCGCGCATCATACGCTCGTGCACGCACGTTGGACATAAATCACGGCTGTGATTGGTCTGAACACCATGGGACGGTGCTTACTGGATCGGTCCATTAGTAATGGTCAAGGAGAGTACATCCTAGCAGTTTTGGATCATTCCCCTGAGTTGTTGATTAGATATCATGGCTCACTGGCTCTGTCACCAATTTACACTTCCTTTTACAACACTGGAGTTGTTCAGCTGCAAAACAAGTTTTGCAGATTTAAGAGCACACTTGGTTTTGGACTTAAATCACTCAACACTGTTAACTATTATCCTGGACAAGTAGCCTATGCATGACATTGTAACATAAGTAAAATTTGAGGCCTTGCATGGTGGAGATACTAAATAATGAAAGTTGTTTTTATTGTAACATAAAATGTTATTTTTAATTGCAGAAGTAGATATGTGCTCATTACACTGTGCTGGCAACAGCACGTGTGAGAACACCGCGGGTAGTGTTGTCTGCACATGCAACGCTGGCTACCAAGGCGACGGCATCACCAACTGTACCGATATAGACGAGTGCGCCCAAGACCCCAGCGTCTGCGATCGGAACGCCGCCTGCACCAACCTGCCCGGGAACTTCACCTGCGATTGCAATGCGGGTTTCCAAGGCGACGGAATCACGGGTTGCGCGGACGTCGACGAGTGTGCTCAAGATCCTCCAGTGTGTCACACGAATGCAACGTGCACCAATACTTATGGCAGCTTTGCGTGCGAGTGCAGTGAAGGCTTTTTCGGCAATGGAATAACTTGCTCAGGTATTGAACCTTTTTTTCCCTTTGAATTTACTTTTTTCTGCTCTGGCCTTTAGGCCCCCCCAAAAAAGTCTCCGGTTTCTGGTATGGAGCTTGCCCAAAAAGTGGTGCGGCGACACGGCTTGTTTTTTTTTTTCCCGTTTTTTTTTGCTTCAAATGTCGGCTGATGAATGCAAATGGTGCCCGACTAAACTTTAAGTGCAAATATATGGGAGTCCAGAGAGGCCACATAAAGCTTATTCTCGATCATAACCCCATCTAAAAACACGTTAAAATTGTGCAGCAGCAGGATTCCAGTCAAACCAGTGAGTTTGGCGGTTTTGAGACATCATCTTTTATTGAAAAAATACTTTTTCATTTTGCCGATGCGCATGGCTACGGTGACGCGCGCGCATACCAGAAACCGGAGACTTATTTTTTGGGGGGACACTGTTGTACAATTTTGGATCTACACATGCATGAGTGTGAGTACATATGTGACCCGCTCTGCAAAAATGAGTCTGATGTCGCATAGCTTGAATTCCAGCTTTTACCACTTTTAAATGGAAACAGTGAAAATTTGCTCAAAATTTGGATTTTCTGTTTTTGTTTTATTTTGGTTGTTTGATAGTTTTAGTTCAGATATCTTACACAGAAATCTAAATATTGTAAGAAAAAGACTAACAAATTTATGATTTTTGGTGCTTTTCTTGGTTAGTTACAGTGTATTTGTAATTTTTAAACCCTTTTTTCTTCATTGAGACATTTCTTGCTTTGCAAAAACTTGACAGAATTAAAAAAGGCACAACAGTGCAACCAAACGTCCTAGAGAGTTCCGTGATATACCAAATGAAAGCTTATTTCATTCCCAGTTTATTAATGTAGTTAACTCAAAATGTCAGTTTTGCCACAACAGACTCATTTTTGTGGAGCGGGTCACATATAATAGTCCATTTTGAGGTGTGTTCATATGAGCAGTTCACAATGCAGTGCGCCGTCACTGAGGTTGCTGTCGAAGAGCCATATTTCACAGAGAATTAAGAGAAAAGAATGACATCAGCATGCCAAATCGTATGACTTTTGCACACAACGTTGGCTGTGTTTTTGTCAGGCGTGAGACTTGTCAGATTTTTTTCAGAAATCAGACCTTAAGACATTCTCAGACATTTCATACAGTTTTCAGACCTTTTCAAAATTGAAATCTAGTCTCTGTGATGTTTCTTTGCACTTAATAATAATGTGGTGCTATAGCGCTGTTCTTCAGGATTGAGACCATTTTTCTGCAGCAGCAGCTTGATGAGATCAGCGCAATTAATTTGGTATCTGCCTTCACAGGTACCCATTTGTACTCCTGGGTGGAGAGAGGCAATCGTAGTAAAGTGTCTTGCCCAAGAACACAAGCACCATGTTCCCCGTCAGGGTTCGAACCCACGTACCACATCCCATATGTCGAACACCCTAGCCTGTGGACCACAGCGCCCCACTTGGAGGGTAGACCGTATTGCAAATTGGTCAATTAAGGTAAAGCACCCTTTAGCTGAAAACTTCATTTGAATAAATATATTTATAATTTTTACCATTTTGGGGGTTTGTTTTCAGATGTGAATGAGTGCTCTCTGACTACGCCTCCCTGCGCTGCCAACAGCGATTGCGAGAACATCGTCGGCAGTTTCTCTTGCTCTTGCAGCCTCGGTTACCAAGGCGACGGTCACACCAGCTGCACGGACGTGGACGAGTGTTCCCTCGATCTGAGCAACTGTCATCAGAATGCGACGTGCATCAATACGGATGGCAGCTTTGACTGCCTGTGCAGTGAAGGCTTTTCAGGGGACGGCTTAATGTGCGCAGGTATGCACTGACTCTCGAAAGTGTCTTTAAAACCAGCCTGCTCTGATGAATAATTTAAAATTTGTGATTAAACACACCCTAATGTTTTAAGCCACATTTTAAAATAAATTGAAAGTGAGGTTAGAATGCTTAAATAGTCTGGCACCATCCCATTCAACAGTTCACAATGTACTAAACACATTCAGGGAACACGATCAAAAATTGCTTCCTCATGAATAAGGGCCATAGACAGACATCAATATTTGGTTTGATCTGTGAAATATAAGTTTTCCCGGCCAATTTCCTAAAATGTTCATTCACTTCTGAAAATCTGTCATTCATTTTCGACTGAATTTGAGAATCGCTCTGAACACGCGTTTCATTTTCGCTACCAGCGCATTCTATTCCATTTTAGTTCAATCAATTAAGTGATTGAGCAGCACCTTTCGTTTATGTCCATTCAGATTCGTTTACAAGACTTCTTTTTCGCTTTTAGAGGGAGATTTCAAACATTAACCTTTCCATTTTACTTTCATTTAATGCCATCGGCACTAGATACAATAAGGTGTTTCTTTTTCTTTAACTGTCAGTCAAATTAGCTGTACCTAAAATCAGTTTAGAAAAGGTATGCCTACATAAATGAATGCACAGGTAACGTAATTGGCCATCTGTTTCTTAAAACCGAATGCCTGAACAATGAAAACGATTGAATTTTCGTTGAATTGAAATGGGATTCAAGACGTGCATTCAAATTCAGACGAAAATGAATGATCGATTTGTATAAGGGAATGAACATTTCAGGAAATTGGCCAGGAAAACCTATATGTAAAAAATACACATGTGGGTGTACTTTTCTTTCAGATATTGACGAATGCGTGAATGACCCCAACATCTGCACCGGCTATGGTGAGACATGCTTCAACGTTCACGGCAGCTACTCCTGTGTCTGCGATGCCTTGGAAGGATTTTTTGAAGTCAATGGGACATGTCAGTGTAAGTAATCTCTGTAGTGTTCATCATTGTGTACAAAGAAAGTTATATATTTTTACTCTGTAATATTTGTTGTTGAGGAATTGTATCAAATAAATGTAAATGTGACAGTACTGCAGATTGATTTTTGAAAATATGAGACTCAAATCACGGAATATGCATTATTAACCTCAGTAATATAGACGAAAGTTCAGCTCATACTCCACGCGAAATTCGTTGGAGTTGAAATGTGTTCAACTTTTGCAAATTCGCAGCGCTTAAACTTGTTGTGATGTCATAAATTTGCATTCGTATATGAACCGGCTGGATTAGGTTGTCAAAAGCAAGCGCTTTTGATAACCTCAATTTCACCGCTGTCCTTTAGTAGTCCAAAATATCAGCTGTATCTCATGATAATCCTCTCACGATTTGCACAAAGCACTTCTTCTCTCTAAAATTGCATCAGAGTCTGTTTTGGGTAACTTTGAAAGGACATTTTTTAGAAACATCGACTTGATCATGCAGATGTAGCAAGAATGACGACTTAAATTTTGCAAGAGTATTTTTTTGTTCATTTTATACCATGAAGTATTGCTGAAACAGTAGTGCCAGGCGTACTCACAGCAGCAAGTGTGTATGAGACTCAGTGTGACTCGAATGACTCATGACTCATTTTACTCAAATCAAGCATCACAACATTCAGATTTAAAAAATGAAGTGATTTGAGACTCACACTCACACTCATTTGTTCAACTTCACTGACTTTAAGCAATCATTGATTATTCCTCCTGGTGATATTTTCGACCGTACAGTGTTCACCAGTTTCCAAGGGAGCTTTGTAATCAATGCCATCAATGGGAATGCAACCGCAGCTCGCTATGTGCCGGCCCTGGCTGATCCAAACTCACCCGAGTTCATCGCTCTGGCAAAACTCGTTTGTGATATTGTAAGTGAGACACAGAGTAATAATAATAATAATAATATTTACCCTGGATTGGACATTTGGGAGACATCCCCATAGACTTGTGCACAAAATTGTTCAAACTTAAATGTGCCCTAACCCAATATTCCCTTGTCCTTTTTCCACGAATTTCGGAAAGTTTACTAATTAGACCACGAGCAACAAATATAACCTAATTGCGACAATAAAATTGTCCCTCTAAAGGGGGGCTGTGACATTAGGGAGACATGAAAATGTCTCCCTAATGACCGATGTCTCCCATCGTCTCCCAGCAAAGAAATTACAATAACGTGTCTCCTTAGTGGTACCTTTACACGTATAATACCGAAGTCTTATATAGCGCACGTATCTACCAACAATTAGGTACTCAAGGCGCTGGTAATTATGTCTTTTTCTAAAGACAGGTAAAAGAAGTTTATGAGAAATATGAGACCCATTATGTAGCACCTTTATAAGGGTTTACAAGGTGCTGCGGCGCATATTGCAGCCACTGCCAGAAACACCAGGGCACACCCCTTCTCTTAGCGATAAGTGTTACTGGGTTCTTTAACGTGCATTACACAACACACGGGACCTACGGTTTTACGTCCAATCCGAAGGACGAAGCAATAATGGTAAAGTGCCTTGCTCAAGAGCACAAGCACCATGTTCCCTGTCAGGATTCGAACCCATGCACCATGGCACACGAGTCGAACACCGTAACCATTGGACCACAGCGCCCCAAGAGTAGTAAACGCAAAGCTTTTAGGATTTTTTTCAGCTTGGCTCCCAGTGTTTGTTACTCAATTTGCAGGAGAAGCACTCCGGATGGTCACAAACTGAGACATTGTAGTGAACATTTAACCCATTAGCTCCTGTACGATGTAATACATTGTATTACAATCCTGTACAATGTAATACATTGTATAACACTGTAGTTGTTCAATGATGAATCCTTAATACCATAAAGTGCTAGGGCAGTTTTGGGCATTACAGGGAGTAATGGGCAGGGCAGTTTGGGGTTGTACTGGGACACATAGGATATTTTGTCAACAAACTCTCAAACAGAATGACCTATTTACTGTAACTCTTTAATAATGTTTATGACTACATCAACGCTTTGACATTATAAAGACATACCTATTCCTTCGAAAAAGTTTGATGCTTTCACTTAAACTGGGCCCAGTCCTTATATACCGTGGTGTTACAAGCTTACTCTCTCATGAGAGTCTCATTGTTAGAATGTAAAATACCATCTAAACTTCCTTCAACTGGAATAATCCAAGGCTGTGAGAGTTATCTTTGAATTAGTTGGTGATGCATCTCGCACATTTTTCGAGATTTTTGTTCAGAAGTGCAAGTTTTTGTTCTTCGGCATTATTCCATAGGTCAGCGCTTCCTCCGAGTCCAACAGCGCCCTCAGTGACAACTACGAGACCTGCCAAGTGGTGGCGTTCACCGAGAGCGACCAGACGCGACGCAAGAGAGCCGTGTCTGGGTTTGTGCTGGCGCTGTTCGCAGCTATGTTTCAACTTAACTCGCCGGTCGACGGCAGTGCATTCCAGGCTGCGATGAGAGATACAATGCGCAGAAATACCAGTAGCCTGTCTGCGGATGTCTCATCGTTGGACTTGCAAGGTGAGTTTGTTTTTTGTAAGAAAATGTGTCCCTAAAAAAAAACGGTAACAGGGGAGTTGCATTTACTTCTTATGGACAACTTCATTCTTAGGGATAACTTTTCTTGTTAAGTCTGATCGGAAATTAGCATTACATCAAATTTTGAAGCAGTTTGTACATCAGTTCAAAGCGCTACATGATTATTTTTAAAACTCACTGCCGGGCAAATCCTGGGATTACTTATGTTTAAGTTTTTGTGTTAACGTCTCCGTGATGAGTATGTATATACAATCTCTCCTTTGTTTCCCCTCTAAAGAAACTTTTTATTTTGGAACACAAGTTTTCCTGAATTCTTATCCTAAGGCATTTTATTACAACTTTCATGTGTCTTTCACAATCTTCCGCTGTGCACAAACCAATGTTTCTTGCACCTTATTACCTTATAAAAGCCATCTTTAACAACACAAAATATTAGCAATCTAGAGCAAGTTCAAGCAAGGACTATAGTTAACCATAGTGAGAATATTAAACTTGACTCGACAGCAGGATGGTTGGACTACTTTAGTGGATTATTTGGAACCGGAACACAGGGCACGGTTCCATCACTGGTTACCAATAGCTGTGCGCATCATAATGCACAGCAGGGAGCCGTGACCCATAAGTTGTGTGTTGACGTGTTGACCTACGTTGGACTAGAGACGTTCCCACGTTGCTATAAGTGCATATGTAGGCATAAGGCCAAAAAAAATAATAGTTGAGATTCCGATTACTTGGCATTCCAAAATAGGGTAGGTAGGTAGGGAATTTTTTTTTTTCCATTTTTTTGTGTGTACGATCATATGGAGACGCCTGCATGTAGTCAAGGGTAAAAGGTAAAACTTGATGGTTTTGGGTGTTTTTTTCTCATTTTCCCATAAAAAAAATTAGGGTAGGGGCTGTCAGAACAGGGTAGGTAGGGAAATCGGAAGCAGAACTATTATTTTTTTGGGCCTAAGTAACGTCACAAATCAACCACTAGTCGACTAATGGTCCTTGCCCGAACTTAGTCTTAGCTGTACCCTCCTCATAGATCAATTCTGCAAAATCTGCTAACACCAGCTTATTGATTTTCGTGGATCTGAGAAGGTTACACTTAATGAACAGTTTTTGGAAGAAAATGAAAGTTATGCTTAGGCGAGGCTTCATAAATAAATTAACCGTTCGAACGCGTGCGCATGCTAGGAACGGGGCCTTTTGTTACATCTACCTCCCGTTCGCATGCGTGCTCACGGCATCCCGTTCCGAACGCGTCCTTATACAACAGAAGGCCAGTCACGGTCTGTGCACACACGAAGAGCTCATCAGCACTAAAAGTATCCGACAAACTTTCTCGTCGCTACAGGCTAGCCCGTACAGTACAGGGGGGACGTATAAAAATACGGGCACCTTGAACGGGGAAAGCAGTCCTCTGCAAACTTTACTATCAGTATGTAAAAACCTTGAATATTAGATTTATAATTCGCTGATCGTGTGTACACAGGTACAAGGCCAGTTTATAACATCAGTCAGCAAACTTCTTACAATGTTTAAACTTGTTTTTGTGAACATTATATGCAGTACCGTATCTGCTAATTTACATTTCCGTGCTTGTACCCAAAAAAAAAGAAAGAATACTCGCACTTCGTTTTACATAAAATAAGTGTTAAACGTCTCAATTATTTTTTGGGTTGGATACGATCTAGTGTAGTATGTCTGGTTTTCTCAATTTTTATTTTAAAACGACTTTATCTGTACAAGTATATACACATAGTTGTTCTTCGCATCTTTGTTGTGCTGCTCCCGTTCTCGCACGCAAAGGGACGGTTGATTAACATAACAATACCCCCTCAGTGAAGCTTGCCCAAGCACGATCTACGGAACGCGTTCTAAAAGCCGTTCGGCACGGGAAGGAACGGGGGCCGTTCAGAACGGGAAGGAACGCGTGCGCACGCGTGCGAACGGTTAATTTATTTATGACGCCTCGCCTTACTACGTGTATTGCTTGTTATTTTTAACAGCAACCACTATGATGTGTGTTGACGGTCATTGTCTGAACGGCGCGACGTGCTCTGTGGGTATCACCAACCAAATTGAGTGCATGTAAGTTTGAAATATTATAACTATCTTGTTCTAAAGTAGTTGTGAAATTTTATTGAATGAAAAGTTGGAGATTTTTGTTTTATGGCAGCCTTAACTCTTGCCTGCCATATATTCCCACAGTTTGTGTGGTCGTCTAACCCATTAGCACACGTACTATATAAAAAATATATAGTACAGGGTGAGTAAAAAAAAAGCGGAACCCCCAAAAATATATTTCATATTCTAAAAACTATGTAGCACCAAACATATTTATGTGGTAAGCCAATTAAAAAAAAACTACTTTAAGATGAAAAAATTACTTCAATTGCTCAATTTGCTCCAATTATATCACCATTTAAACGAAATTGCTCAATCCGTTCCAATTATCACCATTTAAACGAAATGACCCTAACATCTGTTTCATCCAAAAATGCGATCTCAAGAATTGTCTTTACAAGTTGTCTTCAAACATCACCAGCAATAAAACCTCAGTTTAAAAGTTGAAATTATTCAACAAAGTCTTTTGAAGGCCCGTCTTGAAAAACAAAGTGGATTTCATAAATCCTATTGTCAGCCAAGAAGGGCTGTCAATAAAGATATTGTGTACTATACAGTTGTTAAAACAAGTATTCTGTGTCATTTTCTTTGTTGTTCCAAACACTCAGAACACACAATAAATTGTTTCTTTTTTTTTGACGAAACTGATTTTGGAGTTACTTTGTTTAAGTAGTGATAAAATCTTAACGTGTAGAGCAATAGACCTTTATCATGCTGCCACCATTTCAGTCATGTTCCCTGTATCCAATAGCAGTACTGAGTGATAATGTGTTTTGAGCAAAAAGGAACCAGACTATTTTTCCTTCCAGCCTCGCTTTGGTTACATTGGTTTGAATGGGAAAAAAATCAAGATGGCCGCAACATGATAACGGTTTAGTGAAATAATTTTCTCACTTAAAAGTTGTTAATTAAATGGGCTTCCAAGTCATAATTAATTTTGGTGCTACATAGTTTTTTTATATGAAATATATTTCTTTGTTTTTGGGTTCCGTTTTTTTTTTACTCGCCCTGTACTTATTTCCCAATGAATCTCTAAAACCAGACAGTGCTGGGGCAATTTGGGGCAGTACAGGGAGTAACAGGCAAGGTGGTTTGGGGCAGAACTGGTATAAAGCCACCATAACTTTGGCAGCCTAGATAGAAATGTCTGTTTTGAAAATAAACATCAGAGACTGCTTTACAATATAAGAAATTTTGTATTTTGACAATATTATTTAATAATATTTTATTGTGACAGGTGTGCGGATGGCTTCATTGGCTCCCGATGTGAAGCTATGGGAACAGTTGAAGTGACGGATGCAACTACACCAGTTGATGGTTTGGTGGTGACATCCATAGTTGCAGACGACGCAACCGACCGTCCGCCAGATTGTGAGTTGGATAAATTGAGTCATTTTATATTTGTTAATTTGTCATTCAGCATTTTTCAGTTAAATATTTTTTTTAAAGTATATCACTTATATAATTTCTTCCCAAAAGATCACAGCACAAAATGTTGAAGGTGACTTTTGGCTTAAGGGGACAACCTGACGGACATTTTAATCGTTAACTTTCATTGGTTTCACCAGTGTAAGTTTTGTCAGTATTATCTAAGATCTTATGAGGAGGATATCCACAAGATTGTTGAATTGGGACTTGAACCCACAACTTCCTGGTTTCTAATGCAGACATTTCGCTACTCGACTGGAGAAACTGCCGTGGTTGGCTGACAGTTTCACATCTCATATTGCAGTACGTAGTCACAAATAGGGACAAACCTCAGTATTCAATTTGTCAACGACACCACGAACTGACACTTCGCGTTAGTGGATGTCAGTTCGTGAAAACTGCGTTATCAACAATTTTGGTTTCTTGAACTGATCGACACCCAGGTGTGCGCGTGCATATCAGACACAGTACCTTAGGAGAACAATTTTCGTTTTCCCGAACTATTAACACACAAGCATGTTGCGGCAAATACAGTTTGGAGAAAAATGCTTTAAAAGGTTTGACACGAATTTAATCTATCAGTATACTTGTGGGCTTACACAAACATTTGATTAAAAACCTTTTTAACTGGTGAAATTAAGATCAGTCAGTTCGGAAAACGAAAAGGTACGGAGTGCGCGCATGCAGTGCCACAGTGTCGGGTGTCACTTCGTGAAAACAAAAATAATGCGGTTTTGTAAAATACGCACGCGAGCGGGGCACTCGCACACAACTGAGTGTCAGTTCATGGTGCCGTTGACGAATTTGACATATACAATTCAATTCATATTACTTGCATTTTTGTTTATTACAGCGGATGTGATGGGCCTCCTCGTCATCATCATTGTGCTTGCTGGTTTGGCTACCCTACTTCTGCTAGCCTTCATGCTCATCATATGTGTTTACCTGTGTCAAAAAGGACGTGCCTCAAAACGTACCTTTGAAACCAGGGGTGGTCGGAGATACTTTGCGCGGGGAAGCATCGTCCGCTCCAGCGATGACTGGCACCACAGCGCCACAAATAGGGGGATGACTGACATGGATCGGCAGATGCAATATCTTGTTGAAAACATCAGTCAATCGCCATATTACCTTGTAAGCACCAAAATAACAGTTATATTTGAACAGCAATTATCGCTATTTATCATTGTTTCTGGTTTTGAAAACAAGGGTTCTAAATAGTGCTCACCGAAGCTTGCATGCCTTAAATCCAAGCAGAAAATATGCTGGAGGAATGAACAGTTTGATGGGGAACCAAAACTCAATGCATATTTTGAGGGAAACACACAGTATCAGATAGGGATATGGGTGTGCAACGCAACCGGGTATCCGAGTACCCGACCGCTGATGTCAGAACCGGTTCCAAGATTATTTGATCAGGTACCCGTAACCAACTTTACAAATAACTTAGTAACTTCTCAGAAAATTAAAAAAGAACAGTTTTGGATGCCATTTGTGGGGAATTTTCAAAATAAAACCAGGCAACATGGAAAACCAACACAGATGTCATGCTCTGTGCATTTTATTAGTGCTCAACAGATGACGCTTGCGAAAGTTGCAGTTTACAGCGCAAAGCTGTACAGTCCTTCAGACAATTTCCGGGATTTGAATTTTGGGGTTGGGTTTCTAGTTAACGGCTACCCATGATACCCATGTTTTACTACAATAGGTTCCCATTCTAACCATAAATGCACACCACTAGATAGGGACTGAAAAGAACTAAGTACAAGGTTGCTCCAGGTGGGATCCAAAACTTTTGGAATTGTGCAGAATGATAATAATAATAATGTGTATTTATAAAGCCACATATCCACCAGCATTGGTGCTCAATTGCCCTTTGGGCCAATGAAACATTCCACAGACAATCTCATCTCCCTGGTGAGTATGGCTCGATGCTGCCATATCTTGACTCGAACCCACAACCTGCAGAATTACCCGCAGACCACGGATTCAATGCTCCAGACCAGGAATTCGATGCTCCAGACCACAAGGCCACAGCACTCCATTGATACCTAAATGAAAACTTGGAATCCCTGTGGATTGAATTTTTTTTAAGGTTATGTCTAACAACAGTGCATTTTGTTCTTTACTGAATAAAATGTTTTTTTTGTGTGCTTTTTAATTTTGAAAGGAGCCAAGGAGGTCAGTTGTTGACAGTTCATCGGCAGCCCCAGTGAGACTGCCCGTGAGTGAGTTTGTTCAACCGTATCTTGCCTCTGGCATGGAAGCAAGTAGGCCGAGGCTGGTGAGTTGTCCAAAACTGATACTTATTAAAAATTGCATACCCAATACTCTTGAAAAAATTTATTGTTTTTTTTTTTTTCTGCTGACAAAGTTTCAATTTGTTTGTTTTTGTTTTAACGAAAAGTAAAAAGTACATTTCCAATGTATTTAATTGCATTTAAATCTAATGAGGAATATAAAATCCAATTTTACCATGTGAATCCACAAAAACTGATATGGTGGTTGTTTGTTGTAGCGATATTCGGTCTCCAGTGCTTTATGTAATTGTTCATTAAAGAGGATGTTTGTTATTGCTCACTGTCGATCCAGTATAATGTTGGTTATAGGGGCGTTTTCAGTCGCCTAGCTATGTAGCAAGGTCATTTTCATTGGGGGGGGGGGGGGGTAGAAGGGGAAAAAGTCACTCGCCCATCCATGCTGAAAGTTAGACAGGGTATTTACACCGGTCACCTGGTCTCCGTAAAATCAAAAGTGGGGGGGGGGGGGGGGGGGGGGGGGGGGGGGGGGGGGTGGTGGTCTGGGCAACATCTTCATATGGGGGCACTGTTCAAACCGGACGGGCATGGACACTACTGGCCAATAGGTGGGGCCTTTCAGGGTTCACACGAAATTACAAAAAAGGGCACTCGTTAAAAAATTACGCTGCCGCTGGTAAAAAAAAAGAAGGGCACTTGTGTAAAGATAAGGGCACTCTTTACAAAATATTGGGGGGTAACTGCTGGTGAAAAAAATGGCACTTGTGTACAAAAAGGCAATCTTAAATAAAAATGGGGGGGGGGTCAATACTATCCTTAAACCACCCACCCCCCCCCCCCCCCCCCTCCCACCCCCCCCCCCCTTGACCCCCACCCCCACCCTGCTGGCTGCGCCACTGGTTCTAGTGTATTTAAAGGTCAGGAATCCCTCAAAAGAATCATAATAAGGAAATATATCCACATATTTCCAAAATGTAAAACTGATGATTCTGCTTTCCACAGGGCGAGTCTAGGGTGGAGAGAGCGCCAAGTAGATCCAACCGTAGGGCTGCAAGCACTTCCACCAACCACCCACAATCCATCAGGCATTACTGGGATAATCAATGAGGATACCGCAACTAAGCAAGAATGTACCCTTTCAGATTTGGTTATAAGCCACGCCCATCTTTGGTTGGAGTCTATTCTGTATGGTGCTAGTGACCGAGTTTGCCTTGGCTAACGTAGTCACCTGACCAAAAGTCATTATCTGATTGGTTGATTGACAGGTTGAAGGATCCATTCCTGAAGACTGTTGGAGCACCATTATTTTTTTACAGATATGCAAATTATTGTTAGAGTTGGGGGTTGTTTATTTTTCTAAAACTACAAAAGGGGTTATGAAAGTTCCAATATCCATCCAAACATAGTTTTAAATTTACTCGTAGAATCAAGACAATCGGTGTTTACATTCAACACTGAAATTTTAGTCTTTGCCTTCAGAAGGTACTTTTTAAGGAATGTTTCAATGCTTATTTTTTATAGAGACAAATGTGGACATCTCTTAAGTTATACAAACCATGGGCGGAAATCCCGGGGGGGACAGGGGGGACACGTCCCCCCCATGAATTTGGTAAGGGGGGACACAATGTCGAATGTCCCCTCCATGTTTTCATGTGTAGGTATGGGTGGGTGACCAACCATGGCAGAGTCTTATAAAAAGCCTCTTTGATACGTCGCTTTGTGGCTGAGAACCAATTTGGTTTTCTTGTCGGTTCGACCACGGCTCTTGTACGCCTACCCACGTACATGTACAGTACGTGCGTGTTGGTTCATGCGGTATACGTTATACACAATGTTGCCTGCGTACGTCATATAATTTGCTACTCCTATACAAATTCGGCCCCACTCCGGCCCGCAATCGCTATGGTAGACTTGATGACAAGTCGTTAGACTATAGTGGTTTATGTCCGTCATCGATCAGCGCCAAAATCCGCATACCACCACCGTCCATGCAACGTCGGCGCTACAACCATTCATGCAAAAGTCATGTACTAATGCGTCTACGTCCAACGACTTGACTAAGACGTTTTCAAGCGAATATTCATATATGCAGCCACTGCAATGCATATGCATGATGTTTCCATAGCGAGGGCCAATAGTAGCCCATCTGGCTTACGAAGAAACACCATTATAAATATGGGGGTAATTATTACACGATCATTTTCAAGTTTCCATTTTATTTGGCAGTCCTGTTTTTAAAATTACAGTAAAAAAAGTATAACATTGTAGATAATATTAGTACTTTTGCAACTGTCTTTGAATAAAAGGAGTAATATTTAAGTAATTATGGAAGTTGAAACTGTTACGAATAATTGTAAATCCCCTTCAAAAAATGAAGTGCGCGCCGACTGTAAACGTAAGCTCCTTTTGGCCCATGTGGTTTGTTTGTAGTTTAACTTATCACCCTGAAAACGAACTCGTTCGCGATTTGTGCCCATTTTTAAGGTTACAGAACCGCAATGACAAAATGCCCGATGCACACAATGAGGTTTAGAAATATATTGTTGCATTATCAAGGGGGCCATGACCCCCCCCCCCCCCCCAAAACGAAACCAATTTTTTTTTTTTTTTATGTGACATCGCAATAAAGGCAGGCAATGAGTACACCCCCATCTTTTCCTCAAAAAAAAATTGGTTAAAGTGGTCAGAAATTGCCTCAGATCGCACCACAGAGCATCTAGAATCCAAAATTTTTTCGGTGCCCTTAAGCGGGCCCCGAAACCCCACGCCGTAATTTTTTTGACCCACTTTTTTGGGGGACCAAACTTTTTTTTGGCCCCCCCCCCCCAAAATTGTGTTCTGGATCCGCCCTTGCGGTGGACGCCGTTAAAACCACTCATTACAGACTTGATTTCAAGTCTATCGCTATGGCTGCCATACCCCATGGCAATATTAGGAGTGGAAAGTTGTCCGTTCAGCCTGTGACTTTTTGTGAGTAATATAATTTCGGGGAGAAAAAAAAAAACCTGTCCCCCCCACGTTCAAGGAGCGATTTCCGCCCTTGATACAAACTTGCAAATACTTGGAAGTACCTGTCTTTGAAACTTAGAATTTATGGTTTTGGAGACCAAATTTATCAAAATAAGCGCCTTATTAGATTGGGAGTTTGTACATGATCCCTGGCCTCAAGATCCGAGGCTTCAGACTAGAGCACCAAGCACAAAGACATTGACAAAAGTGGGAGACCAAGTCCACAGATACGCTTAGTAAACACATTGGCTCAGCACAGAAAATATGCGCTTAGCATGTACACAGGTTCATTGCACATGTGAGCCATGGATGCAGTCTTGTTTCTCCTTGACTTGTGATGAAGTCGACTACAACGCTGCTATATTGAAAATCATTCAAAAAATTAGATCCTCAAGTGTTCCGTAACTTTTTAATAAACATTGGAGCCCTCTATTTTTTTCTTGTTAAACTGCATATGTATGCATTGATGTCTGTGTAAATTATTAACATTAGTTTTGTAACCAAAATTGGTAGCAAGTAGCTGGTATATGAAGAGCCTTTTAATTTTTATACTTCTTTTATGTGGTCTTATGTATCACTATGTATTCATTTTCATGTAATTAATTTTGCTACCAAGTTTTATTTTTGAATAATGGTTTCAAAAGCCTTACATTGCCATTTAATATTCATTTGTTTTTCCAATGTACTTTATTTGCATTTAAATCTAATGACGAATGTAAAATCCAATTTTACCATTGTTCTTTAGTATCACTGGCACGTACCACATTAAGATATTCTAAATATTGCAATTTGTAATAACATTTAAAAAAAAACCTTGTACATGTAATCTGATTAATAGCATTTTTAAATAAAACCTTCTGTGTCTTATATTTGTAACATTAAATACCAATTTGAAATAACACTTCGACATATTTTACCTTAAACTGATGGGATGTGAGGTTTTTTAATGACTGTATTAAGCACAAATGTGTTGTATTTCTTACTTTGTGACTGCTACATAGCAAGGGAAATAAAGGTTGTTTTCAGTATTTATGTGAACGGTTGATTTGTGAAGTTATATTGATGGCAGAAAGGATAATGTGTATTTTCTCTGATGGAAAATAACCGCCCAGTCCCGGCAATTTGTCCAGTGAGCGCTCCCAAGATCAGTGGAGCCTTATCATTTTGATTGGGTCAATAGTGGTTAGAATTAAGTGACAATCCAATTCAAGAGCCAGATTAGCACACGTCCGTACCATGGATAGCTAGAAAAATAGAAATTGAAATTCTCATGGAAATGAAAACTATCAGATTATTTCTCAAATTGTTGGTAAATTTTGATTGAAAATCCTTTCCTCTTACCCCAGACTACTGCAAGGGCGGATCCAGAGCACAATTTGTTTGTTTGTTTTTTGTTGTTGTTGTTGTTGTTTTTTTGGGGGGGGCAAAATTTGGTCCCCTAAAAGTGGGTCCAAAAAATTAGGGCATGGGGTTCTGGGCCCGCTCAATGGCCCCGAAAATATTTTGGATATGGGAGCTACATTGTGCGATCTGAGGCCATTTCTGAGTTCTGACCACTTTAATATCCTTTTGTTTTGAGGAAAAAGTTGGTGGTGTACGCAGTGTCTGCCTTTGTTGCGACGTCAATTAAAAAAAAAACCCACAAAAATGGCTCTTTTTTTGGGGGGGGGGGATGGCCCCCCGTCCCCCCCCTCCCGGATCCGCCCTCCATGGGACAACTGCGAAGGCCCCTTAATTTTGATGAAATTATTTTTTTCAAGTCATGAAACTCCACACTTCCTCACAAAAAATACTACATGTACAATTTAAATACCACGCCTAATAAACACGTTTTAGTTACAGCTATTTGGGAATGAATTTCCTGTTAACATTGTACGAACTGCATTTCATCACCATGTTGTACTTGTGGTATGGTGATTATAATTAACAAATGTCAATCATTCGTTGAAATTTTGCAAAAAATGCAACATCGGTGTGCTGCGGATTTTTGTCGGCTTAGTAGTCCAGTTGATGGAAGTGTAAAAGTGGGCGGAATCTAAGCTGAATTGTGAATCAGCCAGAACTGACGTAACATCTTATTACTGACGTGTAGTAACATGTGGACCAATCACATACAGCCAACATGCCGGGTTTCGACCAATCAGAAAAGGCCACGACCAGATTGTCACCCTGTAAAACGAGTAGCATGTGCGTGCACACGACATCGAAAAAATACACGTAGCAAATTGTCACACATTGAATCCTCGGTACGCACGTTGTCAAGCAGCAATTGCGATTCATCTTCATCGAACGTCAAGAAATTGTCACTTTTTAAAGGAAATTTTCCTGTATTCTCTGTCAAGATCAACATTTCTCGAGAGCTGGTTAATTGGTAACATTATAGGTAAGTTAATAAGATTTGTCTTTGTTTGTAGAATATGGAAAAACTCGGGGATTCCCTTGATTTTACGGCGCAATGTGTTCTAACACATGGGACGGGGGATTTAAATTTGTCCAAATAAAACCCTATTCCTCCATCCAAGGGCGGATCCAGAACACAATTTTGGGGGGGCCAAAAAAATGTTTGGGCCCCCCCAAAAAGTGGGTCAAAAAAATTACGGCGTGGGGTTCGGGGCCCGCTTAAGGGCCCCGAAAATTTTTTGGATTCTAGATGCTCTGTGGTGCGATCTGAGGCAATTTCTTACCACTTTAACCAATGTTTTTTTTTAAGGAAAAGATGGTGGTGTACTCATTGCCTGCCTTTATTGCGATGTCAAAAAGTGGGTCAAAAAAATTACGGCGTGGGATTCGGGGCCCGCTTAAGGGCCCCGAAATTTTTTTGGATTCTAGATGCTCTGTGGTGCGATCTGAGGCAATTTCTGACCACTTTAACCAATGTTTTTTTGTTTGAGGAAAAGATGGTGGTGTACTCATTGCCTGCCGTTATTGCGATGTCACATAAAAAAAAAAATTGATTTCGTTTTGGGGGGGGCCATGGCCCCCTTTGGCCCCCCCCTGGATCCGCCCTTGCCTCCATCATGTCCATCCATTGCATGAGCCTTTACTTTAGATCATCCGGTCAAATATAATTATTTAGGAATAGGATTCCTAAGGATTCTTCAGTAAAGGTGATAGCGTTAAGCCCGATGTACAGCGTCTTTTTACATGAATTTAATGCCGAGAGTTGAGAAGGGAAATTCATTATGAATGAATATGGCACATTTTGCTGACAATTTTATATTTTAAAATACGAAGTGGCTATCGTTACGGCACTCGTTGTTTAGCGCCCTCTACGATATTTTTTTGATACGCACGCAGGTATATAATTATTTGTTTCCCCACGTTTTATCGAGCAGTGCGCCAGCTCAACCGTTAAAGGGTAGGATTTTGCACCGCGAGGTTGCGGGTTCGAATTTCGGTTTTGCACTCGAATTTTTTTCCTTTTCTAACCTGAGGCTTTGGAGGATTTTTTTTAAAAGGGAAATAAAGTCCGAATTTCATAAAGTTCAAATTCACTTTTTTCCTTCTAATTTTATATTTTCTTGTCATGTTTTTTATAAAAGTTGCCAGGTTGCAGTCTACCGTAACGATAGAAAATGGGAAATGCGTTACGGCTGCCGTAACAATAGCCACTGCGTTTAAAATATTTCTCAAGTTTATACAATTTAATTATGGACATTCAGTTCTGTTTAACCAACTGATTTTTGCATTTTGCAACTTTGAAATGTCCTCGACAGGACTAAAGTAGCCCCAGTTTATTGGACTTCCTCACAATATGGACATGATGGAGGAAGTATTTGCATGGACATGATTATTGATGGAGTAAAAATTTCTCCATGGTATTTGAGCCACATTTTGGCTATGACTCGACACATGCACAACTTGAACAAGCAACATTTTTTAATTTCTTCAAATGAGGCAAGTGATTTGATTCCTTGTCTTGTTGAAATTTTGATAATTTTGTGAAACCATTTGAGCAATATATGGGCCTTGTTTTCAAATTCATTTCAGGTTGTTCATAGTATTGCACTTCATCATGAAGAAGGCATTTTACATCCTGTGTTTTGTGGTGTTCACCCTCAACGCACTCTCCATGGTGAGGGCCGATGAGGAGGAGGAAGAAGATGACGACAAGGATAAAGTGGGCACAGTAGTCGGCATTGATCTGGGAACAACATACTCCTGGTATGAGTCAAAGGCAGCAGTTGCCTTTCATACTTTGGTGGCAGAGTTTTAAAATTGTTCATTAAATAATCCAATTCTCCAAACTGTTTCCTACCTTTAAAGGCTTTATGCTTAAAGCCAAACAGATTGTTGGTAATTTTTAATCTTATTAACTGTATTGGGTAGAAATTGGCAAGGAATATGCCATTAATTCCCTGTAGAGGATTTGAACAGATTAAATTTTTTTAAAAAATATCTCGCAGAAAGGGCTAATATGAAGGGCTACACAAAGCTTTGTGGGCACATGAAATCGTTAAAATCCGTCCATTGTAACTGAACTTAATGTTGATTCACTAAAACGTCCAAAACCTTCAGATGTTTAATTGTCTCCAATATCTGATTTCAAATTGCAGCGTTGGAATCTTTAAGAACGGCAGAGTGGAAATCATTGCCAACGACCAGGGCAATCGTATCACGCCGTCTTACGTGGCCTTCACCGCCGAGGGCGAACGTCTCATCGGTGACGCCGCCAAGAACCAGCTGACCAGCAACCCAGAAAACACCGTCTTTGATGCCAAGCGACTGATCGGACGCACATGGGAGGACAAATCAGTGCAAAGTGATATCAAATACTTCCCTTTCACGGTGAGTGATTGTTAGACAAACTTTTCAATTGCCCTGTGCTGTACACCCCCCCCCCCCTTTACTAAACCTTTTTGAGACTGAAATGCTGTTATGTCCACATTTGCCTAATTACTAAAAAACAATCCCCACGGCCAAAACCACCTTTCTGGAGCCTGAAATGCACCTGAAGAACTCACGTATTTTCTGGAATTGCCTTATTTGTCTTGAATGTTTTACTTGCAGGTCAAGAACAAGAGCAACAAGCCGCACATCGAAGTCCTTGTGAATGACCAGAAGAAACTATTCGCTGCTGAGGAAATCAGTGCCATGGTCCTCTCCAAGATGAAAGTAAGCAAGGACCACAGAAACTAGTCCTATTAAGTAAAGATATCTGCAAAGTTCAGACAGTATCCTAATGCAAAACTAGTTTGCATCTTGGAGGCATAGTCATAAATTGTTCTCAATCATACCAGCTATAATGAATGATTTAGGCCTTCATATAAGCTTAAAACTTCATTTGGGAAAATACTTCAAGGCCAGGTTGCCAGTGGATTCACCCGAGCCGCACATCCTCTATTTTAGTGCTCCGGAGAGTTAATTAAATTTTGAACGTTGAAAGGTGCTGGTACTTGTGAAATCACTCCAATTAGAATGAGTTTGGCCTCATGTGAATGCAAACATGTTTGTGAGAATTGTACTGTTAATGAATTAACATGGGCCTACGCTGTGTTCATTAAAGGGAAAATACAACATTTGCAAACATCAAAAAATAAAACTACCAAATCATTTTGAAATACCTTGCTGGACTGTTAGTGAATGACAGTGTAAAGCATCCTATAAAATCATGGCACCTGGTATACTGTCATTTTCAAGAAAAGTGGTATTTTTGTATCAATTTCCAACGCTGATCGGCCGATCAGCGTTGGAAAAAACTGGCTTTTTTTCAAATACTGGCCCCAGTTGACCATCGTACTTGTTTGCAATCGATTACACACCTATGAACGGGTACAAGCCAGCTAGACTGGTTCCCTGACCTTACAATTTCTCAATATATGTAAACTGCTCTGTTTCTTCTTAAACAGAGTCAGGGAACCAGACTACAGGAAAATGATTGTTTTTCTTGGTTTTTATAGCATTTTCGAACCCAAAACCTAAAAAAAGTCAGTGTAACTATATTTGCTATATATTTCCAACCCCCCAATTCCATCCATTTCTGAAAATTACAGCAAAAGCAAATGATGTATATTCCCTTTAAGTAAAGGACTTAAACTGATGTTCAGTGTTTATAACTTCACCATGCTTTACTTCCATTACAAGTAAACAAGTACTTTTGTTTCAGTTAGGATTGTGTGTTCACAAAACTATTGGGGCTTTTTTGTGTTGGCTGTTGGAAGCGAAAAACAATAAGCATAACCACGGAGTGTTAAGTACACAGTGAATGACAAATTCTTGCTGTGTACTTAAATATAATCGCCTTTTTTCAGTTTGTACAATAGAGGTGGACTCTTAAACACTTTGAAATGTTTTTTTTTTTTCCTGATGGTGCATCTTCTACTTTTGTTACTCCATGCAGGAAACAGCTGAGGCCTACCTTGGCAAGACGATTGGCAATGCCGTAGTAACCGTCCCTGCCTACTTCAACGATGCCCAGCGCCAGGCCACCAAGGATGCGGGGGTTATTGCCGGCCTGAACGTCATGAGAATCATAAACGAGCCGTAAGTAGTGGCAAGAATAGACCCCACGTCGCACAACGGTACACAATTTGACGTTTTGGTCAAGTGATGCTGACATTTCAGCAAACTGTTCCATTTTGCGCTGCATGTGTGTCTCTTGAAATAGGGACGGCATTTATACGCGTTGACATTTTCTGTCAAATGTGAGCAAAAAGATGGCAAGAAGCTTAGCAGTTGCGAAAACTTGCATGTCGGGGCCATTTCTACATTTCCACCGACCATCGAAAGCTTTTCTGTGTGTCCAGAGAACACATCATTGCTACTTGACACCTTCATACCTATTGTTGGTTCACAGAGATACAATTTGAGCACTTAATAGTGTTGTACAAGACAATTGGTGCCACATTGTGGAAATTTAAATGAAGTGCCGACACCTAACAATAATTTTGGAGATTCACTGCATGAGTGGGAAGTCGTGCACAGATCCCTGTATAAGCTCCTACTGAAGTTGTACTTCTATAACCTTCAGATGGGCATTTTACTCTGAAGTGGATTCAGTTCACACAGTTTACCCATAATCGTCAGCTGGTTAAACCAAAAAAATAACGGACAAATGTCTGTTTTTCCTGCCAACACAGGACTGCGGCTGCCATTGCCTACGGCTTGGACAAACGCGAAGGGGAGAAGAACATCTTGGTCTTTGATCTCGGCGGTGGAACTTTCGATGTCTCAATCTTGACCATCGACAATGGAGTCTTCGAAGTCGTGGCAACAAACGGTGACACTCATCTTGGTGAGTCATACCAACGTTCTGTTTCTGTTGCGGCTGCTGATGTCAATTAGAGCCTGCAATATCGAAATCCATTCTAAGTGAAAAGTCTTTGCTTGTGTTTTGTCCCTTGGAAGGTAATGATTTGTACTGGCTATTATACAATTCCTTTGTGTACCTATTGACTTAACTTTGTTTACAGCGATCCAATACTTGTGTTCAAAATACAGTCGACTCTCGTTAGTACAAACTCTGTTAATACATAATTCTGGTTATAACAACATAAAGCCTTGGTCCCGACTGTGCATTTATATGCACAATGAATGGGACTGATGTTCCTCTTAATACAAAATTCTGATATAACAAACAATTTGGCTAGGTCCGAACGAGTTTGTTATAACGAGACTCGACTGTAGCAACTGTTAAGTCAAAGCCGATTTTTCGGCTCAACATCAAGTGCTCATTGCTTTAATTTTAATTAAGGCAACGTAACCCGTAGTCAAAGAGTTAAGCTTTTCGAAGAGAACTTCTCCAGAGTTTAGAAAAACGACAGTTGCCTTAAATTCCTTGGTACTTAGGCCCTGTTTAATTTTGTCATTGGTGCCGTCTCCCAAATCCAGGCGGTGAGGACTTTGACCAGCGCGTCATGGAGCATTTCATCAAGATGTACAAGAAGAAGAAGGGCAAGGATGTACGCAAGGACAACCGTGCCGTCCAGAAACTCCGCAGGGAGGTGGAGAAGGCCAAGAGAGCCCTCAGCTCCCAGCACCAGGCCCGTGTGGAGATCGAGTCATTCTTTGAAGGCGAGGACTTCTCTGAGACGCTCACAAGGGCCAAATTCGAGGAATTGAACAATGTAAGTAGATCACAGCTGTATTCCTGAGACAACCTATAAAATTAATCCAACAACTTACAACCCAGTTGGCAATTTTTCCACAAAGTACTTCCTGAACATCAAGCTGAAGACTATGGGGGTTCAAAAGGCTTACACAGTCACACCTGGATGTACTCAGGAGTTGGTGAAATACACGTATAATAAGTTCCATGCACTTCAACACTTGTTAGGGTCTACTCAATTGATGCAGCGTTCTATTAAAGGTCTGAACTTTCGAAAGTAGCAATTACATGTGGTATTCTTCCTATTTGTCTTGCAGGATCTCTTCAAATCCACCCTGAAGCCCGTTAAACAAGTCCTAGACGACTCTGGACTGAAGAAGATTGAGATTCACGAGATTGTTCTTGTCGGTGGCTCCACACGAATCCCCAAGGTGCAGTCTCTGGTGAAGGATTTCTTCAACGGGAAGGAGCCGTCCCGAGGCATCAACCCTGACGAGGCTGTGGCCTATGGCGCAGCTGTGCAAGCTGGAGTGTTGAGTGGAGATGAAGACACAGGTAAGCTGAATGGCATGTTCATATTTGTTTTGGCCTTTCTCTGGGGCGAGAGCTAAGTCTTTTTGTAATTACAGCATTTGAATATTTTTTACACTTCAAATTTTGCCACTGCACATTGTGTACTTATCTTCTCTACCACACATTTTATGCAGAAAAACACATCAGACCCACATACATGATTATTACATCCGTACTGTTCTGAGGACTTGAACAGAATGATTTGAAAAGCTTCAATTTTCAATGCTTGGAAAAGCCAGTCTCTTGAAGAATTTTTTGGTGTCAAATCCTTTTTTTTGGGGGGGGGGTGTTTTTGTAGGAATTCCTAATTAATGGTGTTGTGAAATGCATATACAAATTATCTATAAAGGTGGCTGTATGCTTTTACTTGTTCAGCCCTGCTGAGTCTTTCAGTATTCAACCGTACCAGTGGGGGTAAATAACATCAGTCATTTTGCAAATCAGATCATCAGAATAATTTGATAATTTTAACATTGATATTGCGCAAATTCCATAGGAATATGATCAAATGCGCATCACAACTATTATCCCCATTCATCAGGAATGAGACCATTTTTTTTCCTGCAGCAGCTCGAGATCAGTGGCAATGTGGTCTCTACCTTCACAGGTACCCATTTTACTCCTGGGTGGAGAGAGGCAATTGTAGTAAAATGCCTTGCCCAAGAGCACAAGTACCATGTTCCCCGTCGGGGTTTGAACCCCATGTACCACGGCACACGAGTGGAACACTTGCAACTATTGGACCACAGCGCCCCATGACAAATATATGTTTACTTCTGCTGCGGAAAAGTAGGTAAATAAAACAGAGGACTGAATAGAGGTTTTGTTTCTCTTCCATCAGGTGAGCTGGTTCTCCTCGATGTCAACCCCCTGACCCTGGGTATTGAGACTGTCGGAGGTGTCATGACCAAACTGATCACCAGAAACTCGGTTGTGCCAACAAAGAAATCACAGATCTTCTCCACCGCCGCCGACAACCAGCCGACCGTGACAATCCAAGTGTTTGAAGGTGAGGGAGCTTTGACTGTTTTACCATCCACAGTTTCAGGAGTTGTACAGCTATGACAGATTGTCATTGGCACAAATCCTGTTATAACCATATTGTGTGATAGGGAAAGTCCACATCAACTAGCAGACTTGTATTCAAGCCACCAACCATCGAGTCCGAGTCCCGAGTCATGCTGATCGAGTCACGAGTCACATGGGCCAAGTCGGAGTCACAAGTCACCTTTAACTAAGTACTATACAGGGTGGATAAAAAAAACAACCCGAAATTGAGATATTATTGCTAATTGGAACAGAAGTAGGGCACATGTGAATCAAAGGGAGATATCCTCTGTTAGGGTTGAATCTCCTCTTTAAAATGACGCCCTGATCATGTCCTTACATTCACGGTTGACCAATTTTTATGAAAGGGTCTATTTAGAGACTTGTGCCACTTTTCATGGTGAAATCTCTTTTTTTCCCCCACCTGCCTTGATTGGCAACCATTGCCTTTCACTCTGTGACAATTGACACAACAATAACCACAATTGAAAAGTTGTAAGTAATTCTTATTACTCTTTAACAGGTGAGCGTCCAATGACAAAGGACAACCACTTGCTCGGCAAATTTGACCTGAATGATATCCCTCCTGCTCCCCGCGGCGTCCCCCAAATTGAGGTCAGCTTCGAGATTGACGTCAACGGCATCCTGAGAGTGTCGGCCGAAGACAAGGGCACAGGCAACAAAGAGAAGATCACCATCACCAACGACCAGAACCGTCTGACGCCCGAGGACATCGAGCGCATGATCAACGACGCCGAGAAATTCGCCGACGAAGACAAGAAAGTCAAGGAGCGAGTGGAGTCCAGGAACGAACTGGAGAGCTACGCTTACTCCCTCAAGAACCAAATCAAGGACGAGGAGAAACTGGGCGGCAAACTGTCGGAGGAAGAGAAGGAAACCATCAGCACAGCTCTAGACGAGCAAATTGAGTGGCTAGACGCAAACCAAGACGCAGAGAAAGAAGACTTTGATGCCCACAAAAAGGAATTGGAAGACATTGTCACCCCAATTGTCAGTAAATTGTACGAGGGAGCAGAGAGAGCAGCTCCCTCTGAGGAGGGTGGTGACGAGGAAGACTATGACAGGGATGAATTATAAACAGAGCTTAAAGAGCAAGAGACTCTTATTGAAAACAAAAGAACTGCTTTTATCAAAAAATAAATTATTTGGGTCTCACAAGTTCTCATGACAGTAAGAAGGAAGCTAGAGATGCTACATCAACAGTACAAGTATTTAAAGATGAATGAAATTATCACTGGAGAGGGACGGGTCAGATATGTGTGCAGGAAATTCCTTATGGTACTGCCTCGAGATCTTGTGTGTGAAAAGGTCATTCCGAATATTGCGCAGTTCAACAGAATCCATTTACACGTGCAGTCATATGTATTCATACATGTATGTTTTTGCTGGCAGTACTTCAGTATCAGTCCTCAAGTCGGCAGAAATAAAACACACTGTAAGGTGTAAATTCTGTTGAAGGAAATGCAGTATTATCTTGAATGCAAAATACGGCATGGCATGGTTTTAAACTTAAAGCTGTGGGGAGCTGTTAGCTATTGACAATTTCAGAAAAACAAAATCTTCCGTAGGTTGTACAACCCTATTGGCTTTGCCATGTGATGGAATGACTTTTCTTAATGCTGTCACACTTTTTTTCTTAATCCGTGTTTGAAAACGCAAGTGTAAAAAGATCAATTTGAACTGTAATATGCTTGTCTAAAAAGTTGTTTCGTTGAATTTTTTGTTCAAAACCAAATTATGTTCAATACTTTTGTTGTGTGGGAAAGTTTCTTGCGTGACAGTTGGTATTTTGACAACAATGTTTGTTCAAATGTTAAAATTGAAATACAGATAAAAGTATGGGCAAATTCTCACATACCTGTGTTTAACTTGACCAGATTTTTTGACATACTTTTGCATTGCCCAAATTTATGTTGAAGTTATGGTACCGTTAGTCTATTCGAGCAAATCTGCTGATTAATTATGCAAAGACAACCGCACCTCGACCTCTAGATTTTGACCAATCAGGGGGCGCTTTCTCTATTGGGTCTTCTGTCATTCACCTGTTGTCGGGTCATAGACATGGATAAAAAAAAACACCTATTGATAGATTCGGCAACAAAGGCTGTGTCACGCGCTATGTATTATGCTGGTTAAGCGATACGCGCCCGGCTGTTGTATTACTGAATTGACCAATCACACGTTTAGTCCTGATTTGGGGAATGAAATGACGGCACTATTTAGTAAAGTCAACTCTGATTGGCTGAGGTGCGAGATTGCATAAATCTGCATGCTTTGACATATCAGACGTTATACAGGAGACTTAGCTCCGTGGATAACGGGTGATACTCGGACTATGGTACCAGCCGCTTGCCTCCCAATCATAAACCATGATCAAACTTGAATGCGAGAAACATGGTTTGATGAGAAAGGCATGTTATTTACATGGACATAATGTACTAAACTTAACCTTTACACACCTAGAACAAGGGTTTCAATGTGCCCTTCACACATCATAGATGTCAACTATAGCTTTGTAAATGTTTTGCTTTAGGAACAAGTTTTCCCTTTCCATACTCACTTGTGTCTTTGATATCGTTCGAGTAGTTTTCATTTTGGTTCGTATTTTGCAATCTTCAGGTAAAGTTTCCATTAAAATGAATAAATTTTACAATTACTTGACTGACTTTTGGTGTATTTATTGTCATGGATTTCATATCCGATATGCAGGACATGTTTTTTTAAAGCGCTAAACTCTAGTCTTGGGTGGGTGCTAAACAACCAGCTTTTTTGTTTTGTTTGGATTGTTTGTGGCATTCGGCGGGGATATAGCCTGAAGTAATGAAGGAAATTACAGTTTGGAGAGAAACCCCTAAAATTGGAGAGGGGGGGGGGCCTAGTGAAATCATGAACTACACGTAGAGGAAAACAAAGGTTATGTTGACCATGTACATGTAGATAGTGTACACTTTATCAATTTGTCCCCCGTGCACGTGACGCGTCAGGTAAATAAATTATGAACGATGGTAATACATAAGTTAAGTGGGAGCGTACACCAAAAATACGAGGTTGCTGCTTTTGTGCACCTGCGTCAAGTATCCCGACGTGTACACACGTTAACTTTATGACACGTACATAGAGAACCAAGTTGCTTTAATTGTAGAGGGCGCACTGCACCCGTACCCACGTGCGTTGACTTCGCGATATCGTACAGCATACACTACGTAAGCGGTGGGATCAGTGCGGACTCCAAATATCAACACTATGGCAAGGAAAAAGAAGGTCAGTTAAGAATGATTGACCAAATATTTGATTGCTGGTCATTGAAATGTATTTATTAGGCGTTTCTGAGATCATTAGTTCTCTCGGAGGTAGAATTACCTCATGGTTCTCGGTTGCAAATTTGAATAAAATTGTGCATATTTTACCTTTACCTATTGCGTTATTGGCATTGGGCGATTGTGTTGTCATGGTTGTCATGATGATGTAGGCCCCTTACTCATTCTCACATGACATTTTCCACCCTAAGCAGTCTTCTTTTAATTGCAATGACTCTATCGGTGTAATTTAAAAAAAAAAGAGTATATTTTCCTTCAACCTTTGGCATGTTTCGTGTACAGAAAATGCCGGCGATCGTGTAACTAGTGTAACGTTACTAACATTACTAACGTTCCTAACGTCGTTAGGGCCCCTGTTTTGTTTCGATCAAATTAGAATCAAGAATTTTTTTATTACTAAAAAATGTCATGTCATTGTCAACCTAAACATGCTAAAGCAGACTTTGTTCCTTCCTCCATCATGTCCATGCTCAATGTAATGACACCTTTTTGGTAATTTTTGAACAGTTTCTTGGGCTTGGGGTAGAAATTACGATTTTTCTCCGCAGTTTACGGGCCGGTTGGTGCCTTGCAGCGCGACTTGCGTGCTCACAGTACATCTCGCGGTGATCACCATCTTCATTTTTGTGTTGTGTTTTGTCATTGTCATCATCATTTTACCCCCAAATTTCCCTCAAAAATTCAAAACCCTGCCCTTCTATGACTATATGTTCTTACTATATGTCCCCAACTAGCTTGGTTTGTCAAATAATTTAAAAGTGGATTTTGTTCCCTTATGGCATGTATGGGAACTGGGCCCGTAGATACATGATCGCCAAAATGCCACACTCCCAGTCCCACAGACTTACATGTACAAGTTACATATTTAATACATAAGTATCCTCGACCCTCCATTATCTGTGCAGGTAACGCTTGCATACGCGTGCGCTTGTCACACACAGATTGAAAGTAAATGCGTAGAAAAGGGACTGCGTAGCTTTAGACGGTCTGACGATACTTGTTTTCCATTGTGCAAATTCGCCCAAGCAGTATTTGCGACAAGAATTTTTGAGAAGAATTCCAGAAAAAAATGTTGCAACCTGAATAAATAAATTCCTTCTGAGTAATTACTGACTGTTTATCTCGATGCTTATCTTCTTCTTTTTACACAAGGGAAAGGGAAAGAAAAAGGCCAAACAAAATCTGGTCACTGCAGAGAGTGAGTATGGCAAGGCACCCCACACATTTGTCTTCCACAGAGGTGTAGTTGGCAAAAGCGTCTTGCAACTCCTTCTTGACATCAGACGGACAATGGAACCCTACACCGCAGCCAGCCTCAGGGTAAAGTATAGCCCTGGAAGTTCCTGTGACTATGGCTCCAATACTCAGCTGAACCACCGTGTATTTTGTGAAGAGGATATAGAATTACTTCCTTCATCTGCTTTGAGCAACACTGACAACATCTGGGCCTACTATTAATGTTGTCCATTGGGTCGGGTTTACCAGGCTAAACCGACTAGAAACAAATTTAGATATAAACCGAATCCGAACCAAAATCAAACAAAAATTAAAGCAAAAACCAACCCAAACCGACCTGAAACCAAACCGAAACAGAACCGACCGGAAGGACCCAAATTTCTGGCTTGGGCAACTGTGTCCACTTTTTGTGCCTGAACTTACCCGCCTTGCATGAAAATCGACTCTCAGTAAAAAATCGTACGTTACGGTGAAGACTCATAACATTACCTACTGGTGGGCCTTCACGTTATAGACTGTGTGTGGTAGACCGCAAACCACATGCACGTTTGCACGGTGGGTTGACGTTGGTTGTACTGGGCACAGTAACTCTGCAATAATATTGCACCATGCGAATTTCCGAATTGTTAATATTTTTCAGGTGTATTTTGGATTTTTCACCCGATGGCTTAACTGACCCAACCTGGAAATCAAAAACACACAACCAAACCGACCCAACGCGACAAAAATGATGGTAAAACCAACACAACCCGACCCAAAGCAGGTTTCGGGTCGGGTCGATTTCGGTTTTGGGTCGGGTCAATTTTGGTTTCTGGTCGGCTTTGCACATACAACATTACCCCAAATCATGGCTCTGCTAATCACAGAATTCTTCAAGTACTATTAATACCTCATGCTTACTGCTGTGAGCACACAATCCATAGTTATGGGATGAACGCATGCGCACAAACCGAAATTCTTTGCTAACTGGTGAAATTAGGTCAACATTTTTCCAAAAGTTAACAAACTTGAGATAGGCAGAGCCATGAAATTGGGCCCTGCTTTTACTCTGCTGCACCAGGCATCCATGGGAACAAATCAAGGTTTTGCCTGGGCAGATTAGTTGATAGGATCAAATAGCATGCCTTTTTAAAAATATTTACAATATTGATTCCTTTTCTTGCATTCTTGGTTGTCTTTGAAAGGAATCTTAGAATTGTACACAGATACTAGCCTTGTGAGCACAGGTTTTTCTTTGTTAACCTCCTAAACAACTCCTTCCCTAAGATTTGGCACGCGTCTAGTGTCCTGTGACGTGACCCTTGGTGATTGAAGTATATAAGTCTGATGCATTACGAATGAAACTACTACAAATTGTTACTTTGTTTTTGATATTTCGTCCTTATCATAACTTCTTTTTATCTTGATTTCAGACTAGAAAGAAGAATGTGTTGAAGGATTTTGTCAGCGTGGCCAGTCCTCTCGGCGTTACGCATTTCATGGTGTTTACAAAAACAGATACAGGCACAAACATGGTGAGATATAAAGGGCTTACATACAGGAATACCCCGCCAGAAGAAAACAAACCAAATATTAACAAACAACAAAACACTGTACATGTTTTATCAAGTACGGGGTCCGAAGGCTGCCTTGAAAGTTCAGTTTTAGATGTTTTTGTTTGTGCGCATCAGCTACGTAGATTTTGTACATGTATTAAAATATGATGCACCTCTAGCTTCAGAAGCAGACCTATGCTCATTCCAATGTATCTTTAACACTACAATGTATATTTTCATTTTTTTAAGTTTAATTTTCAGGACAAAACCCATTGAAGATGAAGTAAGGATTTAATTTTCTCTACTTTCATTTTTTCCCTCCAGAGAATTATTAAAATTCCAAGAGGACCCACTATCAATTTCAAAGTGACTCAGGTAAGAGTTTGATCACATTCAAGATGTCGAGTTTCCCAGGCTGAATTCCTTCTTTATCATGTAATTTAGTATAATTGTCTGAAGTGAAAATGGACTGTTTTTCAATTACTGCGAAGTAGTTGCAGTAGACTCAACTGTGTAATTTCATAAGCACTGTTTGCTCAGTGCTGTCAAAAGCTTGCCAGAAGAAAACAAATACAGGGCGAGTCAAAAAAGCGAAACCCAAATGTTGGACTATTGTTTTAGTGAAGTTCTGCATGTAGCACTTTCAAAATCTAGGATTTGAAAGCTCAATTCATAAGCTTTCTTTACTCTTCAAGTTATGGAATTTCAAACACAACCACCATTTTAAAGTTCTGTCCACGGATCACAAAAAAGGTGTGCGTTCTTTCAGCAAAACGAAAACAATTCACACACGTCCCTACGTGATTCGTTTTCCTTTTGTTGAAGGAACACTTAACTTCTTGTGATTCGTGGACAGAACCTTAAAACGGTGGTTGTGTTTAAAATTCCTTAACTTGAAAAGTACATGAGTGATTTGAATGCTTCTCGTACTAAAAGAAAGCTTATGAATTGGGCTTTCATACCCTAGATTTTGAAAGTGCTACATGCAGAACTTCACTAAAACAATAGTCCCGACATTTGGGTTTCGCTTTTTTTTACTCACCCTGTACACGTGCTTATATGTGAAATTGCATTGCTCATGGGCACGGGCAAAACAAAATGTTGAAATTCCAAATTTCTTCAGTGTGTGAATGATCTCGTTGCAGTATTCACTGGCCAAGGATGTGGTGTCGTCCTTGAAGCGCCCCAACATGTACGCCTCCCAGTTCAGGTATCACCCTCTTCTGGTCCTCAACAACTTCAGCAAAGATGAGCCGCACCTGAAACTCGCTGCTACGATCCTGCAGAACATGTTTCCCTCCATCAATGTACACAAGGTATGAAAGTATGAAAATGAGTCTTGAGTCTTGAGATTATTTTTAAAATTTGTTGGAGACATGTGTAAAAATAACTTATGTAAAGTGAAGTCTTGACTGTTATTGCGGGATCACTTAATGTAGAGAAGGACTCCGCTTTCCATGGTCAGTGTTTAAGGTGCATATTTTTGTACTTTGTGTTAGTGTTTACTTGCCATAACACCATTATGAAAGTTGGCAAGGGAGTGATACCTAATTATGACAAGGAATGTAGATGATGGATTTTGTAGAATTCAGTTGGCTTCATACTGTGCTGTTGTTGGGTGCTATCCCCCCTTCTGCCCTTCCCCCCCCCCCCCCCCCTCGGTGTTAAACTACACAGTGCAACCCCAAGAGTATCATTGCATGGTTTGTTTTGCTTTTGCAGGTTCAGCTGAACAAGATACGTCGCTGTGTGCTATTCAACTACGATCCAGAAACCAAGCTGATTGAGTTCAGACACTAGTAAGTGAAAATATAGGGGCAAAGAAAAAGGATTGACTTTTCAGCTAATCTGAGCAAGACTGTTTTTGGATCGCCCAAAATCCTCCAACTATGCAGGAAATCAACAGCACATATCTTGCACTGTAATTTTCAAGGGACATTGAAGCAAACCCCGTGTAATGCAAGAGTTGCTTGGATGTACCTTCCTCACTCTTACAAAATCCTTCAAAACCACCTGAAGGAGTTTGAGAGGATGGCACTCAACAATTTAGTGTAGCATTACATTGTCATTTTATTCCCGAGGGAAAAGTTGATTTTTTTTTCCTTCATTTTTTTCCCTTTCTTTTTGTTGTTCTTCAAGTTCCATCAAGCTTGTGCCGGTTGGAATCAGCCGGAGTGTCAAGAAGCTGCTCAAGACCAAGGTACCAGACCTGAGCCGATACAAAGATGTCAGCGACTTCTTCCTCAAGTAAGTCAGATGTATTGCAGACTATTATTGTTCTCTCAAGGAAAACAGCATATCATCCAATTGCCTCTGTTGCATTGTTTCAGTTTCATAACAAAAAAGCAGACAGAGTGATGCTGCAATATGTAGTGCACTACTGTGGACACACTTTTTAAAACCACCTTCAATAATTGTTTTCTTCCGAACGATACCATTTCAGACAGAATATTTTCAAAGGGTATTTAGTACAAAAGTCCTTTTTTTCACTCTGAGCAAGCTTTTTAATCACTAAATTGGTAGGTTCATTTCTAGGTAATCATCAGTGTTCATATGTGTGCGACATGTGCGACAAAAAAAAAATCTGAAGTTCTGTGTTAATTTAATTAAGGGTAATGGTGAACTTCAAACCACAACGTTTCACCAATGTTGTTCAGTTCAGGCTAGTTCCATGACATACAGCCTTTCCTATTTACAACCGTTTTGTTACTTGAACTACCATTTGGTTTTTCGTTTTGATGTCATTGGATGACGTGTTTGTGTGTTTGTTTGTTAATCTGTGTGTTTGTCTAGTGCTGGTCAGTTGTCGGAAAGCGAGGCAGAACAAGAAGGTCCCGACAATGAAGTGACCGTTCCCCAGAGTATGAGCAGCAGGGGTAACATTGCTGCTCAGAAGAGCGCGATTAGACTGGTGGAGGTACGTACATGTAGACTATAAAAAACAACCTTTCAAACTAGTTGCTTAACTACCGTAATTTTCGGAATATAAGCCGCGGCTTATACGTTGATTTTGCCCATGAAAATGTTTACTGCAGCTTATACACAGGGCGGCTTATACGCCGAGCCTTGAAGAATAAAAATGAAATTCACATGTGTATTTAATGTACTGGTATAAGAAGAGATATGTTGCTGAAATGAATTATAAATTAAGAAAGTCATTAACAAACCGAAACCACGTCTCACGTAAAGGTACCGAGCGGTAAAAAAGTACGGTGATGAAAGCTGTCTTCGACACTTGCCACCAGCCGTACGTGATACTGGTACAGTGCAGCAGCGATATGCAGGCATGCTTTCCCAACAGAGGACCACACCATTTGTGGTAACAAAGGGGTGTTCTTTCTTGGGAACAATAATGACCAATATTTTCGCTGTTTATAAAAAAAGAAAAAAGACCACTACAATTTTTATGGCGTTCGAAACATTTTTTTATTACATAATCAGTTGTTCAACGTCACAATATATTTTGTTTTCTTGAAATGTATTCAAGAAACGATGTAAAACTCAAAAGAGGGACTAAATCACCCCTTACAAAATTAATGGAATCGTCTATTAAAATGTCCGCTTCGTTTTGACTATTTCCAAAGAAAGTTACGATCGAAACTTGAATTGTTCTCGCAACTAATCGCAACAATTTGATAAGTTTTGAGGTAAAAACGGACCTGTTTATTCTTAGGACAAAACAAATCAGCATCTGTTGCCACAAAGCAAGATTTGTAGCGCTCCAGTCAGACAACACACGGTGGGTTTCATACTCTCTCACGTGCTGTGGGAAAATGTTGTCATTCACCGGCGTGCGTGGCGCAGGCTGCCGGGCTATGACGGGGCAGCCGGCAGCAGTTCCCGGTGTTTATTTCTCATCAATTCCCATATTTGTTTGTAAAAGTATCAATTGTAAATGATTTGATATAACTTTTGTGGTCCTTTTAATAGCTTCTGTAGTGTGAATGGAACTGGTTCAGAGCATTTTGACTAGAATTTGGAGGCCTTACAAAATTGAAACCGCAGCGGTCGGTGCGGCTTATACGCCGGTGCGGCTTATACGCCGACTTCAAATCTTAATTTGCAGATTTTTGCGTGCTGCGGCTTATACGCCGCGCGGCTTATATTCCGAAAATTACGGTACAACCGTTACAAATTATGTCCTCATCTTAATATATGCATATGTAAAGTGGGAGGAAATGCTCACTATTCCAAACTTCCGATTGATTTCCATTGTTGAAAATTTGTCAAATGGCTTATTACTCATGCAGGCCAATTTGTCATGCAGTCAGTATGTGTAAGCTCAATTTTTTTCTGACTAAAACATTTGCCGAGGTTCCAGCAGTCTTTTCTGAACGAAAATCAGTATTTTTTTACATCTACATGCATCAATTTTTTGTCTTACAGTAGACATAGTAGTCTCATTTGAAGCTTTGTCTTTTGACAGATTGGTCCGAGGATGCAGCTGCAGATGGTTAAGATTGAAGAAGGCATGTGTGAAGGAGAGGTCATGTACCATCAATTTGGTATGTCGGCATCGCGTATCATTGCTTAAATTGTGAATAAAACCAAATTGGTGACCAGCCTTTACCGAGGGGGAACAACTGAGCTCTATACTCTGACATGTAGGCTCGTGCACAGGTGGTACCATAGAGCTATATTAAATTACTAGAGCGCTAACTCATCATTCTTGCGCGTGGAGACGCTTTGAAGCCGCTCTGGGCGCAGACATTTTGAATTTATGTACGTGTTTGTAGAACACAATCAAAATAGATGAAATGAATTTTAAAAGTGTACTCTAAATGCAACGCGCAAGTAGAAGATACGCAAAGCGTGTCATGACGGTTCAAAAAACGTCACGGCGAAAAGCATCTGCAGCGAAAGGGCGCGCACACGTTGCGCTGTTTGCGTAGAGCAAAATGACACGCTCATTTGCTGATTGTGCGTTTCGGTTTTCGGCGTATCGGCTTCGATGACGCACCGGTATGGAATACAAATGCAGATATGCAAATAGCCGTACAAAAGCCATACAAAATTTCGAGTTTTCCATAGGTTTGTGCACAAACATGGATGCGCCCAGCAGGCATTACTTTGTACATCGAGTTAGCGCTCTAGTAATTTAATATAGCTCTAAGGGTGGTACATACGCACTCAATGCTCCTTTAACCACCCCCAATCCTTCAAAATCCAACTGCGTGTTTTGTTGAAATCTTTTGGAGTGAGTACTCCACTAGTAAACCGATTATGTTTTAAATGGGGTTGGACATACCGAGTCCAACAGTTTGGGTGTTGAGTTTGCCATACGGTGTTGGATTTTTCAAGAGTTAGGACGGTTCTCAGTAAACAGGCATGCAGCTTTTCCTCAGATCTGCTGATTTCACTGTTTTTTACTTCAAACTGAAAAATACTGTACAAAGCCTTGTGTGGTTTGGAATTTCCTAATTTTTTTTTTAATTCCCAGTTGCATGTGAGCCTCTGCATCAAGAATGGTTCTTTCTCAGAAATGACTTCTATTTTGTTCGCTGAATTAAGCTAGATACATTGCCCGTATTATCCCAATGCATGTGAGCCTCTGTGTCAACAATGGTTCTTTCTCAGAAATGACTTTTTATTTTGTTTGCTGAATTCAGCTAGATACATTGCCCCTATTATGCCGTAGCAAAGGATTTATACAGTTTTAATACTGGCCGGTTGGGCAGTATTCTACAGTGTATATTCTAGTTTTGCAATATTTTATAATGTGTTCAACACCTTAGATGAGGATGACCATATCTATCCAGTGACCATTGGCAACTCTTCCTGAAACAGTACTGGCATAGCTACACTCGCTGCATTTTAAATTGTTTTATAATAATTTCTCAAAATTTGCCAGTGGATAAACCTTACAAAAAGGGCCATCAGAACAAAATATAATTAAAGGGAAATGCATTGCAGGGGTTGTCCAAATATTGGTGGTCATTTGCTTGAGCAGTTTTTTATGATTTTGTTTTTCTTGAAACTTGCAGTCCAAAAGACTTCACAGGAGATTGCAGAAGCCAGAACCCTTCGACTGCAGAGAATGTAAGTCATTTACTCCCCCGAAATGAAATAAATATTACTTTTCTAAATCTTTGTACTCTTGTTTCTGAATTACCATAGTGCGATACAGTTCTGAGTAAAATCTGTTAGTTATAATGGGAGCAAAGCTGTTAACAATTGTAAATGGTCTAGGAGTTCATTTCAGTGTAGTTATGTTGCAACCTGTAATGCGTTCACTCACTTTGTTCAATTTATCCTTCATTTATTGATGATATTCATCACGATTAAAAGCTGGTCTTTGCTTTAACCCTCCTATGCAAACATACATTCTGTGCCAAGTTGTCCTTTCAGTCAAAATCAATCAAGTGACTGTTTTCAACAGTTAAGAGCTCCCAGCCTACATAAAGCAGGATTGACTGGCTGTGACTGTTTATACAGCTATGGTATAGGTGATTAATAAGCCAGCTGTGTCTACCACTTGTCTGCTTTTGTCTGTTGACTGATATTGACTAGTGCTTGCGTGAAATATGATCTGACTGTTGGTGACTAGCCTGTGTAAAAGGCATGGCAGGGGAAGAGGAGTTATTTTTTGACTGTCTGTAACTGCTCATATATCATTTTAATTATATATTTAGTATTGGTTTGTAATTTTTTTAATTCAGTAATATGCAAATACGATGATTTTGATTTTTTTTTTGTTCAGGAAAGCAAAGGAGAAGCGAAAGAAACTTCAAAAAGCAAACGTTGATTCAAAGACGAAACAGAAAGAAGAACACAAGTAAGTTGAACAAAGCTTCGCCAGTAAAACTTTGAAACACAGATGGCAATGATGAAAACTTCGCGAGTGTGCTATTATTCTTAAAAGGTAAAAAGATAGAAACTGAAAAACTAGATACACTAATGACCCTGATAGGAATTAATTCCAGGATCATTAGTGATTTTAGGTGCCAAAAAAGAAGAAACGCACAACTCTTTTGCCCTGCAATCTCTTAACATCTTCAAGTAGACATTAAAAATATCATGTTTAGTACATGTCCACTAATTGTAAAGTGATATACTTTAACGTCTGTCAACTTTTTGGGGTTTAATTTAGACAAAAATCCCTGGATGGAATCAAGAAGAAGACAGAACAGGAAGAGAAGTCTTCTGTGAAAGGTAAAAGAATGAAAATGTCAAAAGATTGATAAATGGAACTTGTTAATCAGACAAATACCTTAACCCTCGGCAGTGCTAAACTACAGTTTTGAACAGTAAGTTTTGTTAATTTTTTTAATTACTCTTAAGTTTTTTTGGCCAAAATTTTTCAAACTCCATAAGTGCCCCAATCAGATATAGCCAAAATATGGCGAGTGCCCCTTAACCCCCGGTGAAAGCATGACCCATATTTTGCAGGGCAAAGCCAGACTAGTGCCAAGCCCCATATGATTGTGTACAAAACAAATGCCAGGGGCTTTGACTACAGGAAATCAATCATCCTTTTATTGTTCAGGATGAATGAATGAATGAATTAATTTTTGGCTAAAAACTGTTGTGTTGGGCCCAGACTATCTCTATACTTTATATTTAGACACTTTGATAAAGGATGTGCTCACCCAACATGATTATAGACCATTATCATGTTGTAGCCATTTGATTTTCTTCCCATTCAAATCAATGTCATCAAAGCGAGGCTGGAGGGAAAAATAGTCTGGTTCCGTTTTGCACAAAAACATTATCATTCAGTACTTTTATTGGATACAGGGAACATGACTAAAATGGTGGAAGCATGATATAGGTATATGCAACGACGCATTGATTTGGGGTTAGTACAGCACAGGGTGTTAAACTTGAATTTCTTCCCGTTTTTAACAGTAGCTGTCGGCGAGGAGCAGGAGGAAGAGGAAGTGGATGATGACACAGAGTACTACCGACAAGAAGTGGGAGAAGACCCTGACCCAGGTATTGTTATGCAAATATTCATCACACTAGCTCTCTGGCCTTTTACTCTTAAAAATTAACTTCTTGTCACTTTTGTGAATTCACAATCGGGTCATTCCATGTCAATGCAACACGATTTTACCCGAACCTCACAGATTGACATGATATTTGGTGTGATGATTACCTATATGAGAAACCTCCGAAACTGATTTTGTTTTGCAATGTGGCTCTTTTGTTTTTGAGATAAAGGTCAACAAACATTTTACTAATTAGCATAACCTCCAAACTTTAAATACTTTGTATCTCCAAAAATGTAGCACATATAAAGCCAAGTGTTGTACATCATTTTATAGCTCTTTGAATGGCTCCTTTCATAAAATAAAACCATTGTAGCATGAAGCGCATGAAAATGTGTAATGACCTTTGACCTTGAATTACAAAAATACGTACGCTTAAAATTTTCATAAAAATATTTTGAAAAATTAGTTTTTGATGTGAGCAAAGTGATGGGCACTCTTAAAGTTTTTAGGTTATGATTAAGTAGTGTTTAAAGCTCGGACGTCATGCTAATTAGTCAAAAGTTCGTTGATCTGGTCTCAAAAACCATTGAGCCAAATTAAATAAAAAACCAACGTCTGGAGGCTTCATCATGGCCAATCATCACGCCATATATCGTTTCAATCTGTGACGGTCAGGTGAAAAATTGTGTTGAATTGACACCGAATGACCCAATCTCTATAAACTGGGTGTGTTGATATTTAAGGGCTTTTGTATTTGTCCCAATTTGGGGGTGTAAACATAATGTAGAGAGAGTTTTCCCATCCATATTTTGTCAAATCTAAAACCAAAAAAATCAAAAGAACTGATGTACTGTATATAGAGTTCTCAACGGTTCAAATGTCCTATAAATTTAGCAGCTGCAATTGCGTTCAAAATTTTCATTGTACACATGTATTTTTTTGTACTATTTGTTACAGCTCTTTTTCCGAAGCAGAAGCGCCTACCAAGGACAGACAAGAGGAAAGCTAGCAGTCAGGGAACCAGACTCCCACAGAAGAAATTCAAGTTCAGCTCCAAGTCGTCCAAAGATTCCGAGAACAAGGTGCGGAAAGGAATGAAGGGCAATACCCGCAGGCAAGACAGCCAAGAGAGGACTTCGTCCAAAACATTCGGGAAAAAGTCACCTTCGATGAGAGCTGGAAAGAAATCTGGGCCTTTGGGGAGAAACGCAAACAAGAAGTTTGGATCTCCGGACCGAACGCAGCGGCGAGGCCACCCAGCGGGGAAAGGGGGTGCAACAAAACTTAAAAAGGGCAAAGTGGCTGGAGGAAAGGTCATGAAGAAATCAAAGGTCAAGGGTCGTTAGCATGGAGGTATTTGTGGGGGAACCATAAAATCACCATTCTAAATGACAATTTCAAATCAAGGCTTCGTGTTTACTGATACATTGTAATTATAATTATGATGCGATATCAAATCATCTGATCTTTGAGTAAATCGGTTCTATTATTGCTGTCTTTTAAACTTGAGTATGATTTCAGTAGGTGCTGTGGGCTACATTTTAAGGCTCATGTGATATGTGAGGGTCACCTACCGTCTAGGGTCGTTGATTTATCCATGTTGGATTGGTACATGGCCGGGGGGGGGGGGGGGGGGGGGGGGGTAATGCTAGAACCACTTTCAGGGTTTTAGATTATACATAAAATCTGAAATCCTAACTTTAAAAGTGGTCAAACATCGGATGGCTTCATAATGCAGTGTGTCTTAGCAGCATTTTATGTTTTTTTTTCTTCTGAATTCAGCTTGGTAATCCAAAGGGTACACTACTTTTTAGTCTAGTTTGGGTTTTCATTGTCCCAAGGGAAACATAATTTTATGGTGTCTGTACCAGATTTTATTGTTTTTAAGGTAAATGTACTCTGAGGTACTTTTCAGAAGAATAAAGATCATTTTGAGATGTAAAAATTTGCCCATTCGATTGTCTGTTTCTAATTGTAAATATTAGTCTGTATAGTTGGACACTTTTAATACGTAATTGTTTTTGGGTTCAGGGACGTAAATCTCAGGGGGGGGGGGGTGGATATATTTTCCCCTTCACTTTTGGATCGGAATGGGCCATTGGATCCCTTCTCCCCCACCCCCACCCCCCAGTTTTGTGGTGAGAAACCAAAAAAGCTGATTTTGATGTTTTCTTGTAACTCTCCAATTGTCAAAAATGTATTTAAAGCAGAGAACAAACGGTACAAAAGCTTTAAATGCACTGTTTTGATGTAATTAGGTGTTATTTAGGGATGTAAGCACGCAAGTTTTGTATCCTGAACAACGCCTTCTTATGTAATCTGGGGTGCTAATTCTTGTCCAGCCACCCCTCCCCTTCCTGCTTTTCGAATTACCACTGCTGGAAGATTTTTGGTCATCCCCCCCCCTCCCCCAGCCTACACACGCGCATTTACGCCAGTGCTTGGGTTATGAATATAAAACAAGCTTTGGGTCCCCCAAGAAGCTTTACTTAAGGTTAGGGCTTAGTGACTGTAAATACTTATTTATTTTGTGAGGCTCTATTTCCAGTTACTTCATAGACTTCAAAATAACTTGAATTGATAGGAATTTGACATTACGTTGGAATTATGGGGTAAAATGACTGCGTAAAACTTAGGGTAGAGTGTATGCGTTAATGTGCTTGCTTTTGTTTTATTCAGATTGGCGCCCCCCTCCCCCGGCCGGCCCCGCGTACCCCGTGCAGAAATACGTGTAACGATTACAATCCTAACCGTAGAGGGCGGTATAAATACGGCTTGCAAATGCACCAGCATCGCGGTAATACCACCAGCTTGGCGGATATGTGGACACGGTGGAGGAGAAGACGCCGATTTGCAGTTATTTTTGCAGCTTAAATAAGACCTCACTGAACAACGTCAGACAGTTTACTATTGGTAGGTGATCTTGTTAATCAAATTTGCAAATAGTTTGTCGTACATTTGGTTACAAGACTGAAACTGAAAGCCATACCGTCAATTTTAACACGAACAGGCCCATGTAAAGCTGTCCAGTTTCCGGACATATTTGTTAATTAATGGTTTAGGGCCTACATGTAGGCCTATTCAGGGGCATCACCTGGATGTTTTTCTAGGGGGGGGGGGGGGGCAAAGCTAGCTGGAGTTACCCAGCCGTGAATTTTATCATTGGGTTGTCATTTACTTAGGGCTGGAGGAAGTTATTCACCAAAACCAGCAGCATGCCATTGGCAGGTCCAAAATTTTTTTTCGAAAATGTGCAATTTTGTCACAGTTACACACTATCTTCAACTGGAATTCACCCAAACCTTGCCTGGAATAACCACTACACAGGTCTTTGAAGTAAAAAACGATCCACGATGAAGATTCAGCCTACAATTGCAGTGAAAAAAAGGAGGCATAACCGACAACCGTGCGGTCATGATGATGCCCGCAGTTTGTTTTTGCACAAACAAAGTACTGTCGATTACCATGCACAACACAGCGAACCACCAGCCACACTTGCCAACTGCACGGCGCGGCATGGCGCTGAAGCGCGCACCCGAGGACTGTTTGATGCACTACTGCTGCACTAACTATGAGGCTTCACTCGCATCACGGCAGAGGTAGAACGGCAGCCGAAGTTGGCCGACATACAGTCGTCGGGTGCGCGCTTCAGCGGCATTCCGCGCCGCGCCATGCAGTTGGCAAGTGTGGCTGGTGGTTCGCTGTGTTGTGCATGGTAATCGACAGCACTTTGTTTGTGCAAAAACAAACTGCGGGCATCATCATGACCGCACGGTTGTCGGTTATGCCTCCTTTTTTTCACTGCAATTGTAGGCTGAATCTTCATCGTGGATCGTTTTTTACTTCAAGGACCTGTGTAGTGGTTATTCCAGGGAATGTCAGACAAGTCGACCGTTGAGACAACTCGACTTGGGACAAGTCGACCATTGAGACAACTCGATCATTGAGACAAGTCGACCGTTGAGACAACTCGACTTAGGACAACTCGACCGTTGAGACAGCTCGACTTAATGGAAATGTATACACGCGGAGCGGAAAAAGTTGCATAAATCTGTGGCAGGACCGGTCCCGGCGCGGGCATACTCGATGCACGGAGTACGCTCCAATCCGGTGGCCGTCGCGTCAGGCCGGCGCGCCCCCGGCCCGGCACGCAGGCACGTCAACCGGCACGGCAAGTGGGCGCACAGGCCCGGCACAAACGATGCCACCGTGCACGGTATGGCCACGTAGACCGGGAATAAGTGCGCGCACAGGGCTGGCAAAAACGAACGATGTGCACGGACAATCACACTGCGCTATATCGGCTCTGTTATATGTAACAAAAAACCTCATATATCATAACTCCCAAACGGCGATCAGCCGCCGTCAAAATCTCCGGTACTATCCCAGAAAACTAGGCCCAAAAACATGCGAGTCGACTTGTACGTCTCAATGGTCGACTTGTCTTTCCATTTATCGCACATACTGTCGAGTTGTCTCAACGGTCGAGTTGTCTGAACAGTCGACTTGTCCCGAGTCGAGTTGTCTCAACGGTCGACTTGTCTGACCCCATTCCAGGCAAGGTTTGGGTAAATTCCAGTTGAAGTTAGTGTGTAACTGGGACAAAATTGCACATTTTTCGAAATTTTTTTGTGGACCTGCCAATGCTGCTGGCGTTGGTAAACAACTTCCTCCAGCCCTAAATGACAACCCAATGATAAAATTTAGGGCTGGGTAACTCCAGCTAGGGCAAAGCGCAGTTTTCCCCAAAAATCCCTTTACTTTTCATGCATATTCTCAATTTATCAATTGTTCGAGGGTGGGCAGGAACATTTGCCCCTAACAGCAAAGACTAGAGTCTCTAGAGTGAATTTGCGCCTCTTTTTCTCCCCCCTTTTTGTAAAGAATGTTGCGTCCTGACGCTACTTTCAAAACAGAAAAAAGCCTTTTTTTTTGCTTATCTTGTACCTCAGAGAGTATACTTTTATGTGAGAACTGTAAGGAATATGGTAGATGTCCCAAATTTCGGCACCATAAGAGTCGATTTTTATTTTTCAACATATGCTCCCGTCGACACACAGCACGTGGGCATAGCGCATGTTGCGATACCAAAACTAAATCGATCCCGAACCTGCTTTGGTAATGTCACGTGACTTTGAAAGACGTTCATGTTGTCTGGAAATTCGGCACCCTGTGCCTAAGTTCGGTACTGCGTGCAGTCACGTGCTTCTGCAATGGGCGGCACCATGTTTCAGCGTGTGGGGAAAAAGTTGCGTTACGCACACGTTTAGTTCCGTAGGTTTATATTTTTACGTCCGTAAAAGTTGTATTTTTGCCCTATATTAGTTATGTCCCCAACAAAATTCAAAATGGTTTTCAAGCTAATATTGATTTTGTGAGTTGTTTATCACGTGCCGAAATTAGGGTCACTCTCTGACCCCTGCTCGTAAGTTCGGCATCCCCCACAAAACTACACACCTGCACTTTGTACAGACGATCTTCCACTCTCAGCGGCACAAACCATCACCAAGGTCAGAAAAAACTTCCATTTTAACCACTTCGACATGAAAAAATGGCTGCAATCATCTTTTTGATCTTAAACCCCATCTTACAAGGAATCCTAAAAACTTGAAAAAATAGTTCGCCTTTTATGGAGAGATTTTTAATCCCATTTCTTTTGGCAAGAATGGGTCTCAAGTTTCCATTATTTTTGGTTGAAAACCCAAGGGCAGGAGTTCGTCTTGTCACCCGATAGCAACATGGGTGGTCATGTGACCGCGTTGGCGGGCCAGTTCACTATTTATATAGGGGTGCCGAATTTCGGGATGTGCCGAAATTCAGGACGTCTACCCTATGTTGACAAAGTCTTTAGAGAGATTTGTAGGCGAATGTGTGGCCAACTTAGTGAATTTTTGCATGTCACTGTATGTTGAAGCCCTCAACCAACACGTGACATGTACAGATTCATAAAGTTGGCCACACATTTGCCTACAACTCTCTCTTAAAGACTTTATCGCCATATTCCTTACAGTTATCACATGAAAGTTTACTCACTGAGGAACAAGATAAGCAAAAAGAATGGGTTTTTTTCTGTTTCGAGAGTAGCGTCAGGTTGCAAAATTTCCCCCCTTTTTTTGCTCCTTTTGTTGGCGGGGGGGGGGGGGGGGGGGGAGATTTTCCTAGTCGGAGTAACTTGGACCCAACTTATTGCCTTTTTAACATTCGGACATGGTCTGGCGATAGTAGGTCCAAGAAATCTGCATACATGTATATGCCCGACATCAAAAACATCAGATTTCACCCTGAAAATGGCCTCCAAATTACTAGATACGCCACCTGAGGTACAAGTAGACATCGATGATTCAGATGGTTGTACTGAAGTTTACTTGTGATCTGGATGAAAAGTGAAATTTCCCGTTCAATTCCGAGAGCTCCCCTCGCGATCGTGAACATGGTGAACACGTTAAATTTCCGACTCGAGTTTGAAAAAGTGATGTGGCGTGCCCAGCGTTCCTTCAATGGTCCCCGTATCCCGAGTGCGATTCCGTTACCGAGCACGATGCAGATTGATTATGATAATGAGTAGACTGGATCTCGTTTGTAAACACAAGTGCATTTCAAACGATGATAGGGAGTCGGGAAATAACTTGAACTGGTTTCCACTGATAGCTGCCCTAGCTGCCTCCAAACTACCACATGTAGATACTATACGCCATAGTGCGACACAATTCTGCCATTGACCCCAAAACCCGACATTGCCCGACAAAAACATCAGATTTCACCCTCAAAACGGCCTCCAAACTACTAAATACGCCACCTGAGGTACAAGTATTGATCGATGATAATGATCAAGGTACTAAAGTTATTTACGATCCGGATGAAAAGTGAAATTTCCCATTCAATTCCAAGAGCTCCCCTGGCGATCGCGAACATGTCAAATTTCCGACTTGCTTGAACAATGCAATGTTGTCGTGCCTGGCGTTCATTTAATGGTCCGAGCACGATTCAGTTAACAGGTGCGATGCATTAATTATGATAATGAGTAGACTGAATCTTGTTTGTAAACACAAATGCATTTCGGACGATGATAGGGAGTCGGACTTCCTATCATTGTTCGAAAGGGCAACAGTATGGAGGATTTTGGAGGATTGAGAATGGTTCCTAGCAAAAAGGGCCTAGGAGGTTTAGCGTAAATGAGTTTAGCACAGCAGTTTCCCGGATAGAAATTGGTAATTCTAGAGTCTTAGAAAGCGACAGGTTGGTGAATGGAATAAAGCGTCACTGGTACAAGCAAGAAGGTCGTGAAATGTGAGAGTACCCAAATGACAAGGATTAATATTCAATTAAATTCAATTCAATATTACATTTATTTCCATACTGAAACAATAACATAACAGAAAGCAAAATACAATATTGTGGAGGTACAATCCTAATAAGCCAAGGCTTGTAGCGGAGTGCCTTTCGAAGAGAAAACAAAGACATTAAATATTCAAATAGTTAATTAATTAAGTCACAGACAAAACGTAAAAAAGTGGACAAAATGATCTGACCAGAAATAAATTAAGAAAAATGACTGGAAAAAAAAAATGTAAAACTGCAAGAGAGGTGGCAACACTAAAGACCAAACCAAAGGAAAACAACCAAACCATGCTACATATTAGGAAATAAGACACTCTTTGAAAGAGTTCTTAAAAGAGCCCACAGAGGTTTTGAAGATTCTCATGGATTGATTCACAGTGTGTTGCAGCTTTGGGGTCATGGTTCATGCACTTTTGACCCTTTTGATTGCCCTAATGGCATACAGATTCAAATGGCAAGCAATTTACTAGACTTGAAGGGAGAATACAACATTTGCAAGTATCAAAAAATAAAACTACCAAGTTTTTACGAAAGCTCTTACAGGATGTTGGTAAATGACATTCTAAAGCATCCTGTAAAATTATGACACCTGGTGTGAAGTAATTTTCAAGCAAATGGTATTTTTGTTAACATTTCCAACAGTTGGAAAAACCTGACTATTTTTCGTCTGCTGCTCCAAATTTACCATTTTTTTTCAGTCCAAATTTTGTTTGCTATTGGTTGCATGTTCATGAATGGGGGAAGGCCAGCTAGAGTAGACTGGTTCCCTTACCGTACAATTTTCCGGCATCTATAAATTGATCCCTACTTTTCAGTGGAGTCAGGGAACCAGACTACAATAATTTGATTTATTATACTAACCCCTCAAATAGTTCATTTCTGGAAATTAAAGCAAAAAGCCAATGATGTACATTCCCTTTAAGGTAAACTGAAACATTCTTATAAGATACTTTTTTGAGTTGATAATATAACAATGAAGCCAGTCCGGTATTCTAAATACACATGTTCGCATCGAAATTAAAGATTTTCATTTTGGGATAAGCATTGTGGACTGTGTGCAACATCATAGAGGCCTAGTGCTGCAACTGATCCTCAAAGTTCGGTTCGGTTCGGTTGCAGTTCAATTTTTTTCTCCAAATTTCAGTTTGGTTCGGCTTCGGAAGTGCATACATAATGTACATGTCCATGGTACAATATACATGTATTGGGCTACAATGAAAAACATATAGGCCGTTCCCCCGTTCGAACAAACACGTGTGCACCGCGCACGTCTGACAGAAATAGGCACCGCAATTTCCACATGCTATACAACACAAGTTGAAGGATGAATCTTATTTTTGTTGTGTAAATACGGTAATATACCGTTATAATTTGACTTGACATGCTTGATGACGTTGAGAAATGAACATCGTAAATTGCTACCGTGTTACCTATCGCAGGCCTAAGAGCAAACAGGTCCTTTTACTGTGCCAAACTTATGAAATCATAATTATTTTTAGCAATAAGCTGACAAGTAGCTACCGTAAAAAATTTCGATTCGCGAGGTTTCCATGAATTCTCATTTTGTGGCCTGGACGGATCCATTAATTTTGTAAAGTGGTGTTTCACCCTCTTTTGGGAGATTACATCGTTTTCATGTACATTCTTTACCAAACAAAATATATTGCGAAAATTAAGAACTTGCTCTGAACATGGGGAAGGTTTCAGACTCCATAAAAAATATTTGTTTTTAAATTTTGACACGGTGAAAAAAACTGAAAATGCTGGAAAATTTTGCCGAGGAAAGCACACCCTTCACCGCAAATGGTTTGGTCCAAACGAACTACATCATGAAACACAGCAGGGCAGGGATGTCCCGCCCACACTGCGCGGCCAAAGCAAGAGCACGCTTTTCATTGAGAGAATTGCAGGTGCGTCATTTTGAAGAAAACAATAAAAGTAGGTAATTTCCAAAGAAGCGTCCAAAGAACCATTTTTGAAAATTTCCGTTAATGGTTCGTTCGTGAATGGGTGTGCACAAACGTTGAATTATAGCAACCGAATCATAGCAACCACACGCGCAAGTGCTGCAATCGGCTAAATGAGAACGTGTCACGGAATGCTGATTTGGGGTGCAATGCAAAATATGACTCGGCAACTTTTGAATTGAAATGAGATCCTAGAGTATTGTTTTCTCGGAATATACAGCATTCACTGAGTTGAAACTTCATAAGGTTTTGAGCACTTAAGTTTTTTCAAACGAAAAATGCACAAATGATATACCGGTACATGTTCTCCACCTTAAAAAAACCCCAGATGTTATATCTTTGGAGAGCACCGAGGCATTTTCCTTTCCAAAGAAAGAACATGGGTTCTTTGACAATATCTGGAGTAACTATCTGAGTGAATATACATACCTTTGTGTTTTTCATTTCAGGAAGATGGCACCCTTTCATCCAAATGGTTCAAAACTTGAAGCGTGCGACTTTGGATTGTGACTACCTTGCATTCCATAAAGTTACTGCAAGTCTCCCTGCACAGAGATTTTTTTTTTTTAGATGACCGGTAACTTCCAGTAAACACCATGAAGTACATAGCGAACTCTGCTTTGCGCGAATATGTGAAGGAGGAGTTGAGAGTTTCCATATTTCAAATGGTAATTTTTTTTTCTGTAAACAAAAATCCCTTAAAACTCAGATTCCCGAGCTTTTGTCTTTTGAAGAGCAAGTTAACTGAAGATTGCATGTTACTTTCGAAATTATTCCATCAATCAATTTTGCAATGAAATTTACGTAAGGTAACGAGCCAGACGTAAACAAACAAACAAAAATTCAAAAATGTTTGATTAATAATAGCTTCTCTTGGACGCCGCACTTTCCACTGAAGACTTCATTGGTCAGGACAAGTGATGAAAGTATTTTCATTTATCAGAAATAAAACTCTACGAGTCCTCAGACATAATATGTGAGGCGTAAAATTGGCCTCTTTCATTTTTACATTTTCAAAACTTGAAACTTTAACCCTAACTCCCCAGCCTAATTTACTAGGAACCATACCCATTCAGGCAAATTCCAACACCCACATGGGAAATTGTACACACACACTGTTGGACTTAGTTTCTGGAGGTATGCCAACCCCAGTGTAAAAGACCATCTGTTTAGGGGAACTGTACCTATCCCAACAGATTTAAACACTAACCTACTGTTGGAGTTTGATTGGTTATGGGCTGTTAGGGTTAAAGGCCTTTCTGGAAGTATTTTTCTGTTTTGACACGTCGATAAATGTGAACTTTAAACAACCATAACCATAACCATAGAAGAAGAAAAAATAGGGTAGGGGTTGTCAAAATAGGGTAGGTACATGTAGGGTAGGTAGGGTAAGCAACTCATCCCATTGGATCTTTGGGCAGTTGGGTTTATTTTATCTTCTCTGTTTTCCTCAGGCACACAAGTTAGCCGTACAGACAGGCTGTGAAATTCTGGTCAAACTGGAGGACTGTGTGGACCACGCAGGCTGCCAATACTATGCCACAAGGACCCTGAACCTGCAATACATGGACAAGGGTTTGTCCAAACAGCCGTGGGAGGTCATGGTCTCGGGAATTACAGGGTTGCCCGTGTCCAATTATGGCAGCCAGAGTGAGGATCGGAATGGAAGCTTGACGGAGACTGAAGACTATGAGCTGAGCAACGACATGGGCAATTCGGCCGAGATGTCATTCTCCAATAACCTGTCCTCAGGATCCCTGGCCAATGTGTCTGCAGTGAGCCAGGGTAGCCAGCAGAGTGGCCAGACGATAGTGCATGTGATCAAAACAGAGCCCGGTAACTCGCAGTTGACCTCAGCTGCCGACGGGGACTCTTGGACCAAGACCACCGTCACGCTGCCTTTTCCAGTGTCACTCGAGTCGGCCTTGAGCAGTCAAGGTGGAGAAGGAACTGTGGATGCAAGCAATCCAAATCAGTCCATGGATGCAGACCATATCCAGCAGCAGATCTACATATATGCAAACACCAATACTGAGGTGAAGGAAGAAGAGATGGATGAAGAAGCTCCACAGGATGATGCAGCTGACGACACTGCAGATCCACATCGCCACCGCACACCGCCCTCGCTCAACTACCAGTGTAGCTTGTGCAAGAAGCGGGTGAGCAGTGTTGCACTGCTGGTCCGTCATGCCAAGTTGTACCACACCAGCGACGAGAACATGCGTTACCACTGTGTCCCCTGCGACAGGGAGTACAAGCACGCCCGGCACCTTGAGCAGCACACCGAGTTGCACAGCAAGGCCAGCTACCGATGCTCCACGTGCTGCAAGGGCTTCTACCGCAGCTCCACACTGCGAGAGCATGAGCTGCGGGACCACCAGGGACGCTATCGTTACTATTGCCCCAAGTGTCACAAAGGCTTCATGCGTCCCAGCACCATGCAGACTCACTTAAACCGCACCCATCCTGGCTGGTTTAGCAAGTCCAAAGCCTCTCCTAGAGCAGCCGCCAAAATGTCCAAGCCCCCAGCCAGTGTTCCCCGGATAGTGATACCAGTCGACAAAGACGGGGAGGAGCTGAACTCCTTGTGTCAACAGGCAACCAACGATGAGGTACCATCAACAAGTGCTGATCAGGGTCAAATGACCCAGGCTACTGACCCAGATGTAAGTACAGTTTGTATGCACATCTAGCAATGGAATAATCATACTATTTGAGATCCAAAAGCTATTTTCCTTTTCCAGAAATAGCAGCGCTTTGCTGTTTTTTCTTATAATTCCATTCCCTTTGCATGTAAGTTTTAATACCATTTCATCAAAAAAAATACACCATGAAATACGGCTGTCCCAAATATACAAAATTGTCAAATATTTGATCATCAATCGAATATTCAAATAGCTTTTTGCGGTTTGAATATTCGAAAAGAGAAATGCAAGTGGGGATTTGACTGTGGAGTCATTTGAATCGTAAAGTTGCGTTTTTATTGTCAGATGATACTTTTCGTCGACAGTAAATTTCTTGGCGACAAGTACTTGCATTTTTATTGGTCCCATTCTTTTAGCTGGGTAAAGTCCCTGCACAGTTAAAGTACTCACTGCAATTTAAAAACACTCCAGCGTTCCATAACATCCATCACCGCATTCAATTTTTGACCTGCGTGTTTTGACTAGCGAGTAAGGTAGCTTCAGCTGGTGTTTGTTAAACTTTGCAAGTTTTGTATATTCGAATATTCACTGAAGTGCAGTTTCGAATAATCGTGAATAAGTATGAAAGTGCATTAATTAACGAAAACAAGAAAAGTACAAGGTCAGTACTAGAAAAGCCATGAAATTAACACATTTATGAATATGATTTTTAGAATTGTTGACTTTTAAAAATAAATAAAACAAAGCTCAATCGGATCTCAGAAGCTGCGAGCCAACGAATTTGTGTTCATGCATGAGTCACGTGATTGTTCCATGTAATTTCTTGAAGGAGTAGTTTTTGAGTTAAAAAAAAAATCAGGTTTTTGACCTCAGTGACCCCAAGGTGACCTTTGACCCCAGTTTAGTCATGTGGCATGTTGGGGCTGGGCTACTGATACGTTTGACAAAGTTTGGTTGAAATCAGTCAAAATATGTAGGAGCAATAGACAATGTCAACGTTTGTTACTAACTAACTAACTAACACTATAACAGACTAACAGAGAGACATGATGATTTGTTGAGCTGCCATCACACAGCTAAAAATGCAATACAAAGAAAAAAAAGGGGTCAAAACTGGGTCATGTAAGAAAATTTAATCATGCGACCACTAATCCTGATCACTTTGAAAGCAACAAAATATTTTTTTTTATATAAAAGTAAATCACATGCTCCATCATTTCTTTAATGTACATGTAGCTGCTGTTTCTTGTTTTCATGAATGTTGCACACTGTAGCTGAAATGACTGTTTATTCATTTGTCGTGTCACTATCCAACTGTGTTCTTGTACATTGGTGAGCACATGTCGCATTAATATAACTGTATAAAAGTGCATTGTGCTTGCTGCATTGTGTCAACTTGCTAAGCTACCATTTGCTGTACCTTTCATCATTACTGTTGCTGTCTCTCCCTCTCTCTCTGCTGAAGTGAACCGTTCTTCTGGTAGCCTTTTGCCCCCCCCCCCCACCCCCGAAAGCTTCAAAATTACATTGGATATGTGCCCCCCACCGCTCTGACCCATAGTTCTCATTCTGTTTCTTCTTCAGAGTGGTGGGGTAGCCCAGTCCGATTCCGAAAACCAACGGACCACGGTAAACGAAGAGCTTCGGAACGCAACCCAGAGGAAGATGATGAAAGTGGTGTATCAGTGCAAAGAGTGCGGCCGCATGTACGACAACGCCAACTCCCTTGTGCGCCACATCCACGACCGGCACGACAGCCGCACCAAATTGCGGTGCAACCAGTGCAGCTACCGGACCAGTCGCACCTCAGACTTGTCACGCCACAAGAGGGCAAAGCACCCTGCTGGGGGCACCTCTGCTGCTCAACCCAACAAGGGTTCAGAGTAGGATCTGTCCACAGCTCTGTGTTGATGATACCAACTGACGGAGTAGTTGGCAATTGTACATGGCACACATTGATCACAGAATAAACGTTTCTTCCTTAATCTCCAGAGAAGACTACTGAATGAAATTCCTTCATTCAATCCAAATTCTTTGCAGTGGAATGTGCCTTTACATGGAGTGGACAAACAGCAAAACTGCATGTCATCTGTTTATATTGTAACATACATACAACTTTTTTTTACTGTAAAATAGCATGATAAGTCCTACCAGTCTTACCTGTGAATTTCAAAAGAAAACTATCTAGATGTTAGATTCAATAACCCCAAAAGTTAATAACTTGCACTTCATCTACGATATTCATAATAACTTTTCACAAATCTCTTTATAAAATTTCGAGGAAAAATGCCCCAGATTGATGAATATCGTTTAAAAGCTTTTGCCTCCTGACAGAAAAGTTTAGACTTCTGCCTTTTCACTGGGAGTTTCCACATTTGCAAAGTTAGGAGTCAAAACATCAGTTGGGATGAAGGTTTTATGACTATGACCGCGTTAGCGCCAAACTTATGATGTTCCAGATACATATTTGGGCATCTTTTTGCCTGTATTTTCTATCCAAGACAAGTTAAAGGTGATGAAATGGAGAGTGATGCAGATTTCAACTTTGAAAATATGAATGACATAGTGTACCGGTATGAATGACATAGTCTTCCTATGATGGCCAAGCATCTCTGCTGTGTATATTTGTGTGGTCCTTGGAGCCGCTTTCTGTCCTTTCAGTCCACTTACTATTAAGTGGGCATTCATGAACCAATGGATAAGGCTGTGGAAGAACATAAATTGTACATCGTTTTTTTTAGCAAGTGAACAAGAGAAATGGGTGCTTGCAAAGCCAGGAATTACTAATGTGTGTATATTACATCTGTTGTGCGTGTACAGTACATCAGTTGGTGAATGACCACACAATGGGTTCGCAGCCTGGGATGATCTCCTGTACAGTTGTCATTTCTAAGGCACATAATGGCAGTGCGTCGCTAATGGAACACTTTGCTGTCTACATGTGATGCCTGCTGGATATTTGATTTGACAGCGGTTCTACTGTCGTCACCAGACAAACTGGCTGAATTCATGGACAAGGAACTTAACCTTCGGAAGCTTCACTTCAAGAAACCTGTCAATAACTCCTGCTGTTCTGCTTTGTGACATTTCACCAGTAATATGAAGAGCCTATCAACATCCCCATGATGATCTTAAGTCGCGGACAAATTGTTTCCCACATTTGTTATGGGACAGCCTTCTTTGTTTTTTCTTTCTGCAGGTTTTTATGCGACAAATAGGTTCCATAGCTGCAACAAGTATACTCAACAAGGCAGTAAGTGGTTATTTTTCGTTCAAAACTCCTTAAAAGGATGGTGTTTATTACCCTTCCTCTTAATAACAAAGCTCTTTATTTCACCTTTCAAAATGTTAATGGCTTTCTATATATGCAGGGCCCAATTTCTTGGCTCTGCTTACCGTTTGCGAAAAATCCCTGCTTACTGTAGCAGAAAATCCTGTGCTCACGGTAAGCGTTTTTCACGGGTTAGCAAGGAATTTTGGCGTCCGTGCATGCGTACATGTCGTAACTAAGGATTCTGTGCTTGAATTTTTCTGCTATTGCGTTTAGCACAAAATGGTGATTGTAAGCATGCATTTCTGTGGTTAGCAGAGCCATAAAATTGGGCCATGTGCTGTAGAACGTTGTGTTGTGCAATTTAGGCAAATAAGATATGGAAGGGACCAATTGGAGTTCACTATTCAAAATGTTTTACGCAGCAGAACCAACACAGTTATGAGGAATTGAACCTGTTGTATTTAATGAGAGCCCCTTTTGATTGTTTGTGGATTTGTACTTGATGTACGGTAGTAACTAATAAATTGAATCGCCATCTGGCATATCAAATTAAACAAATTGGAATGGCTCTAAAATACTAATAGGCCGGAAATAAAAATTTGCAGAAGGTCTGGCACACAATAACATAGTGGTTTGAAGTTAACAAAATGTTAAACCCATTTTCATCGATTGTTGGGCCAAAAATTTGCATTGCCCAGATTTAGGTCAAGAAGCCAACCCAAACGGGATATTGTGTTTCAGAAAACTATAAATGCAGAATGTGTACTCCTCTTTTTAGGCTGTAGAAGTTAGAACAGGTTTTACTTAGTCCACCTGTTGATATCTTTGTCTTTTTTTGGGTCATTCAAACAGATAATAAGAGAGCGCCTGTTGCAACAGTGAAAGTGAAATCCTGAGTGTGCAAAAAAGGTCAAGAACTGAATTCGTCCGTAAACCTTGAACAGTATTTTGGAGCAACCAAAGTGTATGGTCTGCATATGTCTACAGCATGCAAATGTCTGTAGTATGCAAATGTCCATAGCAAATACTAAACATGCACACTGTACGTTAAAGACAAGGATGGTTAATGCCTTGGCAGTTGGCATTGGCATCTTTGTAGGTACATTTTGCTAGACTTTGTATCGATGACAAATAAATTTGAAATGATATTTATCTATAAAACCAGTAATTGAGAGATGTACAATGAATGTATGTAGACCAACTTTAACCCTAACTCCCTGATTTACTCGGAACCATACCCATCCTGGAAAATTCCTGCACCATGTGGGAAACTGCACACACATATTTCTGACTTTGATACTGGAGGTGTGCCAACCCAGTGTAAAAGACTGTCAGTTTTAGGGGTAACTGTATCCATCCTGACAGATTCTAACAAAACATGCCGTTGGGGTTTGATGGATTGAGTTCTGTTAGGGTTAATAATGGTTGTTACCCGAATCAAATTTGGATCAGATTCAATTTGTAATTATTTTGTGTCTTTGGATACTCTGTCAGTAAGAACATGCTAATGCACTTGCTACATTTCTTTTGTTGTTTGGGTCTAGTTCCAGCAGTATTTGCAGAATAATATTGCCTAAGGTTTAGCAACAGTCAGGAATTTAACTTTTGTGAATATTGTTTGATACCATGGCTATGTGTAATCTTTTAGATGATACTTATAGTTTTTTTTTCTTGGTTGAACAACATAAAAGTGACTAAAGCCAGTTTGTGTTCTGAATTCGACTTGCGACAGTCTTTTTGGTTTGGACTAAAACTCGATTTTATGCATGTAATCATATATATATTAGCTATTTTTAGATAATTATTTAGATGTTTTTTTTGTAGTAAGGATTCTTTTTTTTGCAAAAGTGTATAATAGTCGTAAAAACTTCATTTCTGCAAATTTATAGGGTATGCACAATCATTTTTAAAAGAGATATTTTAAGCACAACACAGTTGCATGTTGTTAAGCTTCCACAACTGACATGCTGAGTGAATCATGAGTAGTTGAAATTATTTTTTTTGGGGGGGGGGATGCTAAAAAGTTAAAATGTATCTGTGAAACTAATCTTTTGTTTTTGCTTTGCTGTGACTGTAAATTTAAAATCATTAGAGTGAGCACCCAAGTGGAGAAATATTAGCAATTGAGGTTAGTGTGAGTGAGCATACCAGAAATATTCATGACTAGAATTTACCGATTGTATGGTTTGAAAATTGAAATGAAAATGGATAAATTATTAGTTTTAATCAAATAATCTCCTTTCAGTTGTAGTGGGCTTTAATGGGATTAGGCATTTTTGAGGAATATTGATAAAATTCATTTAACTTATTGAAGAAACAAAACAAAATTTTTTTTACCCCGATTGTCATACAAATGTTAAAGCACTGGGCGTTTTTATTTGAAAAGGTAATGCATATACTTGGTTATATTTAACAATTATTGTAAATAATGCTGTTTGAAACAAATTGAGCCTTGCTCATGTTTCTGGAAGTTTGTTTTAAAGAGAGGAGATCATGTTCATCAATTTTTTTGGAAATATTTTTTTCAATTTGCAATTGTTTCCATTTAGTTCCGGAGGCGAGAACTTGTTCTATAAATGATCGTGTGTGGGTCCGGATGATTCAAGTCCCTCTTTGTAATCGAAGGATTTAAATGCAGTTGCTTATACACCCTGGCATCTACTCCATTCAGATGCAACTGGAAATCAATCTTTTTGCTGCAAAAATAGAACGAACAAGATTTCCTCAAAAATGAAATATCGGTCAGGTGCCAGGATTTCAGTGTGTACTCAATTGATGCACCGACTATCCCAAATCCAAACGTTCTTTTTACATGTATAACTAAAAAAAGGTGTTTCTTACCAATTTTGGTTTTTATATGGCAAAGAAATCGTAATTTGTAGAATGAACCTTTCAGTAGTTTATAATTCTATTGTTTTTTTTCCAGCTTTGCATCGTAATGTCGCAAAAACACCATTTGGACTGCAGAACGTTTTCAGTGTCAATCATGAAAATGATTTGTTATACTTGTAATTGTAATATACATTTAACAATTGCTTACTCTATCAAAACAGTGTATAATATGTATCTAAAAAAATAACCTGGACGGAATCGAGTTGATAAATTTCTCTTGTAGATTGTAGGATTAAATTTTTAAAAATGAGGAGAAAAATTGCGGCGTCTGTCTGTGCTTGTTTGTGTCTGTAGGAGATATAGCTATTTAAACTATAAAAAAAAAAGGTAGAGTCAAATGGTGTTTCGAAAAAAAAAGTCGAAAAAACTTTATTAGCATTTTAACTTGCCATGCATCCAAACCTCTCCTGGGCGCACGTGTGCGGCGCGGCGGGAGCGTGTGGGGGTGATGCAGCATTTCTACCCACATGTTTGGAACCGCTGCTACAGAAACTATACTCACAGAGACGGAGTTAATGTACCCCAGTTGCGTGTAAAAGGTCCGCTTCAATTTACTGGGGCATTTTACAGGAAAGATATGGGAGGGGAGGGGGGGGGGGTAAAAAATCCACAAAATATCAGCAGAGGGTTTAGGGGTCGCTGAGGGCCCCCAGAGCAAAGTAATTTGCCTGAAGGCACCCCTTTAAATACCCATTTATTTGTTTTACATAAACTGTTATAGGTATAAACACCTTACGGTCAAACCTCAGGAATTGCAGATTTCAAAAGGGATTTAAAAAAAACCTATCAGGAAAAATCCTTACAAAACATCCTGAAATCGGGGAAAATTCTGCAGTTACAGAATTCAATAAAAGAGCAATAGGCATCCGATGAGCAAAATTATTTCCCCCGAAATCAGTTCTGAAGTACTTATGGTAGGCTTAATACCAAAACTGCTACGAAAGTAGCCCCCAAACTAAGGAAATTGTGGAAAAACAGGGCCAATAAAAGTATCTATTTGAGCTGCATGCATAGGATTCCCAGCATGCGGTCGATGGAGCCGATTGGGGGGGGGGGGGGGTGAATGTAACGGGGTTACGGAGGGCTGAGTCGAAAGACTCACTCCGACAAATTCGCAATAGACCTTATTCACGAGGTAGAAGCCATTTTCGATTGTGGTCCCTGAGTCTATTTTGTTAATGGGATGCTGCCAGAACATTTGATGATTGGAGCGCATTCCAAGTCTCACTTTAATTTTTTTTTTAAATGTGGCTTAAAACATTAGGGTTTATCACAAATTTTAAATTATTCATCAGCCTGGAACAGACTGGTATTAATTTGTGATGAATTTGTATTGCATTGTTTCCATTTCTTCTCGCAAGTTCCAAAAATGATGATTTTTCTTCGCTTTCAATTCGATATGGCGCAGACTCGTGGATAAAGCCTATGGGTCCACTTAACAACTGTCAGAAGTTTTATCAAATGTTCAAGAGCTGTAATTGACCCATAGTTCAAACCTATACCTCTTTTTTAAAGGGTTCGTGTAATGTGATTTTTAATCCAATCCTTGGAAATGCACTTTTGTGTCCCATTCACCTTATTTTCAATAGAGGGCCGGGTATGTACAGCCGTTTCCCCACAGACCCACAGTAAACTTATGCGCGATTTGACCTCAGTGAGGTCATGTCGTGCATCTCTCTACAGGACTGATAACATTCATAGAGGGTATATTTTCATTTTGCCAATTTTAAGGGCATTTTTGGTGCCTTTTTGGTTTTTATGCTTATTAAAATGTGCATGTTCATGAGCAAAAGTGCGATAAAATTCAGGCAGAAAACTCAATGTTACAGCTTTTTCAGCATCAACATTTGCCACAATTTTGAATATTTTGCTGTCGTAAATTTTCCTTTCTTTGCTGATTCGGTGTTGTTTCAGTACATGACATTAGGACAATGAGCAAAGTTTTTTCTACATATGTATTCAATGAGCAATTTTTGGGTTCACAATTTTAACAGAAAACCACCAAACTTAAAAGTGTCTTCCTGAAAATCACAGCAACAGCGCCCTCATTTGTCAAGAAAAGCAATGACAATTTTAAATGTTTAAAAACTACGCTTTCCAATCAAATAACCGAAAAGGGATGTCAAATAATTTTCATACGTTTAAAAAGAACTTTATATTATATACAAAACGAACAGTAATACATGAATTTATATATATATATTTTTAAAATATGTTTTTTTTTAATACGTTTAATGACTGGATGTTGTTTTAAACTTGTCCTATGTCAATGTTTTTTTGGTCTAATATGTATATGTGAGTATATTTGTTTAATGTTTGTATTTTACCTGTTGCGGCGATCCCTTTAAATAGTGATTTGTCTCGCTTTTGGGAAATCCTCGGGTCTGTTTGTTTTTAATGTTTATATCTTGTTTGCCCGACAATAAATAAATAAATAAATAAAATAAATAAAGGAGTAGAAAGTTGCATGAAATATGAGCCCAAGTAAAATTTATGTTATAGGTCCTTAGCCACATGCTCCTTCGCCCTTTGCGTCATTGATCGTTTATATTGCTCCATGTAAAATCAGCCATCCCTGGTCCCCAGCAAGCCAGGATGGTTAATGTGCCTGCCGGTATAGGCCTACTCTTCGAACATTCCGAAAGTTCAAATAATATATTTTCGCATAAAAAGGGGACCGTTCCAACCAATTCTCTGGTATGATAAAAGTGCCAAAATGCGGGGAAATGTTGTTTTTTTTCCCGGCTCGAACGCACACGCTGTTGGCGCATCAAGCGAACATGGGATGGTTGCATGGCAGTGCTCACTTCGATACCGATGCGCGTATTTCGTGAACGATTTATCGTGAACGATTTTGAGAACGATTTGCCCCCCCCCCTAGTTTCCCTATAGCCTTTACACACTATTGTTACTTCACACCCCCCCCCCCCCCCCATCTCAGACTAATTTATAGAATTCCGGGAACGCAAAGCTAGCTATGCGAGGACGGGACGGTTGTTCAATAGGTTCATAATTGGCTTGCCGTTTTAATGCCTCCCCGTATTATGGAACCCAATTAGCCAACCTCCGATTCTCAAAGCTATTTTTTTCTTGGCCTAGGTCTTTGCCCATTTCAAAAGAATATCCACCGGTCATGCGGACTGAGCACATGCTCATTGTACATGGGCGTGCATGCGTGTATGTTGTCCCGTTCACATTTCGTAATGTAAAAGCTTGCCAGTGAGTGTTTGTGGAGCAAGGCGTCGCCCAGTTTACCGAGGGGCTTGTGTGCACTCCGTTGACTCGGGTTCTTAATTATTGTGTAACTGTTCAACAAGTGATAAAAACGCCGGATGCCACCTCCTTCGACGCACAAGACACACAGAAAGTGACCTGCCGCACACGCTAGTATAATTTTGTCTGACAAGTTTCTCGGGAATAACGCGAAATAAAAAGACCACATGTTACACATCAGGACGGCAGCGGCAACTCCCCATTACTGTTCCCGGGATTCCAAGTGCAAGTTAACCCAATGGGGATCTTTTATAAAGTGTGCATTCTACTGACAGTGCTCCATTCTACAGTCTCTCAAGGTAAGGTCACAGTGGTTTTCGACATTTTGATACAGGAGGGGAACAATCGGGAAAGAGTTAACGGAAAGAATGTTGCAACCTGACGCCACTTTTTTCTTCATATGTCATCTCAATTAAGGTCAGTAATTGCAAAATTTTTGAAAACACATGGATCTGAGACTGAGAAACATCAGGAAATACTTAGAAAATGTTCTTGACTCTTCATATAGACTTTGTACACAACTCAACGGCGTCAGGATGCAACATTCCCCTGCAAATTGACCCTCAGTTGCACCATTGCTCTATAACTTTGATGCGAATGTGTGAAAGTTTTCCTAATACATGTAAAACGTCGCTGGAAATATCATACACTTTCAATTTACCAAACTCGTTGGCCTCCTTTGTTAATTGTCAATTTGCACCAGTATATTTCAATTGGGTGCAGTTTACGCCACGAAGTACCGGTAACGCATATACAAAACACCCATGTGTTGTATTTCTCTCAAATCTTTTCCCATAATATTTCTATTCCGAATTCGGTTTTCTCTGAGATAGTGAATGGGATAGCAGTAGCCCATCATAAATAGTAGGAGAAAATTATCGCTAAAACTTCGCACGTCCTTGTCCTGCTAATTAACTGCAGTGTAACTCCCATACCATTGGAATAGGTGAACAACTGCCTTTTTAATCTGTTAGATCTCTGGTTTGCATGGCATTTTTACTGAATATACACAAGAGTATACAATTTTACAGCATAGAAAATTATAGCCCCATAAATGTGGCCTATTTACTGGACTGCCTCCGTAAACATAGGCCACACATCCACATGTACAAAAATCGTGTCGACGGAGCCAAATTTTGATTTTCACATTTAGGCTTAGTTTGTAGGTTTTTTTTGCTTTAGAAGCATACTCACCCTCTTTACAGGCTAATCAGAAAGTGCTGCCTTTTTCAGATGTCTAATTTTTGTGAAATTTCATGTTGAAATTTTGATACGCAAACGTGTAAAAATGAATCTGGAAATTTCACGAAAAATATACATCTGAAAAAGCAGCACTTTCTGATTAGCCTATAAAGAGGGTGAGTATGCTTCTAAAGCAAAAAAACCCTACAAACTAAGCCTAAATGTGAAAATCAAAATTTGGCTCCGTCGACACGATTTTTGTACATGTGGATGTGTGGCCTATGTTTACGGAGGCAGTCCAGTAAATAGGCCACATTTATGGGGCTAAGAAAATTATAGCCCCATAAATGTGGCCAATTTACTGGACTACCTCCGTAAACATAGGCCACACATCCACATGTACAAAAACATGTCGAACATTGTCAAATTTTTATTTTTTACATTTAGGCTTAATTTGTAGGGTTTTTTTTTGCTTAAGAAGCATACTCACCCTCTTTATAGGCCAATCAGAAAGTGCTGCCTTTTTCAGATGTCTATGTTTCGTGAAATTTCCAGATTCGTTTGCACACGTTTGCGTATCAAAATTTCAACATGAAATTTCATGAAAATTAGACATCCGGAAAAGGCAGCACTTTCTGATTAGCCTAAAAAGAAAGTGAGTATTCTTCTCATGCAAAACCCTACAAACTAAGCCTAAATGTGAAAATCAAAACTTGACAAAGTTCGACATGTTTTTGTACATGGTGGAAGTGTGGCCTATGTTTACGGAGGTAGTCCAGTAAATTTCAACATGAAATGCCCCAATGTCATCAATGCCCCAAACCACAATCAATTTAAATCAGTGATTTAGTTAATTATGCCACTCTCCAAGCCTCTTAGTTATACTTCCTCGGGGAGTTCTGAAGAGGATAACCACCAAGTACCAAGTAAATTGGCCACATTTATGGGGCTAACAAAATTATTATCATCTCAGTTGTATTCGGAATCAATGAGGATGGCTATAAAGTGCTTGTTTCAACGGATCATCCCACAATAAAAACGAGAAATAAGAAGAGGAGCAATGGTTATTGGACTATGCCTCACTCACTAGAAAGTGAAGAGAGACATGTCCATTAGCATCACACTGCAGTCACATTTGCCCTAAACTGATTCTTTACTTAACCCTAAAAGGGCCGGGGCGGAATTCGCCCCCCCCCCCATCACTTTTTGGCTGGTCTCGACTCGAGACCAGCCAAAATATCGAGACCAAAGGGGACCGAGACCAAGACCGAGACCACAGCTCCCGAGACCGAGACCGAGACCGGCAAAAAGTGGTCTCGAGACCGAGACCGGTCTCGAGACCTACAACACTGGTATGCATAGGCCGGTTGACTCTTACTCAATTATGTGAAACTCCTAGCTTAAATTTAGAGAATTACGACGAGCAATTAATTTTGAACATTTATATGTGCGGTATCGGGCATACGCGTAAAATCTTTGGTTTCCTGTATTATTAATCTGGCATTTTTTGTGTTGATTAGTAATAACAGGTAGATTTATTAGTTAGTTCAATATAGTTATTAAACACGTGTAGAATGGTTTGATTGATGTTATGGATGGTTAACCAATTCATTGGTTAAGTTGGTTCATTTTTGTCCCGTTGTTTAATTGGTTGATACGGTGCTGAACATTAGGTTGAATTTCTACCATGTTTGACACAGTTTGATGTTTTTCGGGTTAATAATTATAACTTAGCATCCATAGGCCCTATAGAATCAGTCCAATGTTGAGATGTGCTGGCAGTAAGTTTCATAACGCCTACGATGAAACAGCAAACTCATATTCTCACATTATTTATACACATGATTAGACAGACCTAATGCCCCTTTTCAACCGCCAAGATTATCGCCGATACCAAACACACGGACCACAGGTACCGCCGTGTATGTCTTTCGTGTACTAAAGCAATAGTGCAAATCCTTCGAGCAAATTGTCGCGGTTGCATAAAATGTGGACACACCCACTTTAGTGAAAGGCAAAGTCGCTTTTCAAAATGGCTTACGACACTGAGCGCTTTGGCAAACATTCATATCACCACGCTCCGTTAGGTAATGGTGTGATTTTTGCGGATGTGCTGTTGTCAGCAAAAATTGTCACCACTGTTTGCGAGAAAAGACGGGCATGTCAACAAGTGCGAGTGCACGATAAGCTCTGGCCGTCTTGCATAAAAGTCTTGCATGAAATCTATCAAAATGATCCCTGCCAGAGATTAACAATGCGACGCCCAAAACTGCGACGGTCAAGGCACATGGAACCGGCATACTTTAGATTTATAGCTAGATTTATAGCGATTTGTGATACCACGTGCATTACTGCGCATATTTTGCCTCCATTTATCGACTTTTCATAAACATGTCTCCGAATTGTCACAAACAATTAGTGTTAAGTATTTAATTGATTTTGTTAGCTTTTCTTGAAAATAAAAAGTTATATTTTATGAGAAACTTAGGGGGCTTATTGTGGTGAATATCGAGGGGATCAACGACCGACCACCAAGTGACAAGTAGAATTGAAGCTCATGTCAAGCTTAAAAGTGATTAGAAGGCCTACTTTTTACACTTTTATATCAACGGGAACTTCTCTTGCGTTTCTCTTCAAAACGTTTTTTATTCGCCAGTCAGAATCGGAAAGTAGGTCTATAGGCTCTTCCCTTATATGCGTTGACAATCAAATAACAAAGTTGGTGATTATCCTGTAATAGCGAGAATTTCTTTTGGGGAGGGATCGCGGGTCGCGACTCGCACTTATTTTCCCGACATTTTCCGCAAAGGAGTAGAACATTGAAAATGGTGGAGAGGGATGGACATCATTCGACGCTTGTGGGCGCTGTCCGTGATAATCATTTTGACGCATGAAGGTATTTTACACCCCTAGGGTAAATTCTACTATTTTAATAACATTAAATAATACATATTGGCATGGGGCCTCTTTTAGTTCTTCATCACACTTTGGGGTAATGGGAACACCCTCCCTCGTCGCTACACTATTTGTGATATATGATTTTTTTGTAAAAAAGAAAGAAAGTAGATGTATCAAACTGTAGCAAATAATAATGGTAATATCTAGAGCAGCCAACTATGAAACAATGTTGACACAAATTTTATCCATAGCGGGCCAGGGGCGAAATCCCCCACAGTAGGGCCTATACATTTTCCGACATCATGGGCGCGTAATATGTTTTTTTTTATTGATACATGATATATTTTTTTGTATACCGAGCCTGTAGGAGTTTGTAGACTGCTGTCTTGCGGACGTGTTGACACCAGATTGGTGCCAAAAGCTGGGTGGGGGGCTATTTCCCCACCTCCTGCTGCAAGAACCCTCCCTCTTCAACAAAATCTGGCTCTTTGAGGGTAATGACTTCCATATTACAAAAAGCTTTTCAATGAAGACCAGTCGAATACACACCTACCAAATAGACCAGGCAGCTACAAGTAAGAGTATGCACCCGCTAAGTCTCACGATTCAGAACAACGCAAATCCGCTGTTCTGTAGAAGCTAACGCATGAATGGAGAATGTTAAATAAAACTCATTCAGGCCCAAATAACTGCGTTTGAAATACTCAGAGATTACATCGTCACTTCAAGAATAGTACTGAATTGACAACAAAAAGACTTCAATGGCTTTTCAAATGACAATGTAGTATTAGTAGGGTCTTTCACTAAATTCAATTCGTATGTCCTCCAGGATCTGTATAAAGGACCGTATGTGAACAAGACTCGACTACGGGGGGCGTACGTGGCCCGGAAAGAATTGTAGATATCTCCACATTTTGTATGGATCATCCCCGGGAGAACTCATCGACAATGTGCATCACAAATGAGATATACATGCATAAGTGATGGCCTTGCTGCATGCAAAATAAACTGGCGAAATATTTGTTTTATTTTATTTCTTTATTTTGTTTCTTTAACGAAACCAAGGATTCCTCAAAAGTACCCTAGGCACTGTAGCCCGAAAGCCTGAAGAAACATAGCGAGGAAACAATAAGAAGAGATTACAGTTTTAGAGGTGGGAGGAAAAGCCCAGAAGAATATTCCGGGAAAAACTCACGGACTAACTGAAAAACCAATCCAC